TTCTGCTGCTTATTCGGACTCTCCTTGTCCTAGTGTCCACCCTATGGTTCTTCCCTTGCGTTCTCCTCCAGTCATAGTCCTCCCGTTGCCTCCCCCGTCGTCGCTCCAGTTCCCCCACCCCCCTTGCTCTAACGCTGCTCTCGCTGCTCGTCCTACCCTCTTGCGCCTGCTTGCGTTGCTTGTCATTGACCCTACTGCTCCTCCTAAGACTGTCTCTTCGCTTGTCGCTATAGTCGCTGACTTTACTGCTAGCCACCGCCTTGACTACGCTACCACTCTGGTCTCTGGTACTGCCTGTCCTCCATCTGTCAAGGGTGCACCTGCCCTTGGCAGTAACGTGCTAGAGGACAGGCAATACGAGTTGGCCTACCTTGGTGTCGCTGTTCCCCATCTCTGCTCCATGCTTGTATCCCCAGAGGGCGACCCATACGCTCTCTACTGGGTGAAGCGCGCACCTGGAGAGCCGTCGAAGTTCAAGGCGCGTTATGTGGCTAGAGGCTTTATTCAGCGTGAGGGTGTGGACTTTTTCCAGACCTTCTTCCCGATCCTGAAGATGACTACACTTCGGGTCCTTCTTCACATAGTCGCGCAGTGTAACTACGAGCTTGACTCACTCAAAATCTCCACAGCGTTCCTGCAGGGTAGTCTGAGCAAGCAGATCTACCTCCGGCGCCCTCTAGGCTACTCTGGGTCCTTCCCACCTGGGACCCAGTGGAGCCTGCATTGTCCTATCTACAGCCTTCGTCAGGCACCCTGTGAGTGGCATGATACTCATTGCACCACTCTTGTTGAGCTCCAGTTCTTTCCCTCCTCTGCTGACCCCTCTCTGAAGTTCGCACTGGTGATACAACGTTTTACATTCTAGTGTACATAAACGATCATATCTTTGCTGACCCCCCTATGTTTGTCCTTTTGACAGAATCGCACTGGCCTCAGTGAAGGCCGAGTTACTTAGGAGACACACCTGTACAGACTTGGGGGAGCTGATGCGCTATCTGGGCTTGGAGATCTCTCATGACCGTGTTGCTCGCACGATGACACTCTCCCATTCCCATTTGGTGCAGCAGATCCTTTAGAGGAACAGTCTCCAGTTCTCCTCAGCACAACCCGCCCCTCTGCCTGTGGATTACAAGCTCTTTGCTCCAGTTCCGGCTAAGCCGCTTGAGGCTACTGTAGTGGTCCATACGCAAAGCTGGTGGGGTGCCTCATGTACCTGATGACCTGCACTCGACCAGATCTAGCATACCCATTTAGTCTCCTTGCTCATTTTGTTGCGACAGTTTGGCACCGACCAGTTCACTGGTTGACTGCCAAGAGGGTACTGCGGTATCTGGCGAGTACATTAGGACTGGGGCTTGTGCTAGGAGGACGGGAGCCAGTGGTGCTCATTGGACACACAGACGCGTCGTGGGCTGACGATGTGGAGATTCTCAGGTCGTCTCAGGGCTACTATTTTAGTCTTGGTGCTGGTGCAGTCTCGTGGAGGTCCACCAGGTCATTTTCCGTAGATCAGTCCAGTTGTGAGGCAGAGATCTACGCTGAGGCCATGGCCGCTTAGGAGCTCCGCTGGCTGAAGGTCTTGCTCACAGACTTAGGTGGGCAGCCTAGGTCTTCCCCGGTCCTGTTTGCTGACAATAGGGCCATGATCATCCTGTGTCAGGAGGCTCGACTTGAGGGCAGGGTGAAGCATATCCTGCTGCGGTACTTCCTGCTGCGTGAGTTGCAGCAGCGCAGCCAGGCTCGTGTGGTACAGTAGGCCTCAGAGGCCAACACCGCTGATATCTTCACTAAGGCACTTGCGCCTCGTGACCATCAGCGGTTCTGTACTCAGCTTGGTCTATTCTTGGCAACTGCACCACTTCTTGTATTCAGATTCATACTATACTTGCTTGTACTTGTTGTTCTATACCTGCATGCCTTGTTACATTTGCTGACTGGTCTTATGGCCTCTTGTCTCAATGGTCCGACTAGAAGTGCTGCCCTGAGTTGCCTTCACCAATGCTGCCCTGGTGTACTCTGCCTTATTCTGAACTGCCACAATTTATGCTAGGGGGTGTGTCAATAAATATATTTATATAGATTAGCTACTGTGTATTATATTTGTTTATAGCCTAGCTAGTTTAGTTCTTAGTGAGTACAGCCTCGACATTTTCCCTTAGTCACACTTTTCCCGCTACTCTAACACAAAATTATGAAGAATACAGTTGTGTACTGTATGTGTTTATTAACATTTTCCATTATGAGTTACGCTGTTTTGGATTCGGGTCTTTGGGTGCGTACCGTTGGGCGCTTGAAATCTCCTGCAGTCAGCGCGTTCGCACTTGGCGCATTGCCCTGTGTTTGCACCTTATTTCGCTCCAAGTTGTGCCATAGCTCTTTAAGCTTACATTGTCGAGAGGTTTGAAGAGGCACATGCCAATAAAAGAAGCACGCCATAGTTGCAGCTTTCATTCTCCGTTGGAACTGTCGCGCGTGAATTTTTGGGCCTCGTCGCACGCGTTCCGAAATCGCCCAACCTCCCGCAAGCGTGGATTATGGTGGATTCGTTTCTACCCTATTGCCCAAAAAGTTCCCTGTCGATTTCGCTCTAACAACCCAATTTTTTTAACGCCGCGATACACATTCCCCGGAATGTGAAAAAATGAGCAGTGACAATTGGGCTAGGGTCGCACTGATTGGGTCACGAGCTTGGCGAACTGGTGGCTAACTGCAAGACATTAGGATTGGTTCATAGCCTCGTCAATTTCGTGGGTCAACGGGACGAAATGTCTGGCGGAACGGGAGAGTGGGGGGGAGGGGGGGGAGGATACGATTCTGACGCGGGGGAAAACGAAATTTGCGGGGCGATGGTGTAAACATTCGAAATGGCGGGGCGAGGGGGAATGAATTTTTGGGGGTGGGGGAGGGGAACAACATTTCGAGTTGCCGGAAAACGAATTTGCGGGGGGGGTGGGGAACGAAATTGCGGGGCGGGGGTAGGTGGTAGGATCACAAGCATGTGGGATTTGTACTACACAAATCCCACATGTTGGGCGTCAGATTGTTTACACCGAGGGACGAGTTGCATTCTTCTTCGGTGAAGTTACACAGTGATCCACCTCCCAATGTTTATAATTTGAAAAAATAAGTAGGGAATGTGTACCGCGGCTTTAAGAGTGCCCCCACTTCAAGAGGGGCTAACTTGAAACCCCCCTCTGCTATTTTAGCCTGTTGTTTTAAGTAGTGGGTAAGTGCGCCCATAATCCCCCAGGCTTCGCACCTGTGGCCCTTCCACGAGGATCTCAAGGGCAACCCCAACGGGTCTCCGACTATGGTCACCCCACTTTGAAGCATGCCTGTGTTGAGATAAGCTAGCTAGGTAGGAGGAGCCATAGATGGCGAGAGGTTTTAGGCTAGGAAAAGTTGACGAGAGAGAAAAGAAGAGAGAGGGATACAAGGAGGGGTGTTGTACCCTCTACGGTAAGTTTCAGTAACGCCTACCAAGCCTACAATTATATAAAATATATATAATTTAACACACCCCCTAGGCTTGGTAGTAGAAGAACCCACATACACCCACACCCCCTAACCTAGAACCCCGATTCCCAGCAGCAGCCACGACTACTCCGGCATGGCCAACCCCACGGCCCAGGAGATGGCGACAGCGGCAGCGGCGGCAGTGATGACAGCGGCGGCGACGTGCGGCGGCAACAGGCCAGCGGCGACAGCGGCGGCGGAGGCGGTTTCGACGACAGCGGCGACGGCAGCGGCGCCCGCCCTCTCGGCGGCGTGGCCAAGCTCCGCGACGATGGGGAAGACCCTCACGAGTTAGGCGTCGACTGTGGCGAGGAGGAGGGGACGCAGGGGAAGGGGGAGGGGGGGGGGGTGGTCCAGTATCACGCCCGTGGCTGGCGTGCGTGCGGCAGGTCTGGCGGCGCCACAGACGGTGCGCGGCCGGCTTCCGCCCGTCGACGCCGCCAATGCAGCATTACGACGCCGCCACAGAGCGGCGTCGATGCCGCGGCGGGGCGTCGACGCTGCGACGGCAGCATGACGGCGCCGTCACGCCGCCACGGCTGGACGTCGACGCCACGACAGCGCGACACCACGGCAGCGCGTCGAGACGGCAACGGCACGACGCGGCCAGTGGCATGACGGCACCGCCACAGCAGCACGACGCGGCCGCCATGGCAGCGCGAGAGGGAGAGAAGGAGTGCGCGGCGGAAGCGTGAGGAGCAGGCGCGGGAAAGGTAACCTGCTCTGTTACCATGTTGAGATAAGCTAGCTAGGTAGGAGGAGCCATAGATGGCGAGAGGTTTTAGGCTAGGAAAAGTTGACAAGAGAGAAGAGAGTTGAGAATAGAAGAGAGAGGGATACAATGAGGGGTCTTGTACCCTCTACAGTAAGTTTCAGTAACGCCTACCAAGCCTACAATTATATAACATATATATAATTTAACAGCCGGAACCAGCGTTGTCCACTTAACTAAAAACAACCTCATTCTAGCTGGGCTTGTGAGGGATTAATTGCAACCTTCGCATAATTGTCTCATGTTATTCCTACATGTGAAGCTGCTACATTCCCAAGTGTAGAGCTTTATCCCTCCCTCCTCCTTGCTGGACTTGCTAAGGGTTGTAACCATGTCCAGCCACCAGCACCCTTTCAAGGGCCTAGTCGTAACAATTGAAGATGCTACCTACGAAACTCAAGATATAATTGATAGCTCTTGTTGTGGTCTGTTGTTGGCTGTTGTTGTCCCTGGGTCCAAGTTACAGATTCAGGGAGTGAATTGGTTGGGATGGTTGGCGACAACGGACAAATGGATGCGAGATTAAGGCGATTACTAACAACGAGTTGGCGAAGAACCTCACGTCGTCACTTTGTGACCTGTCGCCTGGATAGCTTGTATCAATCGGGTAACCAGCCAGCATCTCGAGCGTGTCGAGCCATGCCCCTCCAGGTCGACCCCCAATGTTCAAATCCGTGACTCGCTCGTGCTCCTCCCATCACGTGAAATCCCTCCAGAGCTGTTTCTCGAGTCGTCGTTAGGGCTGCCGCTGTGGCCTGCTAGCGTAGTTCGAGCCAACGCTGTATTCCTGTCCTGGCACAAGTTGTCGGATGCTTCTGTTGCGGCGCTAGCCTAAGCTCTCGCGCTGAAGTCGTTGCTGCGCTTTAGCATCACCAACCCCTATCGTCGCTTCTACCACTCACCTCTTGCAGGCGACTTACCGCCGAAGCGACCTGCAGTGCGCTCCGTCCGCATAGCAGCCGAAGCAGTGGTTGTGAGAAACGGGAACTACTTGACATTTGAGTCGACTCAAACTTTTGACAGGGTGCTTTTTGGAATTCTCAGAACCACCTTCCATTCTCGTTGCAGCCGAAGCAGTAGCCGAGAGAAAGCGGAACGACTTGAAAGGGGGACGCCGTTAAGGCGTGCTGAGCGCATTACCATCTTGACCCGCCAAGTATCCGGGCGAAACGGCTTCAAGTAACAGCGACTGGGGACAGCAGAGAAATACCTCACCTCCTCTCGCCTCCTCTCACCCCCTCGCGCCTCCTCTCGCCTCCTCTCGCCACCTCTTACCTCCTCTCTCCACTCACCCCTTCACACCTCCTCTCACCTCCTCACACCTCTTCTCACTTCCTTGCACCTCTTCTCACTTTCTTGCACCTCTTCTCACTTCCTTGCACCTCTTCTCACTTTCTTGCACCTCTTCTCACTTCCTTGCACCTCTTCTCACTTCCTTGCACCTCCACTCACCTCCTCACACCTCTTCTCACCTCCTCTCACCTTGTCTCACTTCCTTGCACCTCCTCTCACCTCTTCTCACCTCCTTGCACCTCCTCTCAGCTCGCAATGAAGGAGTGGTATACCAAGGCACCTCCAGCGAGCCGACCAGCGGCGGATGGAGAAGCCGAAGAAGCCGGAGAATCCGGAGCAGGGCGGCGGGTGCTGATGTGGCGGGATAAGGCCGTGTACCAAGTGCTCTGGAAGTACGGGATGCACGCGATTGGCCCACTGCAAGCCGTGCTGGACAAGATCGACCTCAGGATCACCCATAACAGAGTCATTCAACCCAAAAAGGTACGACTTTTGTCGCTCCTCAAAAGCCCTCAGACGCCTCAAGACTAAGAGTACCAGCAGCGGATGCCAGTGCCACCCAGGCCTCTCCGTCTTACCCGCCTCCCCATTCCTCTCTCCCAACCACCCCCTGTTTTTCCCTGCAGGATTTTGACCAATACCCGGCCAGCATTCACCGTGCTCTCAAGCGTCTCATGGAGTACCGCCAGAGCCTGCCGCCCAGACCGGGCAAGGCGGGCGGCAGTGGAGGTCCGGGGTGTTGGAAGCGCAGGAGGATGCAGGGGAAGTGGCCGCGGCGGTTCAAAGAAACCTGCTTCTTCCTGGATGCCGCCGGCGTGCCCTGCCCCGCTGGCTGGCAGCTGCAGGTCGAGGCAGCAGCTGCTGCTGCGGCTGCGACTGGTGGTGGTGGTGGTGGTGGTGGTGGGTGTGTGAATTTGAGGGCTTTTAAGGGCGTGATGAAGTCTCAATCTGCTGCTGCTGCTGCCACCGCTGCTGGATTGAGCGTGTTCCGTGTTGCCAATGGCGGTGGGTTGAAGATCTCAGCGACCCTGCTGCAGCTGGCTGGTTCGGACTCAAAGGCGGCTCAGAATGAAGCACGGGCACGTGCAGGCTATGCTGGTTTGAACCCGCCCAGGGTTCCCTCTTCTGATCCTAACACCCGTCCAGGGGGCCGGCCCCGAAAGGACCTTGCTGCCAATGCCGCCTCTGGTGACCCCACCGCCTCCAAAGCTCCTGCAGCCGCTCCCACCGCACACCTCCCTAGGCAGGGGCTGCGTGGTATGAAGAGGAAGGCAGAGGGTGCGAGAGAGGAGGTGAGGAGAGGCAGGAGAAGGGGAGGGAGTGAGGAGGAAGAGCAAGGGGAGGAGGAAGAGCAATTGGAGCCAGGAGTGGGTGGGGATGGGCGTGATGATAGTGAGGGGGAGGTCGTGGACGAGGGTGGTTGTGGGAAAGAGAGGGGCGGGAAAGGGAAAGGGGGGGGCGGAAGAGGGAACGAGGGGGGCGGGAAAGGGAAAGAGACAGGCTCAAAAGCAAAAGAGGGGGGTGCAGAGAGCAAGGTGGAGCCGTGGTACTGCAAGACGAAGGCAGTGAGCAGGACGAGGACGACGGTGAATCTGGCAGTGAAGGCAACAAAGGAGAAGCTGTGTGAAATAGGGGAGCGTGCAGAGGAGGCGGATAGGCAGATGGTGGAGGCGAGGAGGGCGCTGGTGGAGAAGTACTGGGGGATTCTCAAAGCAGAGCTGAAGAAGGGCGAGCAGGAGGAGAGGCGCGTGCTGGCTGAGGTCGCTGCCAGGGGCGAGGCTAGGCTGGCCCGCAGGGTTGCATGTCTCAATCGGTTGATGGATGATCGACTGGGAGTAAAGCACATGTAGCTTTGTGGCCTGTTGTCTGGATGATTCTGAATGCAGTGGTTGAGATTGGGGGTGGGGGGGGGTGGGGGGGGGAATGCGGGGGGGGGAGAGAAGAGAGGGGTGCTGGCAAAGGTGGCTGAGACTGCGAGGGTTGATTGAGGCCAAGCTGGCCCTGAGGGTTGCTTTGCATGTCTCAATCTTCGAGGCGTCTCAAAAGTTGAATGCTTTGGGAGTAGAGCACTTAGCTTAGTGACCTGTTGCAGTGAAGTCTGGTCGCTGCTGCTCGATTGTGTGTTCAAATATTGTAGTAGCGAACAAGATGTGGAGTGAGTAGGTGAGTTTCTTTGCTGGGCTGAAGGCGAACCGAAGCAGACAAGACGCAGGTGGAGCGGGCAAGGAAGAAGGTGAGGCGGGGAGGAGTGCTCAACCAGCTGAGAGGACGAGACAAGCGAGTGAGATGACATAACAGAGGGGAGCAACAGGAAACTGAGGTAGAATGCAGTATTGAGGCATCGGCGGATCAAGCGGGGGCAACGGAGCAGCGGTTTGAAATAGGGAAGCGGATTAGCAGTTACCAAGTGAATGATGAGGGGGGGAAAGAGACTGCTGCTGTGACACACCAACTTGGCACATTGTGTGTCAACCAGCACAGCAAAGCAAGTGCATGTTTTACCATACTGCAGTGAAGATATGTACACTACATTACTGTACATACATTGGAACAGTGTACTGAACTATTCACAGTCCAGAAGTCCTCACCTCACAATGGAGTCTACCTAAACCTGCATCACCCTCTCAAGGTTGTGCTACTCCTTGTAAGCCACTCCCTACAACCTCATCTCTCCCCACCTCTCCCCATCTCTCCTCATCCCTCTGCATCTCTCCTCATCCCTCTGCATCCCTCCTCATCTCTCCGCATCTCTCCTCATCTCTCCTCATCTATCCTCCTTGCTGGGCTTGTCGGGGTTAGTGACCATATCCAGCATCACCCCCTCAGGGGCAGATGCATTGAGTGCAGCTGCTGCCCACAGTGGCACGGTTTCTCGGCAATCTCTCTCCCTGCTGGGCTTGTTCGGGTTAGTGACCACATCCAGCATAGCCCTCCCTGCAAGCCACTCCCCGCCACCTCACCTCTCCTCATCTCTCCTGATCTCTCCTCATCTCTCCTCCTTGCTGGGCTTGTTGGGGTTCGTAACCATATCCAGCATCACCCTCTCGGGGGCGTCCTCCCACTTGCCCACAAACTTGGCTAAATCCACCTGAAAGGTACATTTGGTGGAGGTAAGCGTGGTGAAGGTACACGAAGGGAAGGTAAATGAAGGGAAGGTACACGTGGTGAAGGTACATGTGGTACATGTACACGTAGAGAGGTGCATGTAGTTGAGTGATGCAGTACAGAGCATGAAGATGGCGAGCAGGGAGCAGATAGATTGGTGTGCGGGGAAGAGCTGAGACTATCCTGTGGGAAGCTGCAGAAAAGAAGAAGAGATCAACACACGAAAGTCAACGGAAACTGCAAATGCTGTGATGATGGCAGCAGCAGCAACAACTGCAGCTCCTTTTGATTCTCGAGTGAATCATTTCATCTTTGATACAACCTCCTACAGCAATCTCAGCTCCTCCCCGGACACCAGTTCCTCCTCCTCCTCCTGCTCACAACTGGCATCCCCAGTGGCAGCAACTAGACTAGCAGCTAAACTCGAATACACAGCTTCTGCTTTCATCCCAATCTTCTCCACTATGACCAATGACTGGCTGCTCTCTCTCCATTGCTCCACAGCTTGCCCTTCCCTTCTGCTCTATGACTCTGCCATTCTCACCTTCCTCCTAACCTTTCAACTTCCTAACCTCTCACCTTCCTCCCCTCCCCTCCTCTCACCTTCCTCCTCTCCCCTCACCTATACGCTATGACCTGCCTCCATAGCTCCAAGGCTGGACATTCTCCCCCTTCCTTCTGCCCTATGCCCTGGCCATTCTCACCTTCCTCCTCTCCTCTCACCTTCCTCCTCTCCCCTCACCTTCCTCCTCTCCCCTCACCTTCCTCCTCTGCTCCGTGAAGAGCTGTTCTCGTTGCTGGAAGGCCACTCGCTTGTCCTCAGCCCCCTTGCCGCCTAAACCCCATACAGTCACATCCTCTACACGCACTGCCAGCTCCCCATAACCCTGCATTATGGGCATGGAGATCGTACAAACGGGCACACATCGACTGAAGGAGCGCATTAGGACAAAAATATAGCCGGAAACACATCAACGAAAGAAGCAGATAGAAATAGTCATCATACGGAAAACAACACGACAGACAGCATCCATTAAAGCCCTAGTGGTGAGCGCCAGGCTCTGAGATATGAGCCTTTTATGCTGATTTGGGTTTTGGGCAATGACCATATCTTGCCATTGTGGCATGCAAATGAGGCGAAGGCTCTTGAGGGACCTTCTTGTTGAAGAATAAATCTCACTGGGCAATTTGCGAACACAGAAAAATCAGATACACCTGAGACATCTCGGGGCCTGGTGAGGGCGTAAATGACCGAGTCGAAAAGTTTTATCAACAACACGGTGCCTTGCAGAAAACCATCATGCACCCACACCCTCTCACTCCCCCTGCTGCCCCCCACAGTCTGCACCACCATCGCACCTAGTCAGGGTGCAAGGCCCCTGGTCGGAAGGTCTTCTCAACAGCAAGGTCTCTCACAGTGGCCCATCGAAAATTATCATCCACCCACACCCTCTCCCCCCCCCTGCTGCCCCCCACACACACATACACTACAAGACATAACAAGGATGCACCTGGTCAGGATGCAAGGCGCCCGGTCGGAAGGTCTTGTCAACTGCATGGTGGCGCACAGTGGCCCATCGAAACTCATCATCCACCCACACCCTCTCCCTCCCCCTGCTGCCCCCCACGCCTATCCCCAGAACCCTCGCCTTGCCCCCCCCTGCTGCCCTGCCAGAAGAGCTACCAGTACCAACACCACCCAGCGCAGCCTTGCCTGCCCCCAGCTTTGCCGATGGAGTGCAGATGAAGTTGGTAGCTTGCCCTAGGAGGAAAGATGGAGGGAGCGGGATGGGTGGCAAAGCAAGGGGAGGAGGGGATGACGATGGCGGCTTGGTAGCTTGAGCTAGGTGGAGAGATGGAGGGAGCGGGGTGGGCTGGAAAGCATGAGGAGCATGAGACGGAGTGGGATTAGCGATAGTGGCTTAACTTGATGAGATCGGGAGGTGGGGGAGGAGGGAGCGAAAGAATGTGAAGCATGTGGGGCGTGGGATGGTGAGAAGGAAGACTGAAGCACAGGACGATGGGAGAAAGGAGGGATAGGGGAGGGAAAGACGTGAGGGGCAGTGAGTGAGTATGTGTGTGTGTGAGAGAGAGAGATGGTGGGGGGAGTTGGAAGGGGGAAAGAGAGGGAAGATGAGAAGGAGAGATGCACCTGTGGCTTTGTAGATGGAGAAGGCAGGCGAGAGCTGCATGAGAGCACAGCCCCTGGCGTCACCAGCATAGGCATCCGAGTTCACAACGCCAGCAGACGCCATCACGCCTACCAGCCACGGCCCCTGCTTAAACACACACAGGCGGCTGCACTCCGAGAGGATTCCCCCACAGTGGCAGCGAACGAAGGGGGAGGGGGAAGGTGAAGAGGAAGAGGAGGAGGAGGAAGCGGGGTGGTGGAGGGAGAGCAGCAGGAACCAGGGCCCAGCGTACCCCTCAGCTTGAGCCATGAACCGCCGAATGCCCCGCCCATGCAGGGACGCCCGGTACAGCAGGTGTGCACGATGCGCCATGTGCGCCGCTCCAATCATTCGAGCATGCACCACGTGGCCTCCACTGCCCACTGCGCCGCCTGCATCCCTGCCAGTGCAGCCAGCTGGCCTAGTGGCCTGTTCCCCTCGTGCCCCTGCGTCTTCCCCTTCCATCACCGCTCCTCCTCCTTCCCTCACCGTACGGTCCATACCCACCCCCGCCCCTGTCTGTGAAATCCCGGCTGCACTGAGAGAGTCCGGCCATGCCATGCCAAGCGCCCAGGCAACGCCACGTGGCATGGATGCTGGGCTCCCAGTGGTGGGATCCGTGCGTTTAGTGACAGAAGCAGAGGTGCTTGTAACGGGTGGGCACACAGAAGCAGGAAGAGGAACAGGAAGAGCAGTGGCATCAGGTTCGTTACAGTCATCAGCTGCAGCTGAGGGAGAGCTATTATCTGTGTCCCAGACAGCGGCAAAGCGGTGAAGCACAAAGGCAGAGAGGCGGTTGGAAAGAGCTGGGAGCTGCGAGAGCAGCCATGGGGCCAGCTTGGTAGACTCCACGCAAGGAAACGACTCGTTACTAGCTGATCCGCTATCATTAGCAGCAGCGGACACAGGAAGGGCAGCAGCTTGTTCTGTGGCAGGTGCAGCCGCCGAAGCAGCTCCTCGAACAAGGCTCTGCAGCATGCAGAGTACATCTGCCGGTACGCTACAGCGATCAGTGGCAGGTGCTGCCACGTTGGAGGGATCAGCATCAGCACTCGCACCATCACCAACACCAGCGCCAAGACCAGCGCCATCACCAGCGCCATCAACTCCTTTACGTGCCCTGCCAGCCTCCTTTTCGCGCATCCTCTCTGCCTGCTGCTCCATCTCCCAGCACGCAAGGAACAGAAGCCACACATGCCATGTGTGCAGCTGCTGCCCGTGATTCTCCTCCTTCTTCTCCCCTTCCTCCACCTCTTGTTGCTGCTGCCGCTGCTGTTGCCTCTGCTGCTGCCGCCGCTGCTGTTGGCTCTGCTGCTGCTGCCGCTGGATCGCTTCCTCCGAGTTTTCTGGCGTGGAGAGTGCGTCTCGAGCGGCGGAGGGAGCGCATGGGATGGACGGCATCATGGGGAAAGGGCAGTGGGGCTCGTCAACGGGGGCGCATGCATCATACTGACCCAGATTGGGGCTCTGTGACTGTAACGAAGGGAAGAAGGTGCGTGGCGGAACGAGAGCCACACGGATTAGAGACATGACACGCAGCAGCCTTCTCGTGCGTGCTGCTGACGAAGCTTCCTTGCAGCATCCTGCTAGCCCGGTTATGAACTCGTCCCAAGTCACCCTTGCCCTCCTCCGACCCACCCTCAAGTGCTTGCTGATGATGCTGCTGCTATCATTATCCGCACTACTGTTCCCATTATCGCCACAACACTCCCGTAAGCTGCTGTTGCTACTGGTAAGGTTGCTCTTGCTGCTGCTGTTGCTACTGGTAAGGTTGCTCTTGCTGCTGCTGTTGCTACTGGTAAGGTTGCTCTTGCTGCTGCTGTTGCTACTGGTAAGGTTGCTCTTACTGCTGCTGTTGCTACTGGTAAGGTTGCTCTTACTGCTGCTGTTGCTACTGGTAAGGTTGCTCTTACTGCTGCTGTTGCTACTGGTAAGGTTGCTCTTACTGCTGCTGTTGCTACTGGTAAGGTTGCTCTTACTGCTGCTGTTGCTACTGGTAAGGTTGCTCTTACTGCTGCTGTTGCTACTGGTAAGGTTGCTCTTGCTGCTGCTGTTGCTGCTCCTGCTGCTGCCATTATTTTCCTTTCCAACATCGGATGCAGCATCTTGTGCCCTTCCATCTACTTGCTTCCCTTCGTCATCATCATCGTCATCGTCATCGTCGTCACTCTCGTCGCTTCCACCGTCCAGCGGGCCCATCCAGAATTCCTCCCAATCCTGCTCAATAGCTTCAACCACCTGTTTGACTGAATCGCCCTGATGGCAAGCACTTGACTCCTCCTTCCTGTTCTTGATCTGGCTCTGCTTGGCCTCTGATCCCCGTCCTGATTTCCGGAAACGAACGCCAAACACGTCTGCAACAATTGCCCGAGCCAGTTGACGCGAAAGCGCCTCCACAGCCACAAGCGAGGGAGGAGAAGCAGAAGGAGTAGCAGCATCAGAAGCAGTAGCAGCAGAAGCACAAGCAGCATCATGAGAAGGAGATGGAGCACTGGTAGCGAGCGAGCTACCAGCAACAGCAGTATTGACCAGATCGCTCTTCGTGCTTTCGTCAAGCCCACGTTTCTCTAACTTTGCTTGTCTCTGCTGCTGCTGCTGCTGCTGCTGCTGGTGCTGGTGATGGAGCTCGATAAAGCGGAGCAAGGGACATGGCAGCGATTCCAGTGGAAGAGATAGCTTCAATTGATCCTGCATGGAAAAACAAAAAAAAAAAAGTTACCGAAAGTTACAAAGAAGAAAAAGTAAGTAAAAGAAAATCTGGCGGAATTCGCTCTCTTCTTTGCCTGGGTTAAGACTCACTGCTAGGATCTGCGCCGGAATAGTTTTGCGGGTAGATTTGCCGACTTTACCATGCTCTACCAGGTGAGAAAACGAGATCCTTAGCCGAGCTAACTCTTGAGGCGGAAACTGTGCTTCGGCTGGCGACACCGCGGATGTGTCCCCAGCAGGGGACGACGTCGACGACGGTGCTATCCCCATGGTAGAAAATGACGATCTAGAAGCTGAATTGATATCACAGTCGAGCGTGGTAAGAGACTGATCAAGAGCGCTGGCATCAGGGCCGTGGAAAGAGCTAGCGACTCATTGCTAACTCAGAATTCAGTGCAGAGAAATCCGTGAGTTGGGAAAGTGAAACAGCCGCTAGGCTGTTAGTAGGCCTTATCAGGGCCCAAAATTGGTTTTGGGCCGCCCTTTGAAAACAGGGTCGCCCCACCAAAACACCCTGTCACACAGGGTACCTAAATCTGGTAGTCTGATTTTTTCAGGGTAAACATTTTGCAGCTCTGTTTACACAGGGTATATTTAAAACCACCCTGTTCTTCTTTGCCCTCTGCATTGCCATTTAAAGCCATTGACTATAATAGCAAAAGTGTTTTTGAACTTCGGATGGACAGGAGCTTGGGTTATCTTGCTGGCTTGACGAAATGTACAGTGCGAAAAGTTTGACGTACTTGTGACTCAAGCGAGATGAGCGTGGGTGGGGGGCGAAATTGGAGGGGCGGGCGAATGAAAATTGCAAGGGCGGGAAAGGAATTTCAGTGGGTGGCAGATTTGGTGAAGGGCCAATGAACGCTCTCTCACACACACCCTCCAGCACACATCGGCAGAAACATTTGAAGGTACAATCGGTCCCCTCACACCTCCTCGAGTCAAGTTTGGAGGAAATTTGGTTCAGGGCCAATCAGCACCCTCCCTCACACAGCCCCCAGCACACATCGAGCACTGATTTTGGCGAAGGGCCAGTTAGCGCCCTAACAAAGCCCCCACAACGCATCGAGCCTTGATTTCGGCTAAGGGCCAGTTAGCGCCCACACAGAGTCTCCAGAACGCATCTGGCTCGCCAGACAGTGCATTAAGGGTAGTTGCCTTGCTGCCCTGTTTCATCAGGGCTGGAAGGTCGCAAACCCTGGTTTTTGAAGGGTAAAAAACCAGCTACACTTTTTGAATCAGGGTTATAAAATCGCAAACCCTGAAAACTCAGCCTAACTCAAAAAAATACCCTGAAAATCAGAATAATCAGGGCATTTTACCCGGATATTTTGGGCCCTGGGCCTTATGGGAAGAATTAAAAGTGAAAATATGTAGTTCTACTACAGATCATATGATGGATTCCAATCAAGGAGCACACCACTATATACAAGGAAAATGACTGAGACGCCTCGAGAAGGTCGTCCAAGTCGCATCTCACCTTTGCTAAGCTAATAACAGCAAATCATAGGTAATGATTGCATGCATACACATCTAGCCTTGCTGCAATTCTAGAAAGTAGCATGCATAGTCTAGGAGTTAACTATTGCAGCCTAAACGAGTCTTCCTTGTACTGCTGTTTCTGACGACATTCATAGAAATGATGAGATATAGCTGTGTTGGTGGACGCAACACAGGGAGGCCGCTGTGGACTCTCATAGCTATGACCCATGGGATAAGAACATCAGACACGTCGACCTTCCACCCCAAGGGAAACACCGTGGTGTAGCGCGTGTAGTCGTCGACAAGCACTAGAAAGTAGCGCTCTCGACGCGGCCCAGGGACGGGGGCTGGGCCCCAAACGTCCAGGTGCAGGGTCTGGAGTGGTGCAGTGGTAGGGGGGAGTGAGGAGGACTGAGGAGCACGGCGCAGCCGGCCCTCGACGCAAGGCATGCACGTCGGCGCATGTGAGGGAGGGGGGGCAAGGAGCGACGCAGGGAGACCGAAGAAAGGACCGTGATGGCACATGTGACGCAAACGCGGGAATGCGGGGTGACCTAGGCGGCGGTGCCACAGAAGCGACGGGTGGGTGAGCGACCGACACGAGCAAGCCGCAGCGACCTGGGTCGACGCAGGCACCTGGGGGGACGCCCTCACAGGGGGGAAGCAATGTCAAGCGTGAACAGGCCGGATACAGGATCATGAGGGAACATTGTCAGAGGGGCACCAGTGGCGGCCTCAGTACAGACCGCATACCGCTCGTGTCCGGGGAACGTAGTCGTGACGCCAAGGTCCTGAAGATAGCCGACACTAACTAGGTTCCTGGACAACGAGGGTATGTGTAGGCCTGTAAGAGAACCCGAGGGGACCGCCGGACAGGGTAGGGTGGTGGAGCTACGGGCAACTACTGGACCTGAAGAGGGATCAGCAAACGCGACAACGGCCGGGGCGGCAAGCGCCGTGAGCGCAGTGTGGTCGCGGAAGAAGCAGACAGACGCTCTTGAGTCGAGCGTGAAAGAGAGCGAAGTAGTAGCGTCAGCCGACGGAGGAGCTAGCGTGGAGCCTAGGCTAAACAAGGCAGAGAGACATATGCCTGACGCAGCAGGGGAACCTAGACTACACACAGGGGACACACCTACGTTAGGCAACACCGAGTAATAGGGTCCAGTCACACTAGAGTCATCAGCATACATGGCATACAGAGCAGACCTAATATGATCCATGTCCATCTCAAAGACAGGCACACGACGACGCACGAGGCTGTACCAGTCGGGGGGGTCCGCCGTGGGGCCGAAGCGGAGACGGAAGAGGTCGTCGAGGCGGCAGTGTGCCCGAGACGGTCGCAGACGTTGTCGCGGTGGGGGCCGGGCTGAAGCTGGTACTGGCAGGTGACCACAATGGAGCCGCCATTTGACACCGAGCTGCGCCCCCCACCAACACGCCCACCACCGCCAGCGCCGCCAGTCCACCACGGCGGTGGGGGCCCCCACGGGGACTGCTGCTGCTGCTGCTACTGCTGAGGTTGCTACTGCTGCTGCTTCTGAGGCTGCTGCTGCTCCGGGGCACCAGCCCCGGTCCCCTCGTCAGAACCACCGTCCCCGCCCCCACCTCCACCACCCCCACCACCCCAACCACCCTTCCCTCCGCCACACCCCCCCTTGGGGCGGCGGCCCCTACCCTGACGCTGCTGCGCTGAGGCTGCGACGGCGGTCTCAGCAGCAAGGACTGTCTTAGCGACAGCCACAGAAACGTCAGAGTAAGTGCACCGAGAGGGAGCATAGCCCTGAAAGATAGGGACCGGCGCAGTACTGCTAGACTGAGCGATAGTGCGCAGGCGGGTCTCTATCGCAGAAAGGGCGGTGACGAAGGCGGTAAGGGTGAGGTCACCTGGGTGCTGTCTAAGAAAGTGGTAGCGGGCAGTGCCTAGGCGTTGAGGAAGGCGCATGGCAATGAGGTAAAGGGTAGCGCAAAGCGGCAGTGGGAAGGCAGTGAGCTACGCCTCAGTGCTAGCGGCACGGTAGCTTGTCTCTAGAGCACTGAGGTGAGTGGCGAGGTCAGCGACAGTGAGGAAGGACGCAAGATAAGGGAACGACATAGGGAGGATCAGGCGGCCAACAGAGGCGAGGGTGGAATAGCTCGCGATGACAACATCTAAGTACTCCTTGGCGTTTGCTACAGCAGTAAAGCGGGGACGCTCAGACAGGGGGAGGGCGTGACAAACGGCAAGTTGAACAATGGCATTGCGCGAATCCTAGAGAGCGCAGGCAAGCTCAACAGGTGCGGGGCCAGCAGGCACGGAGCCAGCGGGTGCGGGGCTAGCGAGCGCGGGGCCGACGGCCCTCGGGCTGGTGGGCGCAGGGCTGGCAAATGCGGGGCCAACAAGCGCAGGGTACGCGGGCGCGGGGCCAGCAGGCACGGGGTTGGCGAACACGGGACCAGCAGGTGCAGGGCTGGCGATCGCTAGGCCAACGGGTGCTAAGCGAAAGGGTGGCTACAGGCAGCTAGCTACTGGCGGCTAGTGACGGGCGGCCAGCGACGGGCGGCTAGCTACGGGCGACTAGGTCTAGGGCTAGGGCGGAAGCGCGGGTGGGCAGGGAGAACCTAACCTAGCGTGATTCAATATCAAAGTAACAAAGTGACAAGAATGTGAGATACACGGTGGTTTTGTGCTAAGGGGTTGTATACTCTAAGAATACGCACCTATCTAGCCTATAGTAACATATAAATATATGTTTGACACAAGGAATCCTCCAAGCACATTTCGTCACTGGCGATTTGGGTGCGCGCAATAAACCTGCAAAGATTTTGGGTCGAGCCTAATTCTTTGCTGGTTTATTACTAGCAAGGGGTGTTAGAATACTAGAATGGATTAGCAAGAATGGAGAACAAGGGAAATATAGGGTTTGGGTTGTACTCTCTAAGAACACACACCTATTCTAGCCTATAACTTCTACAAGCAAATGTATGTATAAGTCGACACACCCCCTACGCTAGATAAGGGGTAGTGCTGAGCTAGAAGCATACAGCTCAGGGTGGCACTACTAGTCTAGCCTCTGAGGCAGGGGTCCAAAGACAAGTCAGCAAGAGTACAAACAAGACAGGAGCAAACCAAGACAGCACTATTTCTCTGGCCACTGGAAGAGAAGCCACAAGGCCTGTCTGAAAGATATATATAAGACGAGTATACAATCAAGGTCCTAGCAAGTGAGAGTCTCCAAGCACTAGACCAAGCTGCAAACAGTGTCGCTGATAATCTCTAGGCGTAAGCGCCTTAGTAAAGATATCAGCTGTTTTGGCACCGGAGGCCAAGTGTACTACGCGGGCCTGGCGACACTGCTGTATCTCGCGCAGAAGGAAGTACCGCAGCTGGATGTGCTTCGCTCTGCCCTCAAGTCAAGGCTCTTGACACAGGAGGATCATGGCCCTGTTGTCAGCATACAGAACCGGGGCAGAGCTAGGCCGCTCACATAAGTCGGTGAGCAAGAAGGTCAGCCAGCAGAGCTCCTGTGCCGCCATGGCACCGGCGTAGATCTCAGCCTCACAGCTAGATAGGGAAAGAGACGAAGAGCGAGTGGACCTCCATGACATGACACCTGAGCCAAGGCTAAAGCAGTAGCCCTCCCAGGACCTGAGGGTCTCAGCATCGTCTGCCCAAGAAGCGTCCGTGTGCCCAGTAAGGACCACCGGCCTACGTCCTCCAAGCACTAACCCCATGCACGATGTACTTGCTAGATAACGCAAAACCCTCTTAGCGGTCGGCCAGTGCTGTGGTCGGTGTCTGCCTGTGGCCACAAAGCGAGCCAGAATGCTGAGAGGGTATGCGAGATCTGGACGAGTGCAAATCATCAGGTACATGAGGCAACCCACCAGCTCTGCATAAGGACCAGTGGGCTCTACTGACTCCTTAGGAACTGGAGCAGAGAGCCTGTGATCTACTGGCAGATGTGTGGGCTGTGCGGAGGAGAACTGAAGACCGAACCTCTGAAGGACCTGGCGCACCAAGTGTGACTGTGTGAGAGTCATGGTGCGCGTTGCTCTATCCCTAGAGACCTGCAGGCCAAGGTAGCGGCGCAGCCGTCCTAGGTCAGTACAGGTGTGTCTCCTCAGCAGTTCGGCCTTCACAGAGGCCAGTGCGTCTCTGTCTGTAGTAGCGAAGACCAGTTTGTCTATGTAGATAAGGATATAGAACGGAGTCTGGCCAGCACGAACGAAGAGCGAGGGGTCTCCAGAGGACGGAAAGAACGTAAGGTTAGCTAGCGTGGCACGCAGCACATCGTGCAACTCACTGGGCGCTTGTCGCAGGCCGTAGACCGGGCGCCGGAGGAGCCACTGGGTCCCAGGAGGGAAGGTACCGATGAAGCCCTGCGGTCGGCGCAGGTAAACGTGCTCGTATAGACTACCCTGGAGAAACACTGTGGAGAAGTCGAGGGTGTGTAGCTCGTAGTCACGCTCTGCTGCTACATGTAGCAGCGCCTGAAGAGTAGTTATCTTCGTGGTCGGGGCGAAGGTCTGAAAGAACTCCACCCCCTCGCGCTGACTAAAGCCTCTAGCCACGTATCGCGCCTTGAAGACAGGCGGCTCTCCAGGGGGACGCTTCACTTTGAAGAGCCACCGGCCATCGACTACGTTCACCCCAGGTGAGAGAACTGCGTCGACGTAGGTGCCGGTGGATCTCCAAGATGCCATTTTCTGCTCCATGGCAGATATCCACTGTGAGGCCCAAGGTTCCGAGGTCGCCTCAGTGTAAGTGTGAGGGGTCGGGATGTCAAAGGCGTTTGGGTCACCCTCAGGGAATAGCAGCATGGAACAGAGATGGGGAGCAACTTCAGACAAGAAAGCAAGATCGTACAGTCTGTCCTCTAGAACGTCACTGTGAAGGGCAGACGCACCACTGACGGACGGAGGGCAGACAGGGTCAGAGATCAAAGTGGTGGTCTAGTCAAGGCGGCGGGTAGAGACAAAGTGAGCGACGGCAGTGACAAGAGCGTCATTACTGGAGACATGGACAGATGGGTCGGTAATGAGGGAGGCAAGGACCCGAGGAAAAAGAGGACGAGCGGCACGAAGGTAATCAGACAGAGGGGCAAGCGCGACAGCGAGCGACGACGGAGGAGGTCAAGGCAGGAAGAGAGGACGAGATGCGTGGGAACGAAACAACATAGGGTGAGAATGCTAAACAGGAGAGACTGGACGAGCACGAGCGGGACGGCGAGACCAGACGTGAGAATGAGGCGTCGGGTCAGGGGACAGAGGAGGAGACAGAAGAGGGGAACGAGGGCTAAGACGCGTCGGAGACGAGTCCGGCGGCGGAAACACAGGGCCGTAGACAGGAAGAGGAGGAGGTGGCGGGGGAGGCGCAAGCGAGCGGTCAGGGGAGGGAAGGCCGAGCAGGCGAAGGGAGGACACCGGCGGCGACTACTGTTGTTGCTGCTCGACACCGACACGTGGACTGTCAGCTGCACCACGGCTACCTCTGGAACACTCCACTCCAGCATCCCCAAAACGGGCACCCCCAGAGCGAGAAATCTAGCCAGCACCGGTGCCACCTCCAGGCCCACCGGGACAAGCCACGACAAGAACCCCAGGACTAGCACCCTCCTCAACGCCAGCACCTCTAGAGTCTACGAACGGCTGCTGCTGCGACGGCGGCGGCGGCGGCTGCTGCGGTTGCGGCTGCGGCGACGGCTGCGGCGGTTATTGCTGCAACGGCGGTGGAGGAGACACGGGGGGGGAGGCCGGCGGCGAGAACGGCGCCGCGGGGCCACCAGAGTCAGCCGACTCCTCGACCGGGACAAGCAACGGGAGCGGAGTGACATGAGACACACCAGACGGAGCGGGACGGGGAGGGAGGGGAGTAAGGGCTACAGGGGGGGTACCGACGAGATGTTAAAAAAAACACCCAAATCGGGCTTGGCTGCGGTACGAACGCCCTAAATAGAGCTTGCTTTGCGGTTGGCTGGAAAAATGCCAAGGGACAAATTCAAGAACCAACTTATCGTGCGAGTTTTGTGTGCCCCAAACTTTGATGGGCAGGCTCGAAATTTGGTCGCAAGTTTTCCCCCAAAGCCCCATGTGAGCTTGCTGGAATACCCGCGAAGCTCATCAAACTTCCCAAGCACATGTCGTGGTTGGGATTTTCCAGTAACATCGCGGCGCCATCAAATGAACTAGGTTAGTTTATTGCTGCCGAACAGGGCCCATGTATGACTTGTGAGGGGGTGCTTCTGAAGGCATAGTTGGAGGTGAATGTCCACCTTCCTCCTCCGCAGCTTCGGCAAACCTTGCACGGGAGGTTCGGCTGTGGTTTGGGTTCGGTGAGCACTGGTTGACGTCGCGCGAGCTCCCGAGGCTGATTTGGGATTTCGCATATATTCGTCGGGGTTTTTTAACACAGGAGGGACCACTGTTCGAACGGTGCATGTATGACCGTTCGAATGCCGCCATTCGAACGGCTGGTGTCCACTCTTTTCAGGTTTTCGCCCGTTTTTTTTTTCTCGCACATTTTGCGATGGCTCTCGCGACATTAGCGAATTTTGTAACCAAGCGTTCTGTTCGGATTCTGGCGTTTTTCGGGCTGGGAGGTCACACGCTCTTACACTGTACCAGGCACTTCTATAAGAGTCTTTTCCTCATTACAGTATGTGAGTGAATTGAGTATAGCGCACAAAAGTTTCTGTACTGGCTCAACTCGAGACGCGTAGAAACGGCAGCACTCGGCGATGACCTCGCGTTCCGAGGTTTTTTTTTCAAAAGTTGCAAATGGACTTTCTTTTTTCTGATTGGCTGATCAATCTGCTTCAGATGTGTGTCGCTGAGCAAACCAGCCTGTGAAACCTTCGGCGTTTCTCGTCCTGGCCCCTAGGGATTGCCGCATGAGTCTGTGGACTCGAAGCACCTGAGTCGACCGTTGTATAACCTTCTATAACGCGGAATCCATTTCTCAACCGTAAACAAAGCAGACAGTGTGAACTATGACTCGCCCTTGGCACTCCTGCCTCCACTTGTGAGTGTGATCTGTAAAGCTAGGATCGTCCATGCATGATCGCCTTCCTGTCCGTCCAGCACCCTGACGCGAAGTGTCTAGCATTGCTCACTGCATCAGCTTACATTTTCGCGATTGTTGTGGGGCGTTTTTTCTCCCTCACTGCTGCATTATTGGCGCCCCCAGATTACGCTCTTGACTCCCCATCGCTGATCCAGTTTGGCGAGGGCTCGAGATCGGAAACAAGCTTACTAATTTCCTGACTTAGCCGCAATGCCGTCGAAGCTCCAGGAATGGCTAGATATTCCGCCAGGGACCATACTGCAGCATCTCCCGACGGGATCCTGGCGGAACTTATCAGAGGAGGAAGGCTACATCCTCCTTCACACGATCGTCGTCGCCACGGGCACGTGGGCTCTGCTCTTCCTCACCCTCCGCCTCTCGATTCTGTCGCGATTCTCCTTCGACTTCTGTAATCGCGCCGTCTCTCAGGCGAGTCTCGCAATGCGCCCGCATTTCACGGTTTCGCACTGCGTGAGGTTTACCTCCAAGTTCCCATGACCATCGCTCTCACCTGACACAATCAACTCTGTTCCACCTTCATACGAGTGAATCTGTGTCTTTTATTGTTTCTTTCCTTTCAACCAAGTGCAGTATCACCTGGCAAATTAGATTCTGAAGTGGCTCGTCAAAGCCATGCAAGGGCAATCTGAGTCCATGCCTCGCATGTCCTCTTCCCCATTTATCTTCGCGCTCCCATCGCCAGGTGCATGTGATCATCGCACTCGCCCTCTCCACAAGAGCGCTTAACTGGTCGGATCCTCTTGGAAACTTTGGAGGCCCCAACACCCTCCCTCAGGTGACTCCTTGACTCTTGATCTGCAGAACATAACTTCCCTCACAGTGGATATGTCCGGCCGTTGCTGGCCAGATCCTCAACACATCCTTGGCCTAGACTGACAATTATGGGTGCAAGTTTAGTCACCATCCGCTGTCATTGTGCAGTCCTTCAATCTTCCTGCATTCTTCTTTCCTGCTCCCTTGGCATTGTCATGCTAAGGCAATTCCCTGCTCCTTCCACCACTTGCTCTCATGCCACGTCACCACCAGGTGCAAGCCATGGTGATCAGCCTGAGCTACTTCCTCTACGACTTCGTCTGCTGCATGTTCGACGTCACCTTCGACTGGGCCAACGCCTTCCACCACGTCTTCTCAATATCCGGATTCGCCTTCGGCCTCATCACCGGTCGGGTATGTGCCACTTTGAAACTCATTGGAGGATACTGTGAAAGTATTTCGCGTGAGGGTTGAGAGTGACGTTTATCACCTGATCCTTATCTGCCTGCAGCAGCTGCCTTCGCACACAACCTGCTCCGCTCCCATTGCCTATCCCCAAACCATCCCCTGGCACAGTTTGGGTAGGAGCTGATGGTTTGCCTGTGGCTGGTGAAGCTGTTTGGCCCATTCATGCATGCGAGGGAAATGCGTTGCGAGCTTGGTGCACCCAGAACCACCTCCCTTCCCATTCTCTTCCCAAACCATCCCCTGGTGCAGTGTGGGGAGGAGCTAATGGCGTGCCTGTGGCTGGTGGAGCTGTCCAACCCGTTTATGCACGCTAGGGAGATGCTTCGCGAACTCGATGTGCCCAAGTCTCCTCTCACCTTCGCCGTTGATGTGAGACCATATGCTGCTGAGATTCTATCTTTCAGTCTGGGACCTGGCTACTAACCTGTGGACAACATGCTCTGGCTCCTGGAGTCCCTTATGGCCAATTGCCGAGGTTGATTCGTTGGTTTGGTTATCTTATTACTCACCCTTGCGTAGTGTCTTTTTCTACCTATTCTTCTCTCATGTGCCTTCTCTCTCCCTCCCTCCCCACTACCCACCCTCTCTCTCTCTCCCAACTCTCCCTCGTGTGACATGGCTGCAGCTGGCGTTTCTCATCTCCTTCACAGTAGCCCGCATGGTCGTTGGGCCGCTGGTAACATGGCAAACTGTCATTGGGACAAGCCCCACTGCTGTCAAGGTAAGGAAACTTCAAAACTTTCTCTCTGCTGTCTGTGATTGCTTCATCACCTCGTGATATATCATGTGCTACTTATCAAGTCAGTCGTTACTGACATTTGCAGCCGTGCTGCTTGTTTCACAGGTTGGCGCAGTGGCAATCCTAGCAGTCAGCACGTTCTGGTTCTCCAAGATCCTCAATGTAATATTTCGCATGCTTAGGCAGAAGCCTAAGCAAAGCTAAGCGGGCCAGGCAGTCTAGGTTCAAGTCAAGAAAATAATCTGTTGCACAATTTTGTCAATAGCTATCTTCCGGTTTAATTTCAAGCAGTGCAAGGTGGATGCTCAACCATGGCGACGCACGAAAATGGACACCACCTAGTGGTGTTCGTGCATGGTATGGCATGACCACAAGCAAGTCTTTCTCTACCCAGTAGCAGCTTTCCAGAGCAAGACAGTGACGTGGATGGTGTAATTGTCAGATAAAAAATCCGACCATTGATTCTGGATCCTGGTGAGTGAAGGTTAGAAATGGGTAGTACTATGGGCAACGCTTGTATTGATACAAAAATGACAGGGCAGCTGGAAAAGTCTCAGCGTCTCAACCGCATGTATGCATTACTAGACTACCCCCTAGTGAAATCAGCCTTCATACTTAGGGTCTGCTAGCACGTAATGATACGCCACGACCAGCATGAAGATCGTAATGCCGAGCACGTTCGCGAAGAACCCGAGATCTTGATCGTCGATCATCTGCCATATGGGTTTGATGGGAAATCAAGGCGACGACGAGTAGAGGAAGACGCACGCATGGGGATCCAAGTTGAAGCGGACGCGGAATACTCCTTCACAGCTGAAATTGATGGAAAATCAAGGCGACGACTTGATGAAGAAGACTCACGGAATCCTAATCGTAGAGGACGCGGGAATTAACTTAAGCTAACATCTGAAATCAAACAATCACTTGATATTTGTTGCGGGCTAGCGAACGTGGAGCGCATACCTTGATGAGACAGCGAGCTTCGGACCACTATATGGCAGCGATCCGAGGTGACAACGAGCTGGCACCGATAGTTTAGGAGCTGATGTCTGCAGCTTTTGTTAAGATCTAGGGCTCGAAGGTATCAATGCTGTCAAATGATAACAGGATCTGGTGCACACACTACCAAGCTCCAACACGTGCCAATAAACGAAACCAGTAGACTATCCTATTGGGGAGAAGTGATGTCTTGACGAGGGTATTCACGACTTGTCAGCTCCCGTGCGAAAACAGAATAGCACAATGTGGTAACCGTGCTGGGAGGGAAAGGTGGGACGGACACCAGCGAAGAGGCGAATTGCCGAGAGCTCAGAACCCTGATATTCGCGAATTCTGCGAAGGCTGTGCTCCCATCGCAAATTGTGGCGAATCAAAACACGACCCAGCAACACAGTTCAACCCCCAGAGCCCTACATTTTTGCGTTCTACATACTTGCTGTCTAATTCCCTTGAACCACAGCCCGCCAGTCCGACTTGTCTTGCTGCTTCTTCCTTCGGTCCTCCTACGTCCATCGCCATGAGCTCATCTCAGAAATCCTCCAAGGGGTCGAAACCATCGAAGGAAGCCGCGAAACCTGCTCCGGCTCCCGCAGCAACCCCCGCGCAGAGCACCTCGCCGGACATGAGCAACACCAACGTCTTCGAGTTCGGCTCGGCAACCGCGTCGGAAGATAAGTCGACGCTGGCGGGGTACTGTCCGGTGTCCGATGATCTAGAGCCGTGCCGGTGGGAGGTGCTGCCGTCAGGAGGAGGAGAGGCGCCTCGATTCCGCATCATATTCTGATGGTAAGAAAGGTCTCGAGACAGACGGTCCTGAAAACTAGACTCTGCTTTTACCTAGGTCGATGTTCCCCTTTTGAGACGCCTCCTAACTCGGTTGTTTTTCTTCAACTACCTTGCAAGTTTGGTATGTGCTGTGTGGTATTGAACTCCTTTCAGCTGATTGTTTCGCTGGCCATTCATCCAGCAACGTTCTAATCTCAACGACGTTTCTCCTTTGCCTTATTTTCTCAGCATGCAGCATCTATACTGGTGTTGGTAGGTGCCATCTGGTTGTCTGGAACCAGGATCGCCTAGGTTTTCCTAAAGCGCCCGATGTGATAGTATCGAAAAGCTGAATTACTGGTAGGTTTTGGAGATGTGACCAGTGCGCCTCATCACAGAATACTTAGGGGTCACGCCCTCTGTCCCAGAGCTTCAACCAAGCTGGCTTCCTTACACTGTTTGGTAGCAGATTTTGAATAAATGCAGGAGTGTGGTAAATCAGCTTATGGTGCAATGGAGTGTTCTACCGCACAACCAATAAGGTCAATACATATATAAGCCACCCAGGCACACATCACAGAGAGGGAGGCACATACGCCATCTCCTGCACCTGCACATACGACGTCCCACCATCAGCCGCCCGTCTCCACTTCTGCTTCCTCATCAGCTGAAGCGCTGCAAACGCCGCCAGCGCCCCCCCCACCACCACCACCAGCAGCACCCCCACCCACACCGACCCCCCGCTGCCGTCCTGGCTGCCCCCTCTGTTGGTTTCCAGCGGCACTGGGGCTGATGGGGAGGAGGAAGAGAGAGACGGCTCTCCAAATTCTGTGCTGAAGGAGTGGTCGTAGGAGGGGTCAAGGGCCGGGCGGGTGTTAGTCATGGAGTCCCTTGTCTCGCTGCTGCTGCTGCTGCTGCTAGGGTGCCTGCTCCTTACCTCACCAGCATCCTCCTCCTCTCCCTTCTCCATCTCCCTTTCCTCCTCCTTCTCCTCCTCCTCTGCCTCCTCTGCTGCCACCTCTCGCGCGTCTGGCCCACGAGGTGAGGCAAGAGAACCACCTTCTGTCATCCCACCTGCTGTCATCCCACCTGCTGTCATCCCACCTGCTGTCATCCCACCTTTCCCTCGGCCCAACCCGCCTTCCCCTCTGCCCGTCGCAACCCCGTGCAGTGCTCCCTCCATCCCTCCACCGCCACCACCACTACCACTTGCCCTACCCACATCCGCCCTCCCACCTGTCTCCATGCCGCCCATCACATCCGCTGCGCCAGCAGCGCCCAGCACCTGCTCTCGCGGGTCCCACGACACCGCACTGTCCTCCTCCTCTATCCCCCCGAAGTCAAACTCCTTCTTCTCCTCCGCTTCTATCACCGCTTCCTCCGTCTCCACCTCCTCCACCTCTGCTCGTGCCTCTGTTGCTCCCTCCTCGCCCCCGTGTCCCTCCTGTTCAGTCCCCCCCTCCCTTCCACCAGCGCCGGCACCAGCACCAGTGCCAGCAGCAGAGGCAGCAGCAGCAGCAGCACTGTCACCACCAGCACCCGTGCTTCTACCAGTAGCGGCGGCAGCAGCAGCAGCAGCGCGGGTACGTGAAACGTGGTGGCTGACTGAAGCTAGGGGGAAGGCAGCGGCAAAGAGAACCTGCTCCAGACCAGCCTGCAGTTTAGGGGGGGAAGAAAGGCCAAGGATTAGCCCCCCTGCGTCATACTCGATACAGACTCACCCGCATCAACACTTGAGAAGGTCTCACCTGCATCATACTATATACAGACTCACCTGTATCAGACTCCACATAGTTTCACATGGACCATACTCGATAAAGTCTCACGTGCATCAGACTCCACATAGTTTCACATGGACCATACTCGATAAAGTCTCACGTGCATCAGACTCCACATAGTTTCACATGGACCATACTCGATAAAGTCTCACGTGCATCAGACTCCACATAGTTTCACATGGACCATACTCGATAAAGTCTCACGTGCATCAGACTCCACATAGTCTCACATGGACCATACTCGATATGGTATCACCGGCATCATGCTCGATACAGACTCACCTGCATCATACATGATACAGACAAAACTGCACCTCACAGTTTCATTCAACCCACCTGCATGATACTCGATATAGTCTCACCTGCATCATACTCAATATAGTCTCACCTGCATCATACTCGATATAGTCTCACCTGCATCATACTCGATACAGACTGTGCCATCTGTGCCACTATCTCCACTGCCATCTCATCAGGCGTCTCAGCGCCATCCTTGCACCAATCACAGCTCGCGACCACCTGAGTGTGCTTGTAGCACTTGCCCTCGAAACCAGGCATGTCCTGCCAGCAAGGAAGATAGAGAGAAGGGGTGGGGGGGGGGGGGGATGGGGAGATGCTTTTGAGGCGCTTCAAGAGCAACCTCCTGCCCCGCTTGTGCTGGTGGCACTTGGCCTCGAAACCAGGCATGTTCTGTCAGCAAGGAAGATAGAGCCAGCAATGACGGCTGTGATAATGATGGTCTTGTCAAGAGACAGGTGCAAAACCAGCATGCCGTGAGAAACGAGCAGCAGACCCTATCGACGGGGAGAAAGGCTCACCGGCGGGGCAAAGAGCTTACTAAAGGGGAGACCAGCTTACTAAAGGAGAGACCAGCTTACTAAAGGAGAGACCAGCTTACTGAAGGGGAGAAGAGCTTACCGACGAAAGGGAAGCATACTGATGGGACGCAAAGCTTACTGAAGGGGAGGAAACCTCACCGACGGGGCGAAAAGGTCGCAGACATGCCGATCCCAGACATGCTTGAAGATCTTCTCAGCCGTCCGATTCGACATCCCCGTCGCAAATCCAACGGGCACCGTTCCTCCCACCTGCCTGCCCACCTCCCTCGCACTCCCCTGAACCGACCCGACAGCAGGCTCCCTGCCTGGACGGGCAGCCTCTAAAAACTCCATCGCCTGCCCGAAGGTGGTGATCTGCCCGCAGCTACAGAAGGAGGTGACTTCGAGGCACATTTCTTTGCAGGGCAGCCCGAGGGAAAAAGCTGCGATCATGCGGGGGAGGGCAGCCTCTATGAGGGCGTCAGGCTTCTCCTGGCCCGTCGTTATCTGGCGCAGCTCCGGCTGGCAGCGGGGCGGAAAGAGAGGGAAAAAGGAGAGCATTCAAGTCACTTGCTTTTATCAAAGCATCAAGCTTCTCCTGGCCAGTTGTTATCTGACACAGCTCTGGCCGGTGCGACGCGAGTAGGCCTTGGGAGGAGGGACGGGAGGAGAGACAGGAGGAGAGACGGGAGGAGAGACGGGACAGACTGAGCGATGGGAGCAAGAATAGCCGTCTCCCTCCCCACAACCCACCCTCCCTCCCCGCAACCCATGCGCTCACCAGAATCTCGTCCAAGATTTTGTCAAATGTGCCGCAGGTGGGCGCGGTCTGGCCGCACCAGAAGCGGTGCAGCGCCTGCAGGCACGGCTCACAGGGCGGGTCGTATCCCGCCTGCACCAGTCGCGACCTGACCACCACATTGGGGTCCAGGGACAGGTCCACCTGCTCCTCTAGAGTGTACGCGCAGTCAACAGAGGGGTTGACCAGGTCAACCGCACACTGCTGCCCCATACTCGCACTGCCCTCCTGCCCTCCGCCCCTCACAGCCCTGCACGCCCCCCGCCCCCCGAACAGGTTGCACGGCCACATCTTAGCTGCTACCAGCGCTGCCCCCATGCCACCCAGCAGCACCTTCTGGGAATCTTCCGGCAGGTCGGCAGCCTCGTGCACGTCCTGCGATAGGGTTACCAGCGCCTCTGCCTGCTGCGGCGTCAGGGGCGGCTTTGCTTGCTGCTGCGTCAGGGGCACGCCTGCCTGCTGCTGTGTCTGGGGGGGCTTTGCCTGCTGCAGCGGCTCTGCTTGTTGATGGTTGAGGGGCGGCTCTGCCTGTTGTTGGGTGAGGAGAGAAGGTGATGGGGGATGCGTCAGAGGCTCCTCTCCTCCTCTTTCCAGCGCTCCTTCTTTTTCATCCTGCCCTTCCTTTTCCGCCTCTCCTCCTTTTTCCTCCTCTCCTCCCTTTTCCTCCTCTCCTCCCTTTTCCTCCTCTCCTCCCTTTTCCTCCTCTCCTTCCTTTTCCGCCTCTCCTCCCTTTTCCTCCTCCCCTCCTTTTTCCACCCCTCCTTTTTCCTTTTCCGCCTCCCCTCCCTTTTCCTCCTCCCCTCCTCTTTCCACCTCCCCTCCTCGTTCCGCCTCTCCTCCTTGTTCCTTCTCTTCTCCCTTTCCCACCTCCGCTTCCTTCTCCACCTCGTTCTTTCCATCCTTTCCTGCTCCCCTCCCCTCTCCTCCTCTTTCCGCCTCTCCTTCCTTTTCCCCCTCGGCTTCTTGCTGGGCGGTAGGCGTATCTGTCTGTTGCGGCGTCGGGGGAGGAGCCGCTCTTTTCTGCGACTCAGTTTGCTCCGGATCCAGAGGGGGCGGTGCTTGCCGCTGGGCTTCTAGTTGTGGCTGGGTTGGGGGCGGTTTGTGCAATGTGTCTGTCTCAGAATCTGCAGCTGTGAATTGCTCTGCGGAGGGCCCCTCTGCTTGCTGCTGGGTCAGGGGTGGTTTGTGCGCTGCGTCTGTCTCGGAACCTGCAGGTGGCTGCTGCTTTGCCGAGGGTGCCTCTGCTTGGTGCTCAGCAAGGGGAGGAGGCGCGGCAGGAGTGGGGGGCGGAGGAAGTGTGGATGAATTCGGGGGGGGTGCGCTGCTGCCGTCACTGGCATTGCTGCTGCTGCTGCTGCTTCTCCATCTGCTGCTGCTGTGCCTACCTCCCGTACGGCCTGCAAGTGAACAGGCAGGCAGGACGGGGGGGGGACAGGGTGTTGAAAGGGAAGGGGGAAAGGGGGGGGGGGGGGGGGGGTGGCATATGAGAGAAAACATGGAGCGGCAAACAGAGGAAGAGGAGGCAGGGGTGAGGGAGGGAGGGAGTACGCAGGAAGAGGAGAGGGAGGGTGGACGGAAGAGGGCAAGAGGTAAGAGGCGTGGCAAGGTGACAGCAGGAGATAAGAGTCGAAGGGAGGAGGGCGAGGAACGAGTAAACAAAGAACAAGAGAGGAATGAGCGAATAAGAGAGGAATGAGAGGAATGAGAGGAATGAGAGGAATGAGAGGAATGAGAGGAATGAGAGGAATGAGAGGAATGAGAGGAATGAGAGGAATGAGAACAAGTTCAGGAGAGAGCCCGAGGGCGAGAGGGCGAGAGGACGAGGAGGGCGAGCGGCCGCGAGGGCGAGGGGGCAAGGGGAGGGGGCAAGAGGGCGTGAGCGCGAGGGCACTGACCCACGCCACGGTGACCGGCTGTCCGAGCGGCAGATGCGGCGAGGAACGAATCGCAAGAGAGGGATGAGCGAGGAGCAGTGGGATGGCGGGAGAGAAAGAGGCGAGAGCGCGAGAGCACTGACCGGCGCCACGGTGGCTAACTGTCCGAGCGGCAGATGCGGCGAGGACGAGGCAGAGGAGGGCGAGAAGGCGCGTGTGGACTGTCGTGAGTCGACTCGCACGAATGACTCGCGCCGGCCCCATGGCGCACTCGCTGAGACTGACACGCGGATGTTACACGCGGGACGGATGTTACACGCGGGACGGATGTTACACGCGGGACGGATGTTACACGCGAGACGGATGTTACACGCGGGACCGGACGGACAATAAGCCTTGGGGAAAATCTGTAAGTCCTCTCGCCTAGTTGACCTCGGGGCGGGAAAATGGTGGCGAGCCTCCCGTGACAACTACGTGCACGTGGTGGTAATGATGATCAGCTCGCCCCATGGCTGACACGAGGGGACGCCTGGCAACAACCCGGCCAACAAAGCTAGGAGCGGTGTTTGTTGACCAGGCGATATTTATTATCGCTCGCTGATCATCCTAGATTCGGTTTATCTTATGGAAGAAATAGACTAGCAGTCGACTAGTAGCTGATTTGGCGTTTGCTAACGGCCAACAGGTAAGCTAGTAAAGCTGCAACTATGGCAGTTGACTTGGCCCAAGATGCTACCATCGTCGGTGTGGCGGTGATGGTGGTGGTGGTGGTGGTGGGATCGTTCGAGAATGACGTCCTCGTTTCTGCACGTCCCGTCTCAAACACAATCACTGCAGGGAAGTCTATGTGTATTTTGGTCGTAACATAGTCGCGATTGAAAACCTTATTCCAGCTTTTGAAATAGTAACTTCGTTACTGTATGCTTCAACTGAAGTCTTCGCTTTCCTGCCCTGTTGCGTGCGTGGGTCCAGTGGTGTGGTTTCTCGCGGAGGCGTGTTACACGAGGTTTAGTTTTCGTGCACGCAGTCATCGGTTCGCTTTCTCGTCCACTTCTGCTTCGCCCACCCATTCAAATCCACATGGCAGCACAGCAATCTCCCACCCCTCGTGGTTGAAGCCAAGATCTGTTCTCGAGGTTCAAGCCAAGGTTGCCCCTAGTTCCAGATCAGGAGTCAGGGCTCAGGACTAATCGAAACCTAGGATGGGTGCGAGCTAATTTAGGGTCTGACCCCTAGATCAGCAGACGCCCTTATTTCCCCCCCTGCTTTTCTCGCTAAGGTTTCGAATGGCGGATCCCACGTGATCTCCCCGATTCTCGCGTATCGGTTATTGGCGCGTTGACCAGGTAAGGCAGGGAGTTATTTTTGGGTTATTGGTCGAGCTCAGTGTCGATTACCACTTTAGCCAGGACCAAGTTAATTACAGCGTTAGTTCATTCCTTTATTTCCTGATCTTTGTCTCATCCGGGAAATGCTATTTTAAATGGTCGTTTCATGTCCAGTTTTTAGACAAGAATCAGAGCGTTTCGTCGTTCCACTCCTTCCGCCTCTCCCTGTTCGCTCAAGTCCTCTTCTCTGCTCTTCTCTTTCCGTGCGCAGGCACCACCCTGACTTGGGCGGTTTTCGTATCGTCCCGTTCCAGCTAGAAACCATCGTGCCTCACACACACGGTTTCCGGTCTCAGCACAAGTTCTCTCCATACTACGTCGCCACACCGCGCCCTCCCGCTTCTTCTCCTATACCGTCTCGCTCACTAGACCCCTATTTCCCGCACGCCTTTGAAGCACACAGTTTTTCAATAAGTCATCTCAAACCCTAATCTCTAGCATCCAGCTCAAACCCTAATTTCCAGCATCCAGCCATGGCGAACCCGTTCGCCCCAGCAGCTGCCTCCCCGTTCGGCGCGGCGCAGCCCGCCTCCCCCTTCGGCGCCACTTCCGCCTTCGGCGCGTCCGCCACGCCCGCCAGTCCGTTCGGCCAGGCGGGCACGTCGCTCTTCGGCGGGGGAGCCGCAACCGGCGGAAGTGTGTTCGGCGCGGCTTCTGCGCCCGCCTTCGGCGCGACGTCCGCGCCGGCGTTCGGCGCAGCTGCGACGACTCCGGCATTCGGGTCCACGGCTTCGCCTTTTGGCGGCGGTAAGCGTTGTTCGTGCATAGTTGAGAGCTCGATCGGAGCGTGGTTCGAAGTACAGGCTTTTTCAAGCGCATAGAATATTGTAACGGCTGCCAAGCTCCTTCTGCGCTGCTGCTCTGCCTCACCCTCCTGTTGGCACTGCATTTGAAATCCATGCTCGCCGTTCACTCTGCCTACACCTCTTTCTCCTCACTCCGTCACATCTCTCCCATACCCCCACGCCACCCCCACGCCACCCCCACGCCACCCCCACGCCACCCCCACGCCACCCTCACGCCACCCCCACGCCACCCCCACGCCACCCTCACGCCACCCTCACGCCACCCTCACGCCACCCTCACGCCACACCACGCCACCCTCCCACAGGCTCGTCTCTGTTCGGACAGCAGCAGAAGCCAGCAGCTTTCGGCACCTTCGGCGCAACCCAGGCCAGCCCCTTCGGAGCGCCGTCCTTCGGCCAGCAGTCTCAGCCCGCGTTCGGGGCAGGCGGGGCCTTCGGCGCGACCACCACCACCCCTGCCTTCGGCGCTACTGCCGCCACGCCCGCGTTTGGCGCCGCCGCTCCCGCATTCGGCGCGTCCGCCCCGGCGTTTGGCGCGACCGCTGCCACGCCCGCGTTTGGCGCGGCGAGTGCGCCCGCGTTTGGCGCGACGGGCGGGCTGTTTGGGTCCACCGGTGCTTCGGCGTTTGGGGCTGCGTCTGCGCCTGCGTTCGGCAGCCTCGCATCTCCCAGCTTTGGAGGTATGTATATTGGTCTACGTTGGCGTGGCGAGTGCGCCCGCGTTTGGCGCGATGAGTGGGCTTTTTGGGTCCATCGGTGCCTCGGCGTTCGGGGCTGCGCCTGCGCCTGCGTTCGGTGGCCTCGCATCGCCCAGCTTTGTATATTTTTGAGGCGCCTAAAAAAAATCCATGCGTGGGGAGATTTTTGAGGCGCCAAAAAAAAAAACATGCGTGAGGAGTCTATTTTTGAGGCGCCTCAAAAATAGACGCCTGCGTTCGGTCGCCTCGCATCGCCCAGCTTTGGAGGTACGGGCCCTGGCCTTCTTCGGCCATGCCCTTCCCATTCTACTATCCCTGCTTCCTCTCCCTTTTCCCAAGTTCTCTCCCACTTTCTTTCTCCCCCCACCTCTCCTCCTCCCTCCCCCCCCCCCCTCCCCCCACTTCCTTCCCCCTCGCAGTCCTCCATGTCCTCGTATCTGCTCCTGCTTCCTCTCTTCCACACTACCTAACCCTTCTCGTGTTCCCTCTTCTGCCCCTTACTCCTCTTCATTCTCACTTCCCCCTCACCATCTCGCTGTGATAGATTTTTTAGGATTCTAAGAAAGCTTTCCCCTCAACATCTCGCACCCTCTGTCCCCCTTTCCCTCTGCGCCCCCCTCTGCGCCCGCCTCTGCGCTCGCCTCTGCGCCCCCCTCGTTCGCAGCATCGGCGCCTGCCTTCGGAGCAACCACCTTCGGAGCCACGCCCTTCGGAGCAGCCGGCGCAGCAGCAGGCATGGGCAGCCGTAACCCCGCATACACCCCGACCAACGACACGGAAACTGGCACCACGGGACAGCCGGGCAAGTTCATCTCCATATCCGCCATGCCGGCGTACAAGAACAAGAGCCCGGAGGAGCTGCGCTGGGAGGACTACCAGCGGGGTGACAAGGGCGGGCCCGCGCCAGCACAGGCAGGCGGGGGGCTCTTCGGCCAGCCAGCAGCAGGAGCCGCTTCTCCCTTCGGCGCGGCTGCTACCCCCACGTTTGGCTCCCCTGGGCTTACCGGAGCGAGCCCTACGAACCCGTTCGGCCAGGCGTCCACGCCGAGCCTGTTTGGCTCGCCTGCCCCGTCGTTTGGCGCCGCTCCGGCTGCAACTCCTGCGTTCGGCGCGTCCACGTCTCCCTCGCTCTTTGGATCCTCCACCCCTGCATTTGGCGCCGCTGCCTCGCCGTCTGCGTTTGGTACCCCTGGGGGGTCTCTCTTCGGTGCTGCTGGCACCACTGCTGCCAGCCCCTTCGGCGCTGCTGCTGCGTCGACTCCCTCCCTCTTTGGCTCGCCTGCTGCTGCCACCGCCTCTCCCTTTGGTGCCTCCACCGGTGCGTCTCTCTTCGGAGGCGCGTCGCCTCTGGGGCAAGCAGGCGCGGCTGGTCAGCCCGGCACTTCCCTCTTTGGCGCATCTTCCCCTGCCTTTGGCGCTGGCGCGTTTGGTACTCCTGGCGCTGCTGCTGCGACGCCCGCGTTTGGAGCCACGCCGTCGCTGTTTGGTTCGGGAGCAACCACGGGGGGCGGGCTGTTTGGGAGCTCCACACCGGCTGCTGGTTCCACCGGGCTTGGCTTTGGGTTCGGCACGGCCGGAGCTGCTGGTTCGGCACCGGGGTTTGGCGCGGCAGGGGGGTCGCTGTTTGGCGGGGCGGCAGGGGTGGCAGGGGCGACTGGGGCGGGGCTGTTTGGGGCGTCTACTGGGTCAGCGTTTGGGTTCGGAGGGGCGTTCCAGACCAAGCCGGCTGGACTCACCCAGTCTTCGGTACGCTTGCCTTGTCTCTCAGCGTCTGGCTCTTTTGCTTGCTTCGATCCTCGTTTCGGTATTGTCACCGCGTCTTCCCTCCTCCCGGCTGTCTCGTCTGGCCGGCTTTCCCTGTGTTGGGAGGGAAAGCTTGCAAGATATTATTACCCTCTCTCCTCTACTCATTATCCCTTGGTCGCGGCTCTCTCTTTGTCTCGCCTTGCAGGCCTTCCCGTCGTTCGGAGGGCTGGGAGCGTCAGCAGCGACCCCGGGCTTTGGAGCATCGCAGCCTGCCTGTGAGTCTCTTGCTGCCGCTAGTTGAAAAAGTGGTTTGTACGTTGTTTTGTTTGTTTTGTTTCGGAGGGTCTCGACTCTCGGTGCATCAGCAGCCACGTTTCGCTTTGGAGCCCTCCTGTTGAGTCGCCTTGTCGCTGCCTCCATGTGATGCCATACGCGTCTAGTTTCTGAGACGCCTCAGACCTCAACTTGTAGCACACGCAGCCCTCCTGTGAGTCGCCTTCTTGCTGCCTCCAGTTCAAAGGTGCACGAGTTGGGAACACTGGTGTTTCTCACTCTCGCCTTCTCTCAGATTCTTACTCTCATGCCATCGCATGACTCTCATGCCATCGCATGACTCTCATGCCATCGCATGACTCTCATGCCATCACATGACTCTCATGCCATCACATGACTCTCATGCCATCACATGACTCTCATGCCATCGCATGACTCTCATGCCATCCCATGACTCTCATGCCATCGCATGACTCTCATGCCATCGCATGACTCTCATGCCATCACATGACTCTCATGCCATCGCATGACTCTCATGCCATCACATGACTCTCATGCCATCACATGACTCTCATGCCATCACATGACTCTCATGCCATCACATGACTCTCATGCCATCGCATGACTCTCATGCCATCCCATGACTCTCATGCCATCGCATGACTCTCATGCCATCGCATGACTCTCATGCCATCACATGACTCTCATGCCATCGCATGACTCTCATGCCATCACATGACTCTCATGCCATCACATGACTCTCATGCCATCACATGACTCTCATGCCATCGCATGACTCTCATGCCATCCCATGACTCTCATGCCATCGCATGACTCTCATGCCATCGCATGACTCTCATGCCATCACATGACTCTCATGCCATCACATGACTCTCATGCCATCACATGACTCTCATGCCATCGCATGACTCTCATGCCATCCCATGACTCTCATGCCATCGCATGACTCTCATGCCATCGCATGACTCTCATGCCATCACATGACTCTCATGCCATCGCATGACTCTCATGCCATCACATGACTCTCATGCCATCACATGACTCTCATGCCATCACATGACTCTCATGCCATCGCATGACTCTCATGCCATCCCATGACTCTCATGCCATCACATGACTCTCATGCCATCGCATGACTCTCATGCCATCGCATGACTCTCATGCCATCGCATGACTCTCATGCCATCGCATGACTCTCATGCCATCACATGACTCTCATGCCATCACATGACTCTCATGCCATCACATGACTCTCATGCCATCGCATGACTCTCATGCCATCCCATGACTCTCATGCCATCGCATGACTCTCATGCCATCGCATGACTCTCATGCCATCACATGACTCTCATGCCATCGCATGACTCTCATGCCATCACATGACTCTCATGCCATCACATGACTCTCATGCCATCACATGACTCTCATGCCATCGCATGACTCTCATGCCATCCCATGACTCTCATGCCATCGCATGACTCTCATGCCATCGCATGACTCTCATGCCATCGCATGACTCTCATGCCATCGCATGACTCTCATGCCATCGCATGACTCTCATGCCATCGCATGACTCTCATGCCATCCCATGACTCTCATGCCATCGCATGACTCTCATGCCATCGCATGACTCTCATGCCATCGCATGACTCTCATGCCATCGCATGACTCTCATGCCATCGCATGACTCTCATGCCATCGCATGACTCTCATGCCATCGCATGACTCTCATGCCATCGCATGACTCTCATGCCATCCCATGACTCTCATGCCATCGCATGACTCTCATGCCATCGCATGACTCTCATGCCATCGCATGACTCTCATGCCATCACATGACTCTCATGCCATCGCATGACTCGCGTACGCGTCCCTCCCAACTGTCCCTCGGCTTTCACTTGTAGCTGGAGATCGTTCTCCTCAGCCCCTCTTCTCCCTACCCGCCCCTCTTCTCCCTACCCGCCCCTCTTCTCCCTACCCGCCCCTCTTCTCCCTACCCGCCCCTCTTCTCCCTACCCGCCCCTCTTCTCCCTACCCGCCCCTCTTCTCCCTACCCGCCCCTCTTCTCCCTACCTGCCCCTCTTCTCCCTGCCCCTTCGCAGTCGGAGGAGGGCTCTTTGGCTCCACGCCTCAGCTGGGCTCCTCTGCCTTTGGCACCTCGTGAGTTCCCCCCTTTTCTCCTCTGCCTCCTCATTCTGTCAGAACCGCACAGTCCACTCCTCGTTCTTCAGCCCTCATTTTCTCTGGTAGCGCTCACGCACACCCTCATGAGCACTTGTGATTCGGCCCCTCGTGTTGATGCATGCCCACTGCTCGGCCTTGAGCCCTGGGTCATTGTAGCGTTGTGAAACGTTGTGTTTGGGCGGTACTCAATCCGTCCATCCCCTCTGTCCGAATAGCCTCCTCTGGTTCAGTAACCCTCGTGAATGGTCGAGTGAACACCACTCGACTCAAAGTCATCTCGTAACCCTCGTGAATCTTCGTCCATGCTTGAATGCCGGTTTCCGGAGAAACGCCTGTATTTCCGCCTCTCTTGTGAGAGATTTTTTAGAATTCTCCACAGAATTTCCGCCTCTCTTGCTTTGGTTTGCTGGCATATCCCTGTCCACTGATCCGACGGTTCTCCTTCCTTCCAACGGCCCCTCCCTTCCCGCTCCTCCCTTTCCGTCCCTCCCTTCCCTCTCCTCCCTGTCCGGCCCTCCCTGTTCACTCCAGTTTAGGAGCGCCCTCCATGGGAGGCCTTTTCGGCCAGTCCCAGCCTCAACAGCAGCAGCAGCAGTTGCAGCTCCAGCAGCAGCAACAGCAGCAGCAGCTGCTGCAGCAGCTGCAGCAGTCGGGGTTGCTCCAATCTCCCTTTGGCGTTCTTCCAGCCCAGCCAAACTTCGGCCTTGGTGCAGCGGGAGGGGTCAGAACGAGCACGGAGCTTGGCATCTCCAGCATGCCTGTGAGTATTGAAATCCTAGGAGTAGTAGTCATTCATGCGTGTGAGTGAGTATCCAAGCACTTGGCAGTCGGGGTTGCTCCAGACGCCCTTCGGTGTGCTGCCAGCTATGCCTAACTTTGGGCTCAATGCAGCGAGAAGGGGTCAGAGCGAGCACGCAGCTTGAGATTTCCAGCATGCCTGTGAATCGTGAAACCCTATAGATAGCCATTCGTGCCTCTGTGTTTTAATGTCGACCCGTTTTTTTTCTCTTACTTTCTTTCTCTCATTGTTGCATCGCAATTGTTCCTCTAACCGTCCACTTTCACCTCCCTTAAGTCTCTTGGATTTCTTTCTTCCCCCACTCCCTCTCCCTCTCCCTCTCCGTGCGAGTCACAGGCATCAGACCGCTATGCTTCAGGCACGCGGGTCTCCTCCATCCTCACCCCCCGCCGCATCACTCCACGCACGCGTGCACGTATGCACCCCACCCGCCACTTCCACCCCACCCGGGACACCGCCCGCGTGCCCTTCTTCTTCTCCCCCGCTGACCACGACGACCTCTCCGCCGCCGTGCCCCGCGCCGACGCCCTCTTTGTGCCACGCGACAACCCCCGCGCGCTCTTCATCCGCACCCCCGTCGCCCCCGCCCCCGCCCCCGCCCCCGCTCCTGCCGCTGCTGCTGGTGCCGGTGCTGCGGACGGCAGCCCAAATGGACCAGGTGCCGCAGGTTCGCCTCAAGGGTCAGATTACCAGTCCCCCCCTGCAGGCGCGTCTCCCAGAGACGCCTACTATGCTCCCTCCGCCCCTCCCTACGACTCATCCGACCTGCCAGCCAACGCGGGGCAGTCCCCCAAGAGCCCCTCTGCTGCCCGCGCCGCAGGCACAGGTGGGGGGTTTGGGTCCGCCATGCCCTCCCCAACGCTCTCCCCCGCGTGGAACGGCTCCTTCTCCCCCTCCTCCCCCCCTCCACCCACTCGCACCACTGCAAACGGGTCTGACCTCGAGTCTCACCTCCCGAAGCTCAAGTCTCCGGACTATTTCACGGAGCCGTCTCTCTCGGCGCTGGCTGCGCTGGAGCGGTCGCTCCCGGGGTCGCTGGCGCGGGTGCGGGATTTCGTGGTGGGGAGGAAGGGGTTTGGGAGCGTGCGGTTTCTGGGGGAGACGGACGTGCGGGGCCTGGACGTGGAGGCGATAGTGCAGTTTCACAAGTGCGAGATCCTGGTGTATATGGACGAGGAGAGGAAGCCGCCTGTTGGGGAGGAGCTAAACAAACCCGCTGAAGTGACGCTGCTGCAGGTGGTGTGCGTCGACAAGAGGACCGGCAAAGCAGTGAGTGTTCCTGTTGATGCTCTCCCCTGTTTCCCTCCTTTTTCTTCCGTAGCGAGCGGTGAGTGCTGGCGGTAATTCAGTCTCACAAGGGGCTTGGGAGCGCCAGGATTGGTTTAGGGTTTTGGGGGGAGACGGACGTGTGGGGGCTGGACGTGGAGGCGATAGTGCAGTTCCCACAAGTGCGAGATCCTGGTGTACATGGACGAGGAGAGGAAGCCGCCTGTTGGGGAGGAGCTCAACAAACCGGCTAAAGTGACGCTGCTGCAGGTGGTGTGCGTCGACAAGAAGACTGGCCAAGCCGTGAGCGCCCCCGCCCCTGATGATGATCTCCCCTGTTTCCCCCTCTTTTTTTTTTTAGTGCACCCTCGGGGGTCAGGGTTCAGGGTTTAAGGGTTTATGGGGGAGACGGACGTGCAGGGCTGGATGTGGAGACGATAGACGCCGCCAAGGACGAGTGGGCTTGAAGACCCAACTCTTATATCTTCCCCCACCCTCCTCTCTCTCCCACGCTGCCCCTCTCCTACCCCTCCCCCCCTTCCCATGTGGATCACCCCATCGATTAAAATCAGGTCACGGAAGGGGCAGAGCTGGATCGTTTTGAGCGCAAGCTGCGGCGCAAGACGGCGGAGCAGGAGGCGGAGTTCCTCTCGTTCAACGCCGCCAAGGGCGAGTGGCGTTTCAAAGTCAACCACTTCAGCCGGTACGGCCTCGAGGACTCGGATGACGAGGAGGAAGAGGAGGAGGAGGAGGAGGAGGAGGAGAAGAGGGGGAGAGAGGGGAGGGAGGAGGGGAGGGAGGTGGGGAGGGAGGGCGAGGGGAGGACTATGAGACGGATGAGGGTATGAGTGGTGGTAGTGATGATGATGATGGGGATGTGGATGTGGATGGGGATGGGGATACAGGACGGCGGAAGTCGCAGTGGGGTGGCCAGAGCGGTGCAGCCGGGCCACCTGGCGGCGTGTCATTGGACAGAGCGCTGCCAGCTCAGCTGGGAATCGACCCAATCAGGCTGCAGCAGATGCGCCAGGTCATGTTTGGTGGTGACGATGATGATAATGATGGTGGGGACGGCGATTATGGTGCTGGTTATGCTGGGTTGGGGGGTATGGGTCTGGCAAGCGCCAAGAGGAAGCAAGGGGGGTTTGGGTCATCAGGGTTTGGAATAGAAGCCATGGAGTCAGACTGGCAAGCCTGGGGAACGAAAAAGGCTCCTCGCTTCGGCATGCTGGGTGCTGCTGCCGCTGCTGCTGCTGCTGCTGCTGCTGGCGCCACCAGTGCTGCTGGCGCTGCTACCAGAAATGCAGGGGATCCTTTGGCCAACCCCTGGGCAGCTGGATTCCGGGCCAACAGGAGGGCAGGAGGGCTTGGATCGCAGAAAGCGTCCTCGTTTCGAGCAGTCAGCAGGGGAGGCGTCAGGGTCTTTTCTGAGTTCGAGGCAGGGTCAGCAGGAGCAGCAGCAGGAGCAGGAGCAGGAGGAGCAGCAGGGGGAGGGGCGGGTGCGGTCCTTGCACTGGGGCTGCAAGGCCGTGTGCCTGCGCATGTGCACCCAGGGGCAGTTGTGGCGTCTGGGTTCGAATGGACCATCCCCAAGGCTACGGCTACAGCTGCAGCGGGGGCGCTGGCAACAGCAGCAGCAGAGGTGGCGCAGACGGTAGCAGCAGTGGCTGTGGTAGCAACGGTGCCAGGGGAGGGCAGCAGCGGCGTGGCAGTGGATGCAGGGCTCTTCCTCGGCCGCTCCTTCCGCGTTGGCTGGGGCCCGGCGGGGCTGCTGGTCACACCGGGCAAGGTGCTGCCTGCTGGGAGCTTTGCCTCTGCCAGGACACATGCCGCTGGTGCAGCTGCCGGTGCTGCAGCAGCAAGAGGGGCGGTGGGGTTACCAGGAGGAGCAGCAGCAGCAGCGGTGGGTGTGACTCCAATTTCATCTAAAATCACGGTTACTCAGGTGGCTTTTAGCCCCTGGTCGTCCGTTCCTCCGCCGCCCCCCTCTTCCGCCTTCAGTCCGCTCCTCAGCCCAGGGGTGGCGGGGCGAGATGCTGAGGCGGCGGCAGCAGCAGCAGAGAGGGGCGCGGCTGAGAGAGAGCGGCTACAGCAGCTGCTGCTGATTCAGCCGCTGCTGCTGCACTTCCAGTCGAGCAGTGTGGTGGGGAGGGGAGAGGGGGGGGAAGAGGGAGGGAGGAGTGGAGGTGGGGAGGAGGGGGACGGGGAGGTGCTGCAGAGTGAGGAGGAGGGGGGGGAGGGGGAGAAGAGTGGCGATGATGATGAGATGGAGGGGGGGGAAACGGGCGGGAGAGAGGAGGGAAGGGAGGAGGGGAGAGAATGGGTGGGGCGGAGGTTGGTGTGCAGTCGGCGTGGCGGCGGCTTGGCTTCTCTCTGCCGCCGCTACAGTGCCCTAGCTGAAGCAGCGGCTGACGCTGTTGCTTCTGCAAGGGCAGCATCTAGGCAGGGGCAGGGTACGTCTGGGCAGGCTGTATCTGGACAGGTGTTATCCGGGCAGGGTGTATCTGAGCGGCAGCTGCAGCACGAGCAGGCGGTGTGGCAGCTGGTGGACGTGCTCTTCTCTGATTGGCAGGGAAAGCGGCGCTCTGCTGTTATGGAGGGGTCGGCAGGGGTGGGGAGTGGTGAAGGCGATGTGTCAGGTGAAAAGTCAGGAGATGGTTTGCGTGATGGATCCATGGAGGAGGAGAGGGATGGGGAGGTGGAGGATGGGGGTGGGGAGGAGATGGAGGGGATGATGAGTGGGGGTGGGGAGGTGAATGGGATAGGGCGAGGGGAGGGGAGGGAGGGGGAGGGGGAGGGCGCAGCGCTGAACCGGCGTTTGTTTGAGGATGATGCTCTGGAGGAGGAGGAGGACGCACAGGGAGGTGCTGGCAGTGCTGCTACCGCTCGTGCTGCCGCTGCTGCTGCTGCTGCTGAGCAGCCGCAGTGGCTTGAGGGGGCAGAAAACCGGGATGAGGGGGAGGAGGAGGCGCAGGAGGAGCAGCTGGAGGATAAGAGCGAGAAGGAGGAGAAAGAAGGGGAGGAGGAGGAAGAGGGAGAGGAGGAGGCGGGGGAGGAGAAGGAGTTGTACGACGAGGAGACAATGGGCTTCTTCCGCAGAGCGGAGTTCAGCGCGTGGCTCCAGGCAGTGGTGGCGCCCGCCATCGTTCACGAGCTCAACGCCCTGGCAGCCAACCCTAACAGCACATTCAATCCTCTCACCACCACCAGCGCTGCTGCTACAGCTGCTACAGCAGCCGCCTCTCTCCCCCTGCGTGTGGCCTTCATTTGTCTCACGGGGCTGCAGCTGGAGCCGGCAGTGGGCGCCGCTGCTCTTGCCGGTGACGTGCGCCTGGCTTCTCTTCTCTCCCTCGCCCACTCCGCCCCCGCTGCCACGCGTGCTGACGCTGCACGCCAGCTGGCGCTTTGGGATAGGCTGGCGGGGGGAACAGGTGCGGGGAAGCAGGGAGGCGGGGGCGTTGGAGGGAGAGGGGGAGGAAGGGGAGGCGGGTGTGAAGGGGGCGGGGGCGCGGATGGGGATGGGGTTTTGCCAGAAGAGTGTGGCTCGTTGCTAAAGCTGGCAGAAGGGTCGTTGGTGAGTGTGGAGAGGCTGCGGCTGCTGCGGCTGGTGGCGGGAGATGTGGTGGGCGCGCTGGAGGGTCGGCCGCTTGACTGGAAGAGGCACCTGGGGCTGCTCATGTGGTTCGGCATGCCCTCAGCCTCGTCGCTAGGCTTGGTGATTGCAGAGTTTAGGAAGAGAGTGAGGGGAGGGAGAGTGCCTCGGGCCATACCATGGTATGCTGAGACGATCGGGGTGGAGGGAGGGGAGAGGGTAGAGGGAGGGGGGAGGGGGGAGAGGGTAGAGAGAGGGGGGAGCGGGGAGTGGGAGGAGAGGGCGCTTAGGGGAGGAGGGAGGGGGGGAGGACAAGGGAAGGGAGAGGAGGGAGAGGGAGGAGGAGGAGGAGTGGAGGATGTGATGTATGGGCTGCTGGCTTTGCACATGAAAGAGGAGATGGGTGAAGGGAAGCTTGAGAGTGCTGGAGATGGCGATGGTGGTGGTGGCAGTGGTGATGACGTGGCGGTTGATGTCGCAGCGATGCTGAGATGGCGGTCCTGGACTCGAGATGCGCTGGACTGCCATCTGGCGTGGCACCTGCAGAGCGTGCTGCAGGTAAGAAGTGATCCGCGCAGAACTTATCGCGCCTTCGCAGTGCGCACCATTTGGGCCTGAAACTGTTGTGACTTGATTCTCCTCTCGGCCTGCTGCTGTGCAGCGGTCAAAACTACCAGCAACCTTTCAGCAGCATCTTAGGGCCAAATGCATTGCTTGTCCTAAAACTAAGACTAAGATGTGTTTTGTTTTTGGGAATTCTCAAAATCAAAACACGTCCTTTTTTAGAATTTTCATAAAATTAACACACCAGCTTTGCTCTTCCACCTCCAAATGCTAGGCTGTGTTAGTTTTTTAGAATTCTCAAAAACCTAATCCCAGCACAGCCTCATTCTTCTGCGGCCTTCCCTGTGTTTGCACACTCCATCCGTCCACCTGCCAACCAACCTTGCCTGCAACCTCCTCCCTGCCAACCACATCAGGCCATAGGAGCGCTGCGGGCCAATGAGGTGCTGCCAAGTGTGCACATGGACTACGTGGCGCAGCTGCTGGCAGCGGGGCAGCCCCACTGGGCGCTCTACTGCTTGCAGCACGTGCCGCCTTCCCGGCAGCTTCCTCGCCGCTCTCTAGAGTGCGCCTTCAGGGAGGTGCTGGCGCTGTTCTGCCCGGTGTGGGTGGAGAGCGACGAGCAGCGCAGCTTCATCGAGGGGCAGCTGCGGGTGCCTGCCTCCTGGCTGTGTGCGGCGAAGGTGTGTGGCAGGGAGTGAGGGAGTAAGGGAATGTGGGAGGGAGGAAGTGATGGAGTGGAGTGAGTGAGTGAGTGAGTTGCTGGTCCATCTTCAAGTCTGGCCACTCTTTCTTATGCCCAGCTTTCTGAGCTGTTATTTCCGATTTTTCCTTATCAATTCCAGGCTGTTTTCAAACGCTGACGTTTTCTATACTACTTTCTTTCTGCTACACCTTTACAATATGCTGCCGCTTTCTTTTCCCTTTCCTCCCCGCCCTCGCCCCTCCCGCCGCCCATCCTTTATCAGGCGGTGTATCACCACTGCAACGGCAGCCGCAGCAACAAGCTGCACTGTCTGCTGGGGAGCTTCCAGAAGGCCAACTTTCGCTCTCCGCCTTTCTGCCCGTTCTTTCCCTCGTTTCTCCCCAATCAGGCGGCGTACCACCGCTACAACGGCAGCCGCAGCGACGAGCTGCAGTGTCTGCTGGGGAGCTTCCAGTGGGACAGAGCCCACTGCCTCTTCATGAACCACCTGGCCGCTGCGTGGATTCTTTCAGGTGGGATGTTTGTTACGGGTTGCTTGTTATGGGTTGCTTGTTACGGGTTGATTGATAGGTTCATGCACCTGGTCATTTGATATGGGCGGGTGATACCATATTGAAGCCACCTTACCTCTCCGAAACCCCCCAAGACCCCTTCAACTCCCCCCCATACTCTTATGCTGCATCCCCTTCAGAGCGTTGGCCGGAGGTGCGGCGGCTGGTGGAGGGGCTGGAGACACACGGGGGGGTCATTCATTCCCAATTCCTGAATCCCAAGCAATGCAGCGCATACTCAAAACAAAATCCCTCCCCCCCCCCCCCCCCTCCGCTCCCCTTCCCCATGAACCCCCTTGCGACATCTCCCTCAGAGCGCTGGTCGGAGGTGCGGCGGCTGATGGAGGGGCTGGAGACACACGGGGAGAACATCCATGGGTGGAAAGAGGGTGGGCGGCTTCTGTTGGACTATGTGCACCTTTCTGCCGCCCTGGAGGGGCAGGCGATCGTTCCAACAGAAGAGCTGGTGGTAAGTGGATGAGGGGCAATAACTGGTTTCCCCTTATCTCTCTCTTGTCATGGGTGTTTTTTTCTTTCTTTCTTTCTTTCTTTCTTTTTTCCTTTCTTCTATTTTCTTTTCTTTTCTTTTACCCTCTCTAGCAGTAGCACGTGTTGGCATCGCACTGGAGGCGAGCTCTCACCATTCCTCTCCGTTGTTTGTGCGACTTTTCCACCAATCACCTTGCTTGCGTTGTGCCAGGTGTCAGTGGCTGACGGGTCGGAGGCACTAGCGGAGTTCTCCCACCGCACGGTTCAGTCTCTGCGCACATTCCCCCACGATGCTGCTCGCCTGCGGTAGGTGCTGCTCGCTTGCGGTAGGTGCTGCTCGCTTGCGGTAGGTGCTGCTCGCTTGCGGTAGGTGCTGCTCGCTTGCGGTAGGTGCTGCTCGCTTGCGGTAGGTGCTGCTCGCTTGCGGTAGGTGCTGCTCGCTTGCGGTAGGTGCTGCTCGCTTGCGGTAGGTGCTGCTCGCTTGCGGTAGGTGCTGCTCGCCTGCGGTAGGTGCTGCTCGCTTGCGGTAGGTGCTGCTCGCCTGCGGTAGGTGCTGCTCGCTTGCGGTAGGTGCTGCTCGCTTGCGGTAGGTGCTGCTCGCTTGCGGTAGGTGCTGCTCGCTTGCGGTAGGTGCTGCTCGCTTGCGGTAGGTGCTGCTCGCTTGCGGTAGGTGCTGCTCGCTTGCGGTAGGTGCTGCTCGCTTGCGGCAGGTGCTGCTCGCTTGCGGCAGGTGCTGCTCGCTTGCGGCAGGTGCTGCTCGCTTGCGGTAGGTGCTGCTCGCCTGCAGTGGAGAGGGTGCTGCTCGCCGGCAGTGGGAGGGTGCTGTTCGCCTCCAGTGAGAGGGTTCTGCTTGCCGGCAGTGAGAGGGTGCTGCTCGCCGGCAGTGAGAGGGTGCTTCTCGCCTGCAGTGAGAGGGTGCTGCCCGCCGGCAGTGAGAGGGTGCTTCTCGCCTGCAGTGAGAGGGTGCTGCTCGCGGCAGTGAGAGGGTTCTGCTCGCCGGCAGTGATAGGGTGCTGCTCGCCGGCAGTGAGAGGGTGCTGCTCGCCGGCAGTGAGAGGGTGCTGCTCGCCAGCAGTGAGAGGGTGCTGCTCGCCGGCAGTGAGAGGGTGCTGCTCGCCGGCAGGGAGAGGGTGCTGCTCGCCGGCAGTGAGAGGGTGCTGCTCGCCGGCAGTGAGAGGGTGCTGCTCGCCGGCAGTGAGAGGGTGCTGCTCGCCGGCAGTGAGAGGGTGCTGCTCGCCGGCAGTGAGAGGGTGCTGCTCGTCGGCAGGGAGAGGGTGCTGCTCGCCGGCAGTGAGAGGGTGCTGCTCGCCGGCAGGGAGAGGGTGCTGCTCACCGGCAGGGAGAGGGTGCTGCTTGCCGGCAGTGAGAGGGTGCTGCCCGCCTGCTGTGTTCTGGCAGCCAGAGTCAAATTTCCCCCAAACTCGCACGAGCACCTGCAGTTTCTCTCCATCTCCCAATGCCTGTCTTGCGCATGTCCATGACCTTCACATTGCGCCTGTCTTTCCACTCCATCCTTCTCTACTGAAACCCCACCCCCTCCCCCCCCCACCCCTGCTCCCCCCCCCCAACCCTGTTCCAGCATGGTGTATGCACGCATGCTCGACTCCCTTTCTCGCAGCTTCCTCACCCACACAGCAGCAACCACAGCTGCTGCTGTGGCAGCTGCCGACGCAGCAACCACCCCTAACGCCGCCGCCGCTCCCGTAGACGCAGCCCTGGCCACCACGGCCCTTCCTGCCCTCCCTCGGGATTCCAGGTTGGCTTTCGCCCGCGAGGCGGCATCAGAGCTCGCCAGCTGGCTCGCTGAGGTGGCGCCTGTGCAGTAGAAGTGGTTTGGTTTGGATTGCTTGCGGAGATGACGAGTTGTGAAAGGGATTTGCGGGCCCAACTCTATTCGTTGGATGCGTAATGAGGCTTGTTGCTAGGATTAACTGATGTTGCTTTGTTGTACCCTTGGTGGGAGCCTTCGACCTCCCCCATATTTAACCATTGTCAGCCTGGCACTCTGGAAAGAGAATTTCACAATAGTGAGTTACGGCACATCACATACTGGTAATTAGTCATGCCACAAATGTAGAAAGCACAATGTAGTAATACGAACCTAGCTTGAGCACTATCCACTGCAGTCTTATGTAACCTATGGTACCAGGCCACTGTTGTGATATAACTCAGACTTAGCATTTCTGTAAGTCGGTTATTGATAGATAGTGTCGAATCTTACTGTAGAAGATATCTCCGTAGGATGACGTCAGCAAACAGCGCTCGTCATGAGGACAGTCGTTTTAGTCACGCGAACAGTCGCATCTCTTCATTATCATTTAGGGCACATAACGCGACAGTGACGAACAGGTATATTAGTGAACAGGTACTTTCCTAGAGCTATAAATCCCTGTGATTGTTAACCTTAAGATTTCAACTTTGATACTTTAAACCTTGACTTCCACATAATTATATGCTCAGGTTCACTCTTACAAAACTTCTGCTGTCTTACTAGTCTACCATTCCAGTAAAAATCCTAGGCTAACACTTCAAGTTTTCCAAGTGTTCGTGTTTGCAGATTCTATACTTGGTCTCCTGCAACACCTGTCAAATTATTACAGCCACAACTGTGCCGTGCAAACCCCGGGACAGTCACACCCCCCACTGACAGGCCACTCACTCACCCGAAGGGAGGCAGGCAGGCCTCTTCCTAATGGCAAGCATTACTCAGATGTCTGTTGAAGTGCACGGTGGCGGCTTGTCGGTTCTTTTGAATTCTCAAGAACCAACTTCCCTACCTAGTGGCAAGCATTGCCCAGCAGATCTCTGGTGAAGTGCAGAGAGGCGGATTGCGACGGGAAGGCAGCGGTGGTGCAGCGAATGAGCGCGTCACCGCCCACCACATCGTCCTCCCACCCGTCCAGCATCTCCAATGCCAGCGCCTCCAGCGACTCCCTCTCCCGTGCTAATGACTCCCGCTTCTCCTCCTCCTCATCCTCATCCTCCTCATTTGCATTCCCCTTCCCATCAATCATCTCCTTCTCCCCCCGTCTCTCCCACAACTGTAACTCTCTCTCTCCTTCCTTCCCCCCCTCCCCCACACCCTCCGCTGTCAACCCATCCCTCTCTGACGCCCCTGCTGCTTCTCCCGAGCCTGCCACCTGATCCTGCCTCTCCCGCTTCCTTAATCCGAACAGCCCCCTCCAACCTCTTCTTTTCTTCCCTTCCCCAGGTGTACCTCCCCTCCCACCAGCCCCCTCCTCAGGTTTACCTGCCCTCCCACCACGCTCTCCCCTCCCCTCCAGACTCTCCTTCAGATAAGCCTTCACCAGTCCACCCAGCCCAATCCCCACCTGCTCCTCCTCCACAAACCCCTGCCGAGCCTCAGCCTCGGCCCTCCTCCCTCCCTGCCTGCCCTCCCAAACCTCGGGTCCGGGGTCAGCTCCGGGTCGAACGATCCTCAAAATCCCCGAGCCTGACGCCAACCCTTGGATGCTAATCTCTTCTGATTGGTCTGCGTGGAGCCTGGAGAGCAGTGCCAGCTCATCACTGTCCAGCTGGCAGGCAGCATCGAAAGCTGCGTCAGCAGCAGCAGCGGCTGCCTCTTCGGCTGCCTGTGATTCCCGCTGCTCCTGCTGCCGCTCCAGCTGCATGCGTGTCCGGAAGGAAAGGGCCGCCTTGCGCTCCAAACGCGGCCTCGGGGGCTGCTGCTCTCGACCCTGCTCAAGCTGCTGTTTCTTGGACCACCCTTCCCCTTCCTTCCCCCCAAACTCCTCAGCCGTCTTCCCCTCCTCTTCACCCCATCCCCCAAACACGTGTCCTGCCGCCATGCCATGCAGCACTGACTGCGACGGCTCCGACAGCGCCGGACTGGGAGGTCCTCCGCATCACCCTCCCACCGACCCCCACCACCTCTCCAATCCCCATCCCCTCCCCTCGCACCACCATCCCCCTGCCCCTGCCCCTCTCCCCATTGCGTCTCCCTGGCACTGAAGAAGGCGTCCAAGCCGGGGAGATCAGACACCATGCCATCCTCTGTCATGAAATAGATGCCCGTATGGCTGTCAGTTTGGCTGTTGGTACGGCCGGGGCTGGCGGAATTCTTGGTATGACTGTTAGTGGCCCCCATACAAGTACCACCAGCACCTGATTCGTCCTCAGAGAACGCCCTTTCCCCTCCTCCTCCCCCCCAGCCCAGCCCTGCATCTCCTCCCACATCCCATAGATCTCTGTCTCTACCTGTCTCGCCCCCCCCCTGCCTCTCTCTGCCTGTAGGAGTGGCAGGCGCACTGAAGGAGCCAAGCTCGTCCAGCCCCTCAAACGACACTGGGGCACTCACAAACGAGGTGGACGGTTGGAAGTGGAAGTGCTGCAACGGAGCGGTGTGAGGCGCCGGGAAAAACATAGAGTGGTGCAGATGGGTGCTGTGAGGCGCCTCAAAAGGCATAAAAGACTTGGTCGGTTGGATAAGCTGCGAAGGATCCCTTCCCCCCTCGTGGTCCACCCTGTCATGTTTCGCCACATGGCTGTGGGAGTGGGCAGGGTGCATGGCATGCAGCGGAACCAGCTTGAGGCGGTTCAGATGGAAAGCACGGCCCAGCCTTGGCCCTCCCTCTCTGCCTCCTTTGACAGTGCTGTTAGTGCCTCCTCTCCCCTTTCTCTCCCCACTTTCTGGGTCTCCTGCTTGCATCTTCAACTGTGCCTGAGTTGCCTCCCCCTCCTCCTCATTGCCCTGATGCTGTTGCTGCTGCTGTTGCTGCTGCTGTTGCGGCTGCTGCTGCGGCTGCTGCTTGGATCCGCCTCCCACTTGCGCATTTCCCTTGCAGCCCTCCATCCGAGCTGATCCGATGGGAGCAACGCCAGCAGCGTCAACGATTTCTGACTTCAATACTGCCTCTCCCTTCCCAACCACCCTTACCGGCTCCGCCACCCTTTCGACACGCACATCTCCCCTGCCATCCTCCCTTGTCGCATCCTGCTTCCTCCGAGTGTCCTGCTCCCAGTCCAGAGAATCGCCACCCTCTGTCCTCCTCCTTCCCCTCCTTCGCAATCCCCTCTGCCTTTCGTTCTCCCCAGCACCGTGCTCGTGAAGCACCTCAAGTCCAGCTCCCTCTTCCTCCCGCAATCCCCTCGGCGTCTGTCCCTCCGCCTCCCTCTTAAACCTACTCGCCTGCCCTGCCTCGCACTCCTTTGCATGCCCCTTCAACACCCCTTGCCCCTCCCGTACACCCCCCTCTCGTACCCCCCCCTCTCGTACCCCCCCCTCTCGTACCCCCCCCTCTCGTACCCCCCCCTCTCGTACCCCCCCTCTCGCACCCCCCCTCTCGTACCCCCCCCTCTCGTACCCCCCCCTCTCGTACCCCCCCTCTCGTACCCCCCCCTCTCGTACCCCCCCTCTCGTACCCCCCCCTCCCGTACCCCCCCCTCTCGTACCCCCCCTCTCGTACCCCCCCTCCCGTACCCCCCCCTCTCGTACCCCCCCCTCCCGTACCCCCCCCTCTCGTACCCCCCCCTCCCGTACCCTCCTCTCACCTCTCTCTCTCCGCTCCTTGACCTCCTGCTCCTCGTCCCTGCTCCTCGTTACTGACCCCCCTTCCCCCCCCCTTGCCTCTATCTGCCCCTGCCTCCCCTCTCGGCCCTCTACATCCGTCACCCCACCACCAGCATCCGACCCTCTCCTAGACTCCCCCCCTTCACTCTCCCTCCCCTCTCTCCCCTCCCTCTCCCCCCCTCGCACTCCCCGCACCACCTCCTCCTCCCTCCGCCTCACCTCCTCGCCGCTGATGACAGTCACTGCCAGCCGCACCCTCCCTCGGCTCACCCCTCTCAGGCCCTCCCACATCTCCCTCCTGCCTCCTTTCTGGTACCTCCCCACGTCCACCACGCAGTAGCTGGTTGGGGGGGGGGGTGGGGGAGAATAAGAGAGAGAAGAACAGAGCTTTTGCAAGGTGATTTTTGAGTCGACTCAAAAGTTGCCTCAGCCGCTCCCTCCCTCGTCGGCTTACCCCTCTTAGCCCCTCGCACATCTCCCTCCTGCCCCCCTTCCGGTACCTCCCCACGTCCACCACGCAGTAACTGGTGGGAGGGAGAGAGGGATCGTGAGGGAAGGAGAGCGGGATGGTGAGGGAGGGAGTACACAGGAGCAATGACCTCAGCCAACCACTGCGGGTGCAGGGAGCTCAAGACAATACAGTCGGTGAGTGTGGTATCCGCTTGTCACACTGACCCGAGGCCTTTTGATTGAAGGAGCGGCTGGTGAAGCACACTCACCACCAGCAGGTTGTTCAAATGCCACGAGTACACGGGAGCAGTGAACTCGGCAAACCACTGCGCGTCAAGCGAGCTCCACATGGTCCTAGAGGTGAACTGGAGTCCTTAGTCCTAGTGGTAAACACTTACCCCAAGTCCTTGGATCACCAGGAACGACTTGTCGAGAACTCGTAGCACCGGCAAGTTGTTCAAATGCCACGAGTACATGGCCGCCATGGATTCAGCGAACCACTACGGATGGGGGGGTGACGTAGCTGTAGAGAGCGCTGTATAACAACAGGGCGCCTGAATACACTCACCCCGGGTATAAGGACTGCAGGCATCGAAAGTGACTTTTGAGTCGACTCAAAAGTCACCTACAGGGCTGGGGGGGTGAAACACTCACCCCCAGTCTATGGCCTGCAGGAACGACTTGTCGAGCACTCGCAGCACCGGCAAGCTGTTCAAATGCCACGAGTACACGGGCGCCGTGAAGTCAGCGAACCACTGCGGGTCCAGCGAGCTCCACACGAACCTAAAGGTGAACTGCAGTCCTTGGTCCTAGTGGTAGCACTTACCCCAAGTCCTTGGATCGCAGAAAGGACTTGTCGAGCACCCGCAACACCAGCAGGTTGTTCAAATGCCACGAGTACACGGGCGCCGTGAACTCGGCGAACCACTGCGGGTCCAGCGAGCTCCACACGATGCGGGTGGTGAATCTGGCCGACCCGAGCGCGCACTTGACGTACGCGTCCGATGTGCCGTCGAGGTTGGCGGGCTTTAAGTGCCGCGCCTCGATGATCTCGACGACTACGAAGGCCACCGGGCAGGACGAGTCCACGTGCAGCACGTCAGCGGCGGGGAGGGGCGGCGGGTGGGCCGGGTGGGCAGGGGAGGTGAGGTGCGGGGAAAGGGGTGGTGCTGGTGATGGTGCAGGCATGGGTGGGGGGGGAGTGGAGGATGTTATAAGTGCAGCAGCAGGACCAGCTGTTGGTGCTGCTGGATGGGAGTTGCAATGAGCAGCACTGCTGTCACCATCCACAGCACCGGTGCCAGCAGCAGCACTGGGGATGAAGCGGGCGATACCGGCAGCTCGAGCAGCAGCGAGCATGGCGGGAGGGAAGGGTGGAACAGGGGAAGAGGTCTGGGAGGAAGGGGCGCTCCCGTGACCTGCTGCTGCTGCTTCAGCAGCACTGGGGACAGAAGAAGCAGCAGTACTGGGGACAGAAGAAGCAGCAGTACTGGGGACAGAAGAAGCAGCAGTACTGGGGACAGAAGAAGCAGCAGTACTGGGGACAGAAGAAGCAGCAGTACTGGGGACAGTGGAAGCAGCAGTACTGGGGACAGTGGAAGCAGCAGTACTGGGGACAGTGGAAGCAGCAGTACTGGGGACAGTGGAAGCAGCAGTACTGGGGACAGTGGAAGCAGCAGTACTGGGGACGGTGCTTGCGGCACTTGGGACCGAAGAGGCAGCAGCACTGGGGGGGACTGCGCCAGCAGCAGCGGCAGCAGCGGCAGCACCGGCAGCAGGAGGGACAGCACTGCCTGCAGTGTGGCTGGCTTGCTGGGAGCAGTGGGAGCAATGACGGCAATGCGCGCAGTGAGCCGAGTGTGGGATGGCAGGGGCAGCAGGTGGAGAGGAGGAGGGCGGATGGGTGGGGGAGGGCGCGAGGAAGAGGTGGGCGAGTCGGGCAACGTCGAGCACGAGCATGTTTGGGGACACCATGGAGGACTCCAGGGCCGTCGCTAGCATCTCGTCCTGTTGTGGAAAAGGGGGGGAGGGGGGGTGTGTGAAGGGTTGCTGTGAGAAGGGTGGCCCACTGGCCGTGAGAAGGGATCCACCCACAGCCGTTAATCCAATCACAACCGCCGTTTTCAGCAGTTGATTTACCCACCAGCCACGAGCTGAAGAATGGCAAGTCGGCGAGGTTAAAGCCCAGGTTCGCCGTGGGCCTGACTGTGAGGCCGATGAAGGGCGCGCCCACGAAGCTCACGCGCACGCGAGTCACGTACGGAAACTCCGAAGCAAACCGCATCCCGACCCTCATCTGCAGGCCCGGGATTTGATCAAGCCCCGTGGAGGGGTCAACGGGAAGAGAATATGGCGCTTGGCAAAGTGGCAAAAACACGAGCAGCAAAAGAAGGAAGCAAAAGGCTTATTGTGATGAAGGCGCATTGCAGAGTGGAGTCATTATTGAGAATTCTCAAGGAGGAAGCAAAAGGCTTGTTATGATGAAGTGAAGGCGCATCGCATCAGAACCACGCATCCACCCTTCCATGTCCCATGCCAACTCGCTGCTACTGAATCTCTTCCACATCTCACCGCCCCACCATCTCACCTTCCCCGCATCTCACCTTCCCCACCAGATGCAGCCCGGACGTATGCCCCCAGGCCACCATGCCAGCCTTGCTTATCACTGTACCCAGCCATGGAGCATATCCCCCCCCCCCCCCCAGTTCCGACCTTCCCCAGCTCCCACTTCCCCCACATCTCATCCCACCTTCCCCTCCAGGTGCAGCCCGGACACGTGACCCCGCGCCACCATGCCGAGTGCGACTCGCCGCCGCATCTTGACCCCCATCAGCGCGTACATGTCGCCGCAGGCCACAAACTCGGTGGCTGCTTCCATCACCTGCAGCCAAGGAGGGGGAAGAGTGCAGGTGAGCAAGGCGGGAAGTTGGAGCAGAGTGCATCCATCTTCACTCCCATCAGCACATGCATGTGACTGCACGCCACAGACCCGGTTGCTCCTCCTATCCCCTGGTGTGAGGGGTGAAGGAGAGAGAGGAGGGAGGAGTGGCCCGGGCTGCTGTAGTAGGCAGCCAGGCAGCCCTTAGCCATGCCCTTGTGCCGTGTACCCGTTATAAGGCAATACAAAGGACCGTGCGAGAGGGGGCACAGCAGCACATGGGCACACCAGCGCATGGGCACACAGGCCGTCCAGTGTATTTGTGTGCACCATCCTAGCAGCACCAATGGCGACCGGCAAACTGGTAGCGCACCTCAACGCCTCTCACCACATCTTACCCCTTTGCACCGCATCTCGCCACACGTACCACATGGTCGTCCAGCGTGTTGGTGTGCACCACCCTCACAGCAGCGATGACGGGCGGCGAACTGCCCAGGTACAGCCGCTCCAGCCACGCCTTGCGCTGCAGCCATGAAGGGGGGAGGATAAGAGCACGTGGGGGGGAGGATAAGAGCACGTGGGGGGGAGGATAAGAGTACGTGGGGGGGAGGATAAGAGCACGTGGGGGGGAGGATAAGAGCACGTGGGGGGGAGGATAAGAGCACGTGGAGGGGAGGATAAGAGCACGTGGGGGGGAGGATAAGAGCACGTGGGGGGGAGGATAAGAGCACGTGGGGGGGAGGATAAGAGCACGTGGGGGGAGTGGGCACGTAGGGGGGTTGCAGCTTGCGACACAGCTGCCCAGGTACAGCCGCTCCAGCCATGCCTTGCGCTGAAGGGAGGGGAAGGGGGAAGCACAGAGGGGAGGAGGGGAAGGGAGAAGCACGGAGGGGAGGAGGGGAAGGGAGAAGCACGGAGGGGAGGAGGGGAAGGGAGAAGCACGGAGGGGAGGAGGGGAAGGGAGAAGCACGGAGGGGAGGAGGGGAAGGGAGAAGCACGGAGGGGAGGAGGGGAAGGGAGAAGCACGGAGGGGAGGAGGGGAAGGGAGAAGCACGGAGGGGAGGAGGGGAAGGGAGAAGCACGGAGGGGAGGAGGGGAAGGGAGAAGCACGGAGGGGAGGAGGGGAAGGGAGAAGCACGGAGGGGAGGAGGGGAAGGGAGAAGCACGGAGGGGAGGAGGGGAAGGGAGAAGCACGGAGGGGAGGAGGGGAAGGGAGAAGCACGGAGGGGAGGAGGGGAAGGGAGAAGCACGGAGGGGAGGAGGGGAAGGGAGAAGCACGGAGGGGAGGAGGGGAAAGAGGGAAAAGGGGGGGTAGGGCGGGATCCAGGTGGGTGGACGGCACCCTCTCGTGGAAGATGGGCCAGGCGTGCTGCACCGAGGCGTGGCGCCAGGCGTGCTGCACCGAGGCGTGGCGCCAGTAGGCCTAGTTTCACCCCATCTGAATCCCACCACCTGTGTCACTCCTCACCCCCTTCCCTTTCGCACCCCTTGCCACCGCCTCTCACCCTTTCGCACCCCTTGCCAGATATTTTGCTCCCTGGGTACACTGCGCTACCAGCGCGGTACTCTTCCCTTGCCACCGCCTCTCACCCTTTCTCACTCCTTTCAACCCCTTCCCACCCTTCCTCACCGCCTGCCAGGGCCGGTACTTGTCAAAGAACCAGGGAGCGAGGGCGGGGGCGAGGTGCGTGGACAGCAGGCGCTCGAGGAAGATGGGCCACGCCCTCTGCACCAAGGCGTTGAGCCAGTGGGCCGTCTCCGTGTCGCCCATGGGTTGCCGCTGCAGCACCGCCTGCAGCGCCGCCAGGCGGGCTGCCTTGTGTTCCCTCACTCTCTGCCGCTTCGACACCTGCGGTTTTGGGGGGGGGAGGGAGGAAGGGCCGTCGCCCATGGGGTGCCGCTGAAGCACCGCCTGCAGCGCCGCCAGGCGGGCTGCCATGTATTCGCGCACCTTTTGCCGCCTGGACACCTGTGGGGAGTGGTGCAGGAAGGTGCAGCACAGGGCGGTGCAGCACAGGGCGGTGCAGCACAGGGCGGTGCAGCACAGGGCGGTGCAGCACAGGAAGGTTATGTCCCGCACAGCCCTTCCTCCCTGGGCGGTAACATCATGCTAGCCTGACATGATGCTAGCCTGACATGATGCTGGCCTGACATGATGCTAGCCTGACATGATGCTAGCCTGACATGATGCTAGCCTGACATGATGCTAGCCTGACATGATGCTAGCCTGACATGATGCTAGCCTGACATGATGCTAGCCTGACATGATGCTAGCCTGACATGATGCTAGCCTGACATGATGCTAGCCTGACATGATGCTAGCCTGACATGATGCTAGCCTGACATGATGCTAGCCTGACATGATGCTGGCCTGACATGATGCTGGCCTGACATGATGATAGCCTGACATGATGCTAGCCTGACATGATGCTAGCCTGACATGATGCTAGCCTGACATGATGCTAGCCTGACATGATGCTAGCCTGACATGATGCTAGCCTGACATGATGCTAGCCTGACATGATGCTGGCCTGACATGATGCTGGCCTGACATGATGCTAGCCTGACATGATGCTGGCCTGACATGATGCTAGCCTGACATGATGCTAGCCTGACATGATGCTAGCCTGACATGATGCTAGCCTGACATGATGCTAGCCTGACATGATGCTAGCCTGACATGATGCTAGCCTGACATGATGCTAGCCTGACATGATGCTAGCCTGACATGATGCTGGCCGGACATGATGCTGGCCTGACATGATGCTAGCCTGACATGATGCTAGCCTGACATGATGCTAGCCTGACATGATGCTGGCCTGACATGATGCTAGCCTGACGTGATGCTAGCCTGACATGATGCTAGCCTGACATGATGCTGGCCTGACATGATGCTAGCCTGACATGATGCTAGCCTGACATGATGCTGGCCTGACATGATGCTAGCCTGACATGATGCTGGCCTGACATGATGCTAGCCTGACATGATGCTAGCCTGACATGATGCTGGCCTGACATGATGCTGGCCTGACATGATGCTAACCTGACATGATGCTAGCCTGACATGATGCTAGCCTGACATGATGCTGGCCTGACATGATGCTGGCCTGACATGATGCTGGCCTGACATGATGCTAACCTGACATGATGCTAGCCTGACATGATGCTAGCCTGACATGATGCTAGCCTGACATGATGCTAGCCTGACATGATGCTGGCCTGACATGATGCTGGCCTGACATGATGCTAACCTGACATGATGCTAGCCTGACATGATGCTAGCCTGACATGATGCTAGCCTGACATGATGCTAGCCTGACATGATGCTAGCCTGACATGATGCTGGCCTGACATGATGCTAGCCTGACATGATGCTAGCCTGACATGATGCTAGCCTGACATGATGCTGGCCTGACATGATGCTAGCCTGACATGATGCTAGCCTGACATGATGCTAGCCTGACATGATGCTAGCCTGACATCATGCTGGCCTGACATGATGTAACCCAGGGCAGAAGCGACCAGATCCCTATGCTACCGTAAATGGCATCTCAAAACTTCAGATTGCGCCTCGTTACGCTCCCTAATACCTCATGGTAAACAAACAGGAACATTAGTAGCACGGGCAGGAGTCCGAATCGCACGCGCCCCGCCAACCAGGAGAGCGAGAGGAGCGCTCCGACGAGGAACAGCACCGGGAATTGCGGCGAAACTTGCGGGAGGTCGCCAAGGAGGCGGCTCGTAAGTCCCGAGATTCCGGACCTGCCTTCCGCCAAGCGCACGCCAGGGCGAGCTGACGTAGCACTTCCAGAAAATCGGGGCGAACCATTGCGGGAAGAGAGGAGGGCCTCTGATTGGTTGGAGGAAAACGGGTGACTCATTAGTAATTCGAGCCGACGTCAGAGGCTCTCGTGGCCCAGGATAGTGAGATCTCGTGGCTCGCCTGAGCAAGATTCGCGAGTGGAGTGGACAGAGTCTATTTTTGAGGCACCTAAAGAATGGAATGGATTGGGGACAGCTGCAGCACCACAGGGAAGGCACCACACAACACGACACCACAGCACCATAGGATTCGCAGTCAGGCGGCTCGAGACGAGGAGCCACGAGAATCTCACCCACTACAGAGCATATGACCTGTATTGTACGAGACTCTGGTTGTAACGAAGTTGGTGTAGAGAAATAATCTATGTGGTTCATTTATATTCTTCAAAGCAATTGCAACGATTCTACACAAAAACGTTTCCCAATCCACACACACCCACATTTACATGCATAAAGCATCCCGAACCTAATAGATAGGCGATATTCCTGCTAGTCTGCTACCCAACAAGAACAGGAAGACACCCATTATAACCTGACGATGGTATCTCACGCATCACTCTCCTCCTCTTTCTCCTTTTCTGACTTCTTCCCAAAGCCCTTGGGCGTAGCCCTGGGCGGCGACTTCATGGCTGCTCTGATCTCCGACGTGGCCCCCGGCCGCTTCACCGGCTCCGCTGCTGCCAGCTTCTCCATCTCTCTCTTGTCCTGCCAGTCCGTGTACGCCAGGTACCCCACCTGCTCACCATGCAATGAAGAGGGGTGGGGGGGGGGGGGGGGGGGGGGGGGAGGGGGCTTTAAAACTAGCTTCTCCATCTCGCGCTTGTCCTGCCAGTCTGTGTACGCCAGATACCTCACCTGCTCATGAGAGGAGGGGGTGGGGGCGGGGTGGCGGCGGGGGAGGAGGGGACAGGGACAGGAGAGGGGAGTCCAGCAGGGGACTCGTGGGGCTCGCTGCTGCCAGCTTCTCCATCTCGCCCGTGTCCTGCCAGCCCATGTACGCCAGGTACCCCACCTGCTCAAGGTGCATTCCGGGGCGTTGATAAGGACAAGTGGGCAATCGGATGTGAGGAGCATCGGGGCCAGCTTCCCCATATCCCACGTGTCCTGCTGGTCCGTGTAGGCCCCCACCTCCACAGGATGACAGGGAGATGTGTGTGAGGGTGGATTGGGAAGGGGGGGGGAGGGTGGGGGAGGAAGGGGAAGGATGTAGGCAAGAGGATATTAGTGCAGGCTCAAAGCTAGCTTCTCCATTTGCCTCTTGTCCTGCCAGTCCGTGTCGCGTTGGGGGAGCAGGGACGGGAGATGGGGGAGCAGGGACGGGAGATGGGGGAGCAGGGACGGGAGATGGGGGAGTGAAAGAGGGGACTTGCAGGCTCCGCTGCTGCCGCTTCTACATCACGCGCTTGCCCTGCGAGTCCGTGTGGGCTAGGTGTACCGCACCCACCAGCTCGAGGTGCACTGGGGGAATAGGGACGAGAGGGCGGAGTCAAACAGCGGACCCCACGTGCTCGTGGTAAAGGGCAGGGTTTGGGGGAGCGGGGACAGGGGGGGGGGGGTGGGGGGGAGAGGGGGGAAGGGGAAGAAGGGATGATGAAGGGACAAGGGAGGCGGTTTAAGGTGTGTCTTAAAACGGGCGGACCAAGCTTCTACACCGCCCTCTCGTGCTGTCAGCTAGTGCAGGCCACGTACGTACCCCACGCGTTCATGGTGCATGGGGGGGCGGCAGGACCAGCAGGGGCGACTTAAAACGGTCTACAAGCCAGATGGCCTTGACTGGGGCAGGAGGTGTGTCGTTGTGTAAGGGGCCCGCGTTCCGTGTGTTCCCTGCGTTTAGTGGTCGAGTTCGCGATCCTTCGGGATTCTTCGCAATCCTACTCAATTTTGACCAGATTTTAACCTTTTTTTTTCCCCCTAGAATGTTGAATCGAGCGCCGTGCGGTTCAGGCGACTCGCTCGTTCTGTGCCAAACCATTGGACATGGATCTTCTCCATATCATGAGCAGATGAAAAACGCTTACCCCGCCGGTCAGCTGAACTTGGGTGTTTTGAAGAGACTTACAATTTAAATGACCTTGACTGGGGCAGGAGGGGAGTTTTGAGGGACCTGAGGGACCAGAGGGACCTGGGGGACCCTAGGGACCTGGGGGACCCTAGGGACCTGGGGGACCCTAGGGACCTGCGTTCCATGCCTGACCACTGGACTTGGATTACTTCTCCATATCATCAGCAAATGAACAAAACGCTTACCCCGCCGGTCAGTACGGTCAGTCCGACGACAGCGACGACGAAGAGCACCGAAATGACGCCGTTGGTAACAGTGTCGCCTCCCCCCGCGGCCGTGAGCACATCGGCGCCGTTTTCTAACAGCGGGACGGACTCCGCTAGGGCCCGATCGGCGAGGATAAGCGGGAGGAGCGAAAGCAGTGATACCGGGAGAGAACGAATGGAGACGGCGGGTTGAGCAGAGGGGAGAGGCGACGAGAATGCCGCCGACGCACCAGCTTCGATATTGTCACGTTCCGAGCTGCGAGAAAGTTGACTGGTTACCCGCTTGCATTCTACGGGCTGCCATAGAGATAATTCTGCGCGGGAAAAGCGGCTTCTGGTGGATAGAAGGCTCGGGACGGCAATGTGAAGGGGGGCGAGGAGGAAGGGCGGGGGACGTTGTTGGCTGAATGCACTAGGATGGGGCAGGGAGGTGCGGACGAGCTTGCCCGCGATAAGCGGGGAGGCGGTGAGAATGGCTGTCATGGTGAGAACGAATAACCACAGGACGCGGACGGTCCAACAATGCGGACACGAGAACGCCCTCACCTCTGAATCAGCCGTAAAATCTACCACTACTCTTCACGATTCTGGCTTGTTGCAGCAGGAAAGAGTGCCTAGGGAACTAGTAAGGGCGTCAGGAAGAGCAGGCGAATGTTTAAGCCCTAAGGGCGCTTCCAAAGTGACAACATTCTCGTTTTCAGTTTCCGGTGCAGCTCGGCGTGCTACAGTTTGCTATAGTTTCTGTGCTTTGCAGCTATTTCAAGTACGGTACCAATTTCAAAAATTCCATTTTGGAAGCGCCCTCAGCTAGGGGTGGGAAAATCAGTTGCTGCCACGTGGAGCTTTCGGAAACGCCAGGGGTCTCGGAAGTTTCTGAAAGCAATCAGGCTGTGCCACGTCGAGAACGTAAGTATTCGTCTCAAGCTCAATAGAACGATATAAAATCACAGTACAATTATACCGATGTTGTTCTACCCATATAGAAATACTAACGATTTACATGACATTTGAGCAACTAGACTAGAAACAGCCTTGCATTAGTAAGCATGTACCAGCAAAAATGCAAGGCTGTTCCAAGCTGTCGACATCCATAAAACAAAAGCTGGTGAGGGCCTCACTCACACCCGACCCACCCACTTCACAAGCCGACCACTTTTTGAAGACCGGAATACATGAACCCACACCCCCCCCCCCCCCCCCCCCTCCCCCCCTCCCCTTATTCTGCTCCTTCTCTGCCCTCTGCTGCTCTGCATCTCCGCCTAGTAGCGCGTCCAGTAAGACGTCGCAGCAGGAGGAGTACGAACCGCAAACGACCCCAGCGCCACGCCATCGGGATATGTGTCAGTGGTAGCGACAGAATAGTAAGAAGCCGGATTCGCCAGGAGCAGGTCAATCACGTCCTTGTAAGTCTGCCCGGTCGCCGTGGTGATAGTGCTCGCGTTGTACCACATCCCAGAAAACCCATAAACAAACCCGGAGGGGACGGGCGGGCGGAAGAAGCCAAAGAACTTGGGGAGGGGCGGCTGGCGGCGGGCCCCGCGCCTCAAGGCACCAGTGGCGGTGAGGGCAGAGCAGTTGCCGGACCAGGTGAGATTGGTCCACGTGGCGTTGAAGCCCAGGTCCAGCACGACTGCTGACGTTGCGTTCTCGTTGATGGTGATGGACGTGGGCAGGCCTGCATCGGTGAGCTTGAGTGCGGCGCCGTAGCGAATGTTGTAGTCGCCGCTGTAGCTGCAGGGGGGAAAGGCGAGTGATAGTTATGAAAGAGCGAGAAAATGGTGTTGGAATCGACTGCATGGCGCAGAAGCTGTAGGCGAGAGAAGGAGGCGAGAGGCGGGTCAAGCCGGGGAGCAGAAGCTGTAGCAGCGGATGGACTACATTCTCTTGTGCACGAGAGAGAGAGAGAGAGAGGGAGAGAGAGAGAGAGAGAGAGAGAGAGAGAGAGAGAGAGAGAGAGAGAGAGAGAGAGAGAGAGAGAGAGAGAGAGAGAGAGAGAGAGAGAGAGAGAGAGGCATGTACTACGTGAGGTGCGGTGCTCACTTGTAGACGGCTAGCAGCACGACGCCGGTCGCGTTGACGTCGCCCGTGACTGCGCCGTCAGCGTCAGCCACGTTGCTGCCCAGCATGCGCGCCGCCAGTGCACCTGGAAGGCGGAAGGGGAAAGGTGGAAGGCGGGAGGCGTAAGGTGGAAGTCAGAAGGAGGAAGGCGCAAGGCGCAAGGCGTAAGGCGTAAGGTGCGGGGACGAAAGGCGGATGCGGAGGAGGGAAAGGAACATGGAGCGGGGAATGGAACGGAGAAAGATGAATGGAATGGGGAGAGGGAGGATGGAGAGGGAGGGTACCGGGCGGGGGCAGGGGTGGGTATGCGTGAGTACTGCTGCTCTTGAGAGTGTCCCGCCTGGCGCCCTCCCTTCCTCTCTTGAGACAACTCACCTATGCGACTGCCGGGGTGGCCGCCGTACTGCCCCCATCCGCCCTGGCCCCACCTGAAGCCGCCGCCGCCGCCGCCACGACCGAACCCAGGGCCCATCCTGTAGCCCGCGCCTGCCGCGCAAGACGGGGAAAGCACAAAGCAACAACGCTTGGTGGTGGTGGAGCCTGAGGTGCGTCGTAGGAACCTCCATTGAGAATAGGAACGATGTAAGGAACGATGTCAGGAACGCGGGTACCGACGGGCCGGGGCAAAACACGAGTTTCGAGGGGTGAAGGCATCACGAGTTGGAGGGAATGCAGGTTTCGATTGCGGCGAAACCCGGGCTGTTCCCGGGGCATGCGGCTGTTCCGGGGGCGTCAAGCGCGGCTTACATGAGACGGCGAGAGAGACGAGGAAGAGAGCGAAAAGCGTCGCCTTAACGGCCATGGTCGCTGCGCTGCGCCGACTGACAATGACGGCTTTAGTAGGCTGGCCTATTCCACAGGTAAACGGCGATTCTAGGGTTTCGAACACAAGGAACGAAATGCTGGAAGCTCAGGAGATGGATGTCGGGAGGGAGGCTCGAACAGGTTGCGTTGCTGTGTGCTGGAGATCGATCGAGAATGGAGAGCCATTTTGTGCTGTACTGTGTATCCCAGAAAGCATAAGCAGCGCGGGTTGTGGTGGTGGCGTGGCGCGGATGCGAGGCGGAGAGACGAGGAATGTTCAAAAGCCAGCTGGCGTATGACGCGGCTCGAAGACCATTCAACTTAGGATTTTAGGAGGCAGATTTGTTGGCTGTTTCTGGAGGTCCTTCCCTCCCTGTTGTCCGTTTGCGACGATGGCAGCTGTAACCCTCCGCGGTCAACAACCTTTGACGAACCGCATTGACGAAGCGACGGTGTATCGGGTACGCCAATTTCGTCGCACGACTGCGAATTTCGTTACGGTATGTCGGTAAGCGAAGTCGGCTCCTCTGCCTCGGGAGGTGTTTTTTGGGGGAGATGGCGCCTCCGTTGCAGACTTGCTCGCAGCTTCCGCTTGCCGAACCAACCAACCAAAACCCAAACCGAGTCACCACTTTTCAACTCATCCATAGGCTGTACCTAAAACTCGCTCCTATAGCGCGGACGTATTCTGCCATCAAGCGGTGTACAGGATGTGTTACAATAGAGAGCCATCGAGATGACAACGGGGATTTCCACCCCATGATGCTTGTAGGCCTCTCATAAGTTCAAGCATCCTCAAGACGTGCCACAGAACGTTATTAGAAGCAGTAGCAGTACCACAAGGATGCAGAGGTATGGTAAGAAAATCCAACCGACCAATGGGCTCATCCAAAGGGCACACCAAAGGGCACACCATAGGGCACACCATAGGGCACACCCCTCGAGTCACACCAACCGTCGCCTTGCCAATGGCTCATGCGAGGGATTTCTCCCGTAACCAGTCCAACCCTGCCCTGAGCTGCTGCACTGTGAGGCATGCCAGGCAGAGAATCGGCCAACACACACATGCCCACCAGCGACCAGTGTAACCAAGCAAATATGCTCAGATGAAACAGGAGATCAGATCAGATAGTTGCGAGGAGAAGCACCAGACCAGAGGCTGTTGAAGTGGCGCCACCTGGAAGCACAAGCAGGTAACTCACAAGCACAGTCAGGGGAGGACTGTCAGAAAGGCCACGACAGCAGAAAACAAGGGAAATGGATGACGGCTTTGGGAGCCGTTGAGTGTGGCAAAGCGGAAGGCCACAGGACTCACGTGGAACAGTGTCCACTACCTGGGTGCGAGCAGTTACGTATAAACTGGACTGATCACCTGCCATGCATCCAACACCAGCTGTAAGAAACACCTGCCCTGGTAGACATTTACCCTGAAACATGTGACTGTGGCCAGCGTGGCTTTAGTTAGCGCCAAAGACGAGGCAACGCTGGGGAATGGGCAAGTGGCAGGAGGGGCAGGCATCTGTGTCTCGAGCTAGGAGAGCGCCATTGCCTGCCTGGCAGACCACCTGGTACTCACGCTTACATGCGGCTGCACCCAGCGATACTCACTCGCTCTACTGGGGGCCGAACATGCCGATGCGCTGGGCGATGAGCGAGCGGCACGCAGGGCAGTCCTCCATGTTGCGAGCGAGGAGCGTGTCGTTGCAGGATCGACAGACCCCCTGGTACTCACCCGTATTACTGGGGCCGAACACGCGGATGTGCTGGGCAATGGGCGAGCAGCACGCAGGGCAGTCCTTAAAGAGCCAGTGCCTCAACCAAAAGGCGTGTTGTTACAGGCTTGACAGACCACCTGGTACTCACCCGCATTACTGAGGGCCGAACACACGGATGCGCTGGGCGATGGGCGAGCGGCACGTGGGGCAGTCCCTCATGTCTCGGGCGAGCAGCGCATCGTTGCACGCCTGACACACGATCTGGTGCGCGCACGGCAGGAACACCACCTCCACCTCCTCACTCATGCACATCACACACTCCCTCTCCCTCCTCACCCCTCCTCCCAGCACTAGGCCTCCCAGGCCAATGTGGGGCAACAGAGATCCATGCCCCGCTGTGGGAATGCAAGCAGCAGCAGGGTTACCAGCAGGACTGCCACTGACAAATCCGCCTCCGCCTCCGCCTCCTCCCCCCCCTCCTCCTCCCCCCCTTGCTCCCCCAATCACACCGTGGTTTCGCCCCCCTCCATGGCCTGCTACCATCCCGTGCCTCACACCTTTCACTGCCCCCCCTCCTCCTCCTCCCCCTCCTCCAAAGTGAATCCCATTTAGAGGTATCACCCCTGTCCCAGCACCATACACCCCCATGGGCCTCTGCCCACCACTGGCACCACCAGCAGCAGCACCAGAAGCAGCAGCAATAGCACCAGCAGTGGCAGCAGCAGCATTGCCAGTTGCGCTAGCGGCAGCAGTACCGGCAGGAGGATTTCCCCCCGGCATGTCAAAGAGGAGGCGGGCACTGGCACCCCTCAGCGCCTGTGCACTGGCTGCTGCCACCACACTCGCCGCCACACTGCTGCTGCTTCCACTGCTGCCACCACTGCCAGCGCCACCGCTCCCGCCACTGCTACCACCACCGCCACCACCAGCACCAGAGCCGCTCCCCAGCAACCCTCCCCCTCCTCCCCTCGTCCCACTCGCACCCACACACCCCACTCCCGCTCCTCCCCCTGCCCCGCCCCCGCCCCCGCCACTCCCCCCCCACAGGCTCGCGCCCGCCATGATCCGCAGCTGCACCACCTCCCGCTCCAGCCGCGCCACATCGCCCCTCACCCGCTTCACATCCGCTTCGCCCTTGGCCCGCAGCGCCTCCTCGCGCTGCTTGAATGCTGTTTCCGCCTGCTCCCTCCCTCGGCACTCCGCGTCGGCGCGCTGTGTGGCCTCCTCCCGCGCCTTCTCCTCCTGCCGCCACCGCTGCTCCGCCTGCTGCTGCCGGCGCTGAGTCAGGTCGAGGTCTGACAGGGCTGTTGCCAGCTTCCGCCGCTCGTCCGCTAGCTCCTCCTGGGGGGGGGAGGGTCGCACATAGGAGGGGGGAGGGGGTGGGGGGAGAGGATGGGGTGAGGAGGGGAGTGATGGAGTTAAATGCAACCTCCTCTGCTAGCTCCTCGCAGCGCCTCCTTCCGTTTGAACGCCCCCTCCACCTGCTCCCTCCAGGAGCACTCCGCATCGGCACTGGTGCCGGCGCGCGTCGCGTCGAGATCCGAGAGGGCGGATGCCGGCTTGCGACGCTCGTCTGCAAGCTCTTCCTGCAGAGAGGAAAGGTTACACACAGGAGAAGGGGAAGCGAAGGGGAGGAGTGCGGGTGAAGGAGGCGGGGGGGGGGGGAGGGGGGGGGGGGAGGGTGGGGGTTGGTTGCTGTTGCATAGTTTCGCCCTCTTCTGCTCGCCCTCCCTGCACTGCAACAAAGGGTCCGAGAAGCGAGGATAGAGGGTTTTGAGGCGCCTAAAAAACGTGTGACATGAGGGGGAAGCAGAAAAGAAAGCTTTGGAGAATTCTCACCCTGCTCCCAGATAACCTAGAGCTTCACCTACTTGCTGGCTGCCTCTCTGACCCACCGGCACATGTTTTGGTCCATCGTGTCACCCACCCACCCACCCACCCACCCACCCACCCACCTGCAGCTTGGCCTTGACGCGTTCGATCGCCTGCACCCGCTTGAGCACCTTGCCCTCCCGCTTGCCTGCCTCCACCAGCTTGCTGCTCGCCTCGCTCACCCTCAGCCCCGCCGCCTGCAGCTCTGCCCGCAACTGAGAGATGTGAAGGGAGGGGGAACGGGGGCATGTAGGGGGAACGGGGCATGGAGGGGGAACGGGGCATGGAGGGGGAACGGGGCATGGAGGGAAGCAAGAGGGCGATGAAGATCAACTCTCCACCAGCTTGCTGCTCGCCTCGCTCAACCTCAGCCCCGCCGCTTGGAGCTCTGCCCGCAGCTGAAATATGTGAAGGGAGGAAAGAAAGGAAGGTGTGATGAACAGGCGAGGAAAAAGAGGAGAGGGGAATATCAGCCCTCCACCAGCTTGATTCGTGCCTCGTTCCTCTCACACTCGCCACCTGCACCCTTTCCACCAGCTGGCAGCTGATCTCTCCACAGGGGGAGGCGGGGAGGGGGAGGTGAGACGAGAGCACGATCTACCAATTCAGACACCATAAGTAACCTCACTTCCCCACCCCTGTCTTTGCCCCCATTCGACTCACCTTTCCATTCCTTCTTGCTGTTTTAAAACCTGAGTCTAGTGTTTCCGTATGATTCTCAAAAATCACATAGCAGCATTCGCCGGTCCAACTGACCAGACGCCTGAACTGCCCCAATCGTCCCCCTTCCCCCAACCTCCCTCCCACTCACTCCCCATCCAACCCGCTCACCTCAGCCATCCAGCCTCCAGCCGGCACACCGCGGCAGCATTACCAGGGTCCACGTGGGGTCCACGTGGGGTCCACGTGCCCGGCATACACATGGCAGCCTAGCCCCCATACCCATTTCCCTCTGTCCGGCCCTACATCCCACTCACCTCTGCGTTCTCTGCTTCAAGCAGCCCCACACCAGCGTTCGCCCTGCCCTGTCCACCTGCCCCGACGCCTTCCTCAGCACCGCCTCCATCTCGCCCAGCTGCCTTGATTTGCTTGAAACACTTCCCCTCTCCCCTTTCCCCCCTCCCCCCCACTTCATTACATCGCGCACCTCAGCATTCTTTGCCTCCAATCGACCCACGGCCATATCCACCTGCCTAGACGCCTTCCTGAACGCCGCCTCCATCTCGCCCAGCTGCTTTGAGGCGCCTCAAGCGGAACCACCTGAACCCCCCACACCTTTATCCCACCAAACGAGGTATTTGAAACCTTTGAGGCGCCTCAACTCGGCATTCTCAGCCTCAAGTCGACAGACAGAAGCGTTGAGGTCGCATTGGCGCAGGCCACCTGCCCCCATCTCGCCCAGCTGCTTTGAGGTGATTGATCCCCCCTGCCCCCCCCCCCTCTTCTTGTTTATCCCTCTCACCTCAGCGTTCTCCGCCTCCAGGCGGCACGCGGCCGCGTTGGCCCTATCCACCTGCCCCGACGCCTTCCTGAGCGCTGCCTCCATCTCGCCCAGCTGCCTTCGTAAGGCGCCTCTAAGAGGAACCCCACCGCCCCCTCACTCTTCCACTCTGTACCCCACCACTCACCTCAGCGTTCTCTGCCTCCAAGCGGCACACAGCAGCATTGGCGCGGTCCACCTGCCCCGACGCCTTCCTGAGCGCCGCCTCCATCTCGCCCAGCTGCCGCCCCGCGCTCTCCTCCTTGCTCTCCAGCTCCCGCCTGCAGCGTACCCACTCCTCGCGCTCCACTCGAAGTTGCCGCAGCTCCTTGGACTCGCGCACCAGCTTCTGCGCCACTTGCATCACCTGGGGGCACGGGGAGGGGGGGGAGGGGGGGGAGGGGGGGGGAGGAGGTTGGAAGTGGGAGGACGTGAGGGGAAGGTGGGAGGGGAGAGTGAAGACTGCTGTACTCATGGCCCATTAGTTCTCCCTGCGTGCTCGCACCCACTCCACCCTCTTCACGCGCAGCTGCCGCAGCACCGCGGACCCCCCCGCACTAGAATCGGCGCCACTTGCATCACTTGGGAAGCAGCGGGACAGGATGGGAGTAAGAGCAAGAAGGGGGAGAGGGAGGAGGGCATGGCGAGAAATGGGAGGGAGGGAGGCACATGGTGTTTCGTGTTCCTTGCTCTCCTGCATCACACTAGCTTCTGTGCAAATCGCACCACGCGGTAAGGAAAGCGGGCGAATTAGAGGCAAGAAGGAGGGCGGCACGAAACGCACCAACACAGGTTGCCCCTTCCCACTGCTTTCCCCTCCCTTTCTCCCCCCCCCCTCTCCCCCCCGCCCCCCTCACCCGTTGCTGCGCCCAGTGCTTAATGTCGTCCACAGCCGCCTCCAGCGTGCTGATTGTTGTAGGTGATTCTTTGTTCTAGGAAATCTCCAGCGTGCTGATTGTTGTAGGTGATTCTTTATTCTAGGAAATCTCCAGCGTGCTGATTGTTGTAGGTGATTCTTTGTTCTAGGAAATTTCCAGCGCCCTGATTGTTGAAGGTGATTCTTTGTTCTAGGAAATCGCCAGCGCCCTGATTGTTGAAGGTGATTCTTTGTTCTAGGAAATCTCCAGCACCCTGATTGTTGAAGGTGATTCTTTGTTCTAGGAAATCTCCAGCACCCTGATTGTTGAAGGTGATTCTTTGTTCTAGGAAATCTCCAGCACCCTGATTGTTGAAGGTGATTCTTTGTTCTAGGAAATCGCCAGCGCCCTGATTGTTGAAGGTGATTCTTTGTTCTAGGAAATCTCCAGCACCCTGATTGTTGAAGGTGATTCTTTGTTCTAGGAAATCTCCAGCACCCTGATTGTTGAAGGTGATTCTTTGTTCTAGGAAATCTCCAGCACCCTGATTGTTGAAGGTGATTCTTTGTTCTAGGAAATCTCCAGCGCCCTGATTGCACTTCCTCACTCACTACTCGCCTCTCCCCACTTGCCCTCACCTCTTGCCAACTGCCGTACCCCCTGCTACTGCTGCTGCACCTCACACAACTCACCCGCTGCTGCGCCCAGTGCTTGCTGTCATCAACAGCCGCCTCCAGCTCCCTCACCCTTGCCTCCAGCCACGCCGTGTGCTGCTCCCTCCGATCGTCCACCTGAAACGGGCGGGGAGAGGGGGGGGAGAGAGGGCAAGCAGAGGGCAGAGGGGTGGACAGGAGTGTGAGTTGCAGAATCGACTCAAAGCGTCCAGCCACGCTGTGTGCTGCTTGCCCCGTGCATTCACCTGCTGGGAGCACACAGGCATGGTGAGAAGAGTGGGAGAGGATGGGCAAAGGGGAGGGCACAAGTGAGCCTCGAGGGAAGCGGTGAGAGACAAAAGCAATCGCCACAGGCCTCCTTCCCGCATGCTCTGCCACTCCCGCCCTACCTGTCCTTTGAGCTCCTCCACACGTCGCTCCAGGTGCACGCACTGCTTGAGCACCGCCCCGTGCACCTGCTCCAGCCCCCAGCGCTTGGTTACCCCATGCCATACCTTTCCACATTGCCCTTCCACTCCCGCCTTTAGAGGAGCCTCAAAGTCGCTTGGTTACCCCATACCATACCTTTCCACATTGCCCTTCCACTCCCGCCCTACCTGCCCCTCCACTCAGTCCATACCTGTCCCTCGAGCTCCTCAACACGCCTCTCCAGGTGCACGCACTGCTTCAGCACCGCCCCGTGCGTGGCGTGCAGCTGCTCCAACCGCTCCATCACCCCCTCCACGCTCTCCTCCGCCCTCGCTCCCCCCGCCACCACTGCCGCTGTCGCTGCCGCTGCCGCTGCGGCCAAACTGCCAGGTACCTTCTCGGAAAGAATGGCTGACATGCTACTAGGGGTCCCGCTCGCCACACTGCTTGCCGGACCCCTCGTGAGAGATGTTTTAGACTTCTCAAAACTCGCTACACCACTGCTTAGACTGCTCGTTAGACTGGCTGTTCCGCTGTTGAACCCTGAAGGGATTGCTCCCTCTGTTGCCCCCCTGCCTGCTTGAGATGGTGCACCGATCAAACCACCAGACCCGCCCTGCTGCGGCTGAGGCGGGTCAAACGGCACCAAAACGCCAGGAGAATTCAACAGAGCAGGTGAATTCAACAGAACAGGCGGATTCCCCATGCCGGCCGCTGCTCCCAGTGACCCAGATGCAACAGAAGAAGCAGCTAAAACACATCCAGGTATTACAGAGCCCAATTTGGGACCACCCGCCACGGCTCTGCCTGCCGTGGCAGCAGCAGCAGTGGAAGCACAAGCACCACTGGCACCCGTACTGGCATCAGCATAACCCATGGTGGGGCCCACGCCTGGGGCTGCCACCACCCCACCGACAACAGAGCTTAGCACACCTGTTCCTGTGGCTGTTGAGCCATGCCTCTCCCCTCCCTCTCCCCCTCCCGCCGCCCCTGCCGCCCCTGCTGCTCCTGCTTTCACTGCTCCCACTGCCCCCCCTACTCCCCCGCCTGCGCCCCCTATTTCTTCCCCACTCCCCGTCTCTCCCCGTCTCCTTTGCCCCACTACCACCCGCCTTCTCCTTCCCCTCACTCCCCCTACCTCAATCCCCCCCCCTCCTCCCACTCCTGCCCCTCCTGCTGCTCCTCCCACTCGTCCAACCCCCGCACCTTCCCCGCCTGCCGAGCCTGGCTGCACAAGCAGTTCCGGGAACACGGTGGGTGGGGCGGAACTAACCGAGCCGGGCCAGGTGGCTTGGGAGGTAAGCGAGGCTTGGGACGTGGTAGGAGGGTGAGGTTGGGGATGGGAGTATGGTGGGGGATGGGCGTGGGGGTAAGCAGGGGAGGAGAACGAGAAGGGTGCTGAAGTCGAAATGGGGAGAGAAGTGAGGCTGGTAAGGTTCCCTGCTGTTGCAGCCTTTGCAGCTAATGCACTTGCATCTGCATCCGCAGCAGCAGCAGCAGCACCACCAGCTGCAGTGGCGATCCCAGCAGTCGTAGCTGCCACCGCTGCCCCTGCTGCAGCGGGCAACGACTGAAGAGTAATAACAGCGTCCCCGGCTTGGGTTCTTAGCTTGTTGTGCGACCCTGCTCCCGCGCTCCCCGAACCTGCTGCCACATCACCCACACCTAGCCTCAGACCAGCCCCCAACTCAGCCCCGGGGGTCGTGGCAGGAGGGCAGGACGAGGGGGTTGTGGCAGGGGTGGAGGCGGCAGGGGTTGTAGCAGAGGTGGAGGCAGCAGGGGTTGTAGCAGGAGCACCTCTCCCTTGGGCATCAGCTGCAGCAGAGCCAGGAGCATTGCTGCAAGCAGTGAGGTTTCCCAGAGCCTTCTGCTTTGACTTGCCAGAGGAATTGAGGGTGGGTATGGACGGCATGGGAGGGGAAGGGGAGGGAGAGGTACGGGGTATGGGAGGAGGAGTTGTGGCAGCAGCGCTGCTAGGGTTGTTGCTGGGAGTGGTGGCGGTGGTGGTGGTGGTGGATTGATCGGGTTTGGCTTGGGTAGTGGGGGTGGCAGTGGCGTTGGTGGGAGTGGGGGCAGCAGTGGCGTTGGTGGTACCTACGACAGTAAAGTCGGCTGAAGCAGAGGTGGAGGATACAGCAGCGGTAGTGGCAGCAGTGGCTGTGCTAGTAGGGGCGGCGCTGGTAGTGGCATAGATGCGAACAGCAGGCGAGGGCAGGAAGCCAGGGAGAGAGAGCGGAAACATGGAGGCGAGGGCGGAGCGAGGGGGGTCAAGCGCAGCGGCAGAGAGGGAGGGAGCGGGAGAAGAGGAGGCAGAAGGAGAAGGTGCAGAGTGAGAGGGATTAGCGGGGCTGGACTGGTCAGAGGTGACTGTTGCTAGCTGCTGCTGCTGCTGTCCCTCGTTTGAATCACACTCAGACTCATTCGTCAGGGCCGGGGAAATCTCAGGCTTGGAAAGACAAGTGATGTTGCTGCTGCTGCTGCTGCCATCGCCACTGAGGCAGGATTGACCCCCATGCCTCCCCTCTTCCTCTCCCACTATCTGGCCCACCCTCTCCCCCTCACCTTGCACAATTGCTGTACCCCCCTCTTCCCCAGGTACTTCCCCAACGGCAGCAGCAGCAGCAGCACCAGCAGCAGCAGCACCAGCAGAAGCAGCACCACCAGCACCACCATCACCACAAGCACCACCACCACCATCACCATTACCACTTGTAGCAGCAGCCCCATCGCCCCCAGCAGCACTTGCAGCAGCAGCCCCATCACTCCCAGCAGCACCCATAGCAGCAGCCCCATCGCCCCCAGCAGCACCCATAACCGCAGCCCCATCGCCCCCAGCAGCACCCATAGCAGCAGCCCCATCGCCCCCAGCAGCACCCATAGCAGCAGCCCCATCGCCCCCAGCAGCACCCATAGCAGCAGCCCCATCGCACCCCTCCTCCTCCGCCACCCCCAGCTGGCGCCTCATCACCTGCCTGAGCTGACTCGCCTGACCCCCTGCAAACTTGTCCTGAAACACCAGGTCCGACATGGTTGACAGCATCATGGGGTTCACGTTCACTCCCCCGAACAGACCTGGGGAAGTCCGGGGGGAAGGGGGTGGGAGGGGGTGGGGAGGGGGGGGAGGGGGGGGGGGAAGAGGGAAGGAAGGGCACCAGGGGAGGGAGGGGGGAGAGGAGGGGTGGAGAGAGCGGGGAATGAACTCTTGAAGCACGAGATCAGACACGGCCTCATGGTTGAGTTGAGCGCACCCCCAGGCATCGCCAGGTGGCATGGCGCCTCATGGCCTCCCTTAGCTGACGTGTGTGACCACCGGCAGAAATTTCTCCCAAAACACCAGCAAACTCTCCTGACATGGTTGAGAGCATCACGGGGCGGACTCCCCCGAACAGACCTGAGACGAACGGTGAGGAGAGGAGGAAGATGACGGGGAAGCTGTGTTAAGGCCAGGAGTGGAGGAGAGAGGGAGACCACAGGAAAGCGGGGACGTGAACTACTCCTGCAACGTTTGGGGTTTGAGGGGGAGGAGGGGGGGGGAGGGAAGGGGGTGCTACCTGTGGTGTTGGCGATGGATTTGAGCATGGCCCCGGCGAATACGTTCTGCAGCGCCATGGAGAAAGCAGTCGAGTTACGCGCTGCTGCCTGCGCTGACGTGGCACTATCTGGCTCCGCTGATGTGGCATTCAGCACCTCCACTGAGCTGGCACCTGATGGCTTTGTTGAGCTGGAACTCGCTGGCTTTTCTGAGCTGGCACTTGCTGGCTCTGCTGACGTGGCACTCGGTGCATCTCCTGCCTGCGCGCCTGGTGCCGCTTCAGCTGCCTCCACCCGCTCACCACCCTCTCTTGCCTCGCACTCAACTGCCTCCAGCCCTGACTGCTGCTGGAGGGTGTCTGACCCAGCGGAGCCCACACCAGCGCCAGCACTAGGGGCAGACGCAGAGGCAGGGGCAGGGGCGGAGACACGGACAGAATCAGGTGCCTCGGCAGGGGCAGGGGCAGGGGCAGGGGCAGGGGCACAAGGAGTCTCCTGAGGCACCTGGCAGGGTGCCGTATGCCCGGGAAGGCGAGCAGATGATTCACTGTTATCAAGAACCGTCTCCTCCTTGCTGGTCCCCACCGCGGACTCCGCTGGCGCTGAGCCGCCGGGATCAGCCTCTGAAGCCGACTGGAGGGTGTCGTGTTTGTGCTCTGTGTGCTTGTCCGCGGCTTGTGGGGACGAGGCGTTGGTGTGAGTGGGGGCGTTGGTGTGAGTGGGGGCGATGATGTGAGTGTGGGCAGCGGTGGGAGGATGAGAGGAATCGGAATCGGATGTGGGAAGGAAAGTAGGGCCATGGGAGGAAGTGGATGAGGGAGGGGAGGTGGGGCCAGGAGAGGCGACCGCTGAAAGATGTGATCCCGATGCACCCTCAACAGCACCTGATGCCACTGCTACTGCTTTTGCTCCTCGTCCTGCAGCGTTCGCTTCTACTCCCGCCTCTTCTCCTGCGCCTGCTCCTAGTCCCAACGTGCAATCTGCACTAGACGTTCCCTGCGGGGCCTCGGCACCAGGTGCCCCCTGTGCCCCCTGTGCCCCAGAGCCCGCCTCACCCACACTAGTGCTGACAGCAAGGGGGGCCACATTCCCACCAGCACGCGAGAGGCCGCTGCCTGCTGACTTGCCTGCTGTGCTCGCTGCTCCAGCTTCTGATCTCCTCCCTTCTCCGGACCCTGCTGCCTGTGCGCCAGACGGCTCCCCTCCTCCCCCACCTGCTGCTGCTGCTCCTGTTGCTGTTGCTGCTGCTGCTGCTGCTCCTGTTGCTGTTGCTGTTGCTGCTGCTGCTGCTGCTCCTGTTGCTGTTGCTGCTGCTGCTGCTGCTCCTGTTGCTGTTGCTGTTGCTGCTGTTGCTCCTGTTGCTGTTGCTGCTGCTGCTGTTGCTGCACCATCAGTATCCGTGTTTTCTGCTGCACTGCCAGCAGCAGTAGCATCCTTCCCTGCCACACTATCAGCCTCGCCCTTCCCTGCTGAATCATCATCAGCAGCAGCAGCCTCATCACCAGCACCATCCTTCCCAGCAGCAGCAGCGGCCTCCTGGTGTCGGATGAGCATCTGCTGCAGCACGAAGTGCAGCTGTTCCTGCTGCTGCTGCAGCACCACCATCGCGCGGTCCAGCTGGCTCTTCACGTGCTGCTGCGCCTCCCGATCCGCCTGCTCCTTCTGCTCCTGCTCCCTCTGTTGCACCACCTGCTGTCGCCGCCGACGCCGCCGCGACGAGTGCGCCAGGCTCTGCTGCTGCTGGTGCTGCTGCTGCTGGAGCAGCAGCTGCTGCTGCAGCGACTGCTGCTGCTGCAGCAACTGCTGCTGCTGCTGAACCGACTGCTGCTGCTGCAGCGACTGCAGCGACTGCTGCTGCTGCTGCAGGTGGTACTTCTCGAGCTTCTGCTGCAGCTGCTGCGGGTTCTCCGAGCCAGCAGCAGCAGCGGTGTGGAGGGAGTTGATGGACTCGACCAGGTGCAGCTGGTGCGGGTTCATGTGCTGCTCCATGGCTCGCTTCTGCTGCATGATTTCCGCCAGGTGCTTCTGCAACTCCTCGTCCGATATGCGCTTGGGGTTCTGGGACGCATTCTGAGAGCTGCTTTGCTGCTGATTTGTTTGCTGCTGCGCCTGCTGCTGCTGCTGCTGCTGCTGGAACAGCTGCTGCTGTAACGGCAGCTGCAACGGCTGCTGCAACGGCAGCTGCATCGGTTGCTGCAACAACGGCTGCTGCTTCTGCCCCTGCTGCTGCTGCTGCAGCATCACGTGCCTGGTCTGTCTCTGCAGCAGCTGCTGCGTGTCGTGCTGCGACTGCGCCAGCAGCGAGGGCAGCATCTTCATTTGCTGCAGCAGCTGCAGGTCCTCGGGGTTGCCCTGCACGTACTGCTGCATCTGCTCCAGCGTCGCCTGGTACTGCTGCTGCTGCTCGTGCAGCCGCCGAAACGCCTCCGACTGCCGCAACACCCACCGCTCGTGCTCCTCGTCATATGCCTTTGTGCTGCCGCTGCCGCTGCCGCTGCTTGTGCTGGTGCTTGTGCTGGTGCTGGTGCTGGTGCTGGTGCTGGTGCTGGTGCTGCCGGCGCCACTGCTGCTGGCACCTGCATCCGATACCCCGTCTGCCCCTCCGCCTCCCCCTGCTGCTCCTCCCACTCCTGCTCCTCCTCCCCCTCCTGCTGCTGCTGCTGTTGCTGCTGCTGCGCCTGTCCCTCCGCTCTTTCCACCTTTGCTTTTCTTGGCTCCCTTCCTCTTCCCACCTCCTCCTTTCCCTACCTCCTTGGCTCCAGTTGCACCGGCCCCAGGTACACCTGCCCCGGCTGCACCTGCACCAGACGCGCCCGCGTCAGCAGAAGCGTTGACTGCAGCTGCAGCAGGCGCACTGGGTGGAGGGTAAGGGGCACTGCACACCACAGCCGCAGCCACAGCGGCAGCGGCAGATACGCCAGACGGAACAGCAGTGCACACAGGAGCAGCAGCAGCAGCAGCAGCAGCAGCAGCAGCAGTGTTAGAGGAGGGTGGTGGTTGCGGCTGCAGCGATGCACGCAGCGCCTGCTTGCCGCGCGATTGAGAGAGCGGCTTCGATGGTGCGGCAGACACTGGCACCACAGGCGTGTGTGCTGCCTCAGGCGCTGCCCCACCGCCCTCTGCTGCTGATGCTGCTGCCGCTTCTCCTCCTGCCACTGCTAACTGTCCTGCTCCTCCTGCTCCTCCTCCTCCTGTTCCTCCTGCTCCTCCTGCTCCTCCTGCTCCTCGTGCCGACGCTGCAGCCGCACCTGCGGATGCTTTCAAAGAAAGCTGAGTTGAAGCAACAGCAGCCTTAGCACCAGCAGCACCACCAGCAGCAGCACCACCAGCACCACCAGCAGCAGCACCACCAGCACCAGCAGCAGCAGCACCGCCACCAGCATTCCCTCCTTCGCATGCCACTCCTACACTCCCCCCTGCCACTCCTCCCCCGCCGCCTACCCCTATCCCTGCCACACCCCCTCCTCCCCCTCCCATTCCCTTTTCCCCTCCCCCTGCCCCTGCTCCCGCTCCCTCCCCCCCTGCCCCTGCTCCTCCCCCTCCCCCTGCCACACTCCCGGCGGCAGCAGGGGGAGCAGACGCCATCCGCGGAGGCGGCTGTAGATCCAGCTCACAGGCCTTCCTAAGGTCTAGATCACTCATGAGCAAGCACCACATGGCATCCCCCCGGCTCATCTGGGGGCCCCACACCGCCTGTAACGCGCACAGCATCCGCGACAGCCCATCCTGCTGAAGCTCCCTCCGAGTTGAAAACCCCAGGCTCGGACTCCCCCCCGAGGCCTGGCCCGTGCCTGACCCGGAGGCATGGCGGGTCCCGAAGCTGCTACCAGTGCCGAAGCTGGAGGTGTGGGTTCGGCTTCCCGAGCCTCTACCAGTCCTGCCAGCGGCCATGGCCGTGATTTCCGGGCCTCTGCCGAAGAGGAGAGCGTTGGATACGATGTTGGTTAGGGCGTCCTTCTCGCCGAAGCAGCTGCCGAACCTGTCGACGGCCTGCCGAGCCGCCTCGTCAGTGTAGCCGAAGCTAGCGACCTTGACCACTGCTTCGCTATGGAGCGAATCGAGCTTCTCTAAGAGAAGCTCCTCTAAGCGAAATTCGGTTGAGTCGTCCCATATGTAATCTACAGGAGAGTCGGAACTGGCCTGGTGTGCAGCACCTGCTGCATCATCTACTGCAGCAGACGCGCTAGCGGCACCCTGCGTCTGATCGAGCTGAAATTGCGGGTCGTTATACCTCTGTGGCTGCAAGCCTTGCTGCTGCTGCTGCTGCGGTTGCTGCTGCGGTTGCTGCTGCTGCTGGTACTGCTGTTGATACTGCTGCAACTGCTGCTGCTGTTGCTGCTGCTGGTGATAATGATGCAGATGCTGATGCTCCCCTTCCTGATGGGACTGGTGATGCTGCTGCTGCTGCTGCTGCTGCTGCTGCTGCTGCTGAGGATGACGATGATGATGATTCGGATCGACCTGGGACAAATCGCTCTCCTCTCCCACGTCATCCGCGTCATCGAACTCGCTCTCCACCTCATCATCCGCCGTTATATCCACGTCATCGTCCTCGTCATAATCCTCCTGCGCATCTACAGTGTCCACGTCATCACCGTCGTCATAATCCCCCTCATCGTCATAAAACTCATCCTCCACGTGGATAATCCCCCCCACGCACGATCCGTCACAAGCATCTTCGGTACAAGACACCACATCCCCCTCCTCGTCGAATCCCCGCAGCCCTTCCTCCCCCTGCGACCCCCAGCGGCGGAGACCATTCCCCCGAGTGGTAACACGGTTACCTGACAAACCCCCTGCACCGTACGCCCCCCCTGTTTCCGCGGTCTCGCGGAAAGTCATCTGCATCCGCGCCATATGCGCGGAAGCCGAGCCATGCTGCTGCGTCTGCTGCGACTGCTGCTGCTTCTGTCCCACCTGCGACCCCATCTGCGACCCCACCAGTGCTACATCCTGTCGCGCATGACCGCCGTCCGCTTCCGCCACTGGCGGACACGCTAACGGCGCAGCGGCGGGGGGATTCACCTGGGCGGAAGGCGCGTCCAGGCGGAACTTGCGCTTGTTGCGGTGACTCGCTCTGTCCGCATCCTCCGCCCTAACCCTCTCCGCATCCTCAGCTGCCGCTGCTACTAACGAAGCTTCAGGCGCATGTCCTGTAACGGGGACCCGACCTGCTACTGCTGGTGCCGCAGCTGGCGCTACAGGTGGCGCTACAGCAGGAGCAAGGGCGTTTCTTCCCACGCCATGGCTCCCGGAAGGACCGCTGGAAGAGGAGCCTGAAGGCCCTGATTGGCTGCCGGGCTGGCCTAACAAGACCGACTGGCTCGAAAGACCTGATTGCGCCGAAAGCGCTGGCTGGCTTGCAGGCTTTAAATGGCCTGATGGTGCTCCCCGCGACAAACCGATGTCGCCAGAACCTCCAGACCCTCCGGATCCTCCGGATCCTCCGGATCCGCTTGATCCTCCAGACTCACTCAAGCTGGCGCTTCCGCTCAGACCCTTCCGTAGAGGCGGCAGAGACGGGCCACGCGAACCCAGCTGAGGCGTTCCGTTCTGGTCCAAGTGGTCACTGACACCTGGCTGGTTCTGCGGGATTTCCGCATATAATTGCGGGTTTGAAGAGGCGGATGGCTTGTGCTTGCTGTTGCCGATATTGCTGTTGCTATTGCTGTTGCTGCTGCTGCTGCTGCTGCTGGAAGCGTTGTGGCTATTGCCGGCCTTGCCAGATCGGCCCTTCTTGCCTTTCCGCGGAGCCATTGGAAGATTAGGGCCGAGACCAGGCAAGGAACGAGGCTAGCACGAGCGCATTTGGAAAAAATATGCCCAGGGAAGATCCAGCTAAGTTTCAGGCAGGCTACGCTCAACCGCTAGCTTGCAGCTATCCCTGATTATCGCGAGAACTCGAGGACATCAGATGAGGATCCACAGCGGGGAGTTAGGGAGAGCTGACAATAAACTGCAACAAACACGAAAATGGATGAAAATGGATGCCTCGTGGGAAGAAGACGACCATGGAAGTAAGAGCAGGATGGAAGCAGAACAGCCTAGGCCAAAAGTATTTAGTCAGCGGACACCACGGCATGTCACATATACAGCAGTTATGAGCGGGATGGAAGGGGGGGAGAGGGGTGACTCTGGAGAAAAGTTCTCATGAGCCAGTTGGGGGTAACTCTGGTCGAGACTGTTTGCTATTGGTCAAAAGGCCATTCTGTGCAACTCAAAACAATTTCTTGGGTGCATCCACTTGACACCCCAGCACATGGTTGATGATGATGATGGTGATTGTGAATCGTCATGAATCGTGCTTCTGCTTCGCTTTGAAGGTTTCGGGGTTGGTTTGGATGAGGGGGGAGGGAGTGCCTGCTTCGCTGGCGAAGGGATGCGATGATGAGATCGACGTAGGAGGAGTTTCGCGAAGGAGGAAATGAACGGACGGATGCTGCTCAGCGGGATGAGGGAAAGAGTTTCTGGAGAGGTGGCTGGCTGCCATGTGGCAAGTAGCGGGGAATTCACGATGACGACGCTGGCGTGGTATCCTCGCTACAGTATTAATGAGGACTCTGCCACTGATCACCTCGTGAACCAATGTACAACCAACCACCAGAATCATTAGGTATGGCACTTGATGAGTTGTTTATACAAAGTGCAATAACTAGACAGTTTCTATACAAAGAAACGTAAGCAACCTGAGTTAACTATTGTACAGAAGGTATTTTACACGTTGCAGGTTTGAATGTACCTAAAGTGGGGAGAACCCACTTATGCACAGCCAAAAGCAGTCAATGCACTTGTGACAAGCCAGCTAGAAGTGGCTGTCCACCAAGGGCATCTAAGCACGGCTGTTAATCACCGACAAAAATGTGAATAAACCCCAACCAAGCAGTACCTTACCTGCACAGAATGTCCAGAATAATTCAGTCTTCGAGTCTAAAATCACCAGACAGCACAAATGCCAGGAGGGCAGCATTCCAGGCATTCCAACCAGTCCTTGCCACCATTCCATGCCATCCAGCCCAATTGGTGTCTCGCCATCAGTCCCCCATGACCCGTCCATCTTTGCGTGGCATCGAGCAGCATGTTCCAATGCGAATGATGCATCATCACCTTCATGACACATGCACAGCACCACTCACGCACTCTCTTCATTCGCTTGTCGGAGGGATATTTGAAACATCAAAAGCCCGAGCCCCAGTAGATACAGCCTCTTTGAGTTGTGGCCAATCAGAGGCCAGGAAGCTGAGGAGCGATGATGAGCCCCCAGCTGCCATCAGCTCATTCAGTTGCTGCACGCCACCCCCTCCTCCTGTTGCTCCACCTCCTCCTCCCTGACCCGCTCCACCTCCAAATGTAGCATGCCCCTGCTGATGCTGCTGTTCCTCCTCCTCCTGCAGCAGCTGCTGCTGCTGCTGAAACTGCTGCTCTTGCTGAAACAACTGCAACTGCTGCTGCCTCTGCTGCTGAAACTGCTCCTGCTGCTGCTGCTGAAAAGACTGCTGCATCAACTGCATGCCCTGCTGCTGCAGCAGCTGCTGCTGGAGCAGCTGCCGCAGCGCGTGCAGCTGGCTGCCTCCAGCGGCGCTCTGCTGTGCAGCCAGCAACGCCTGCAGCGCCTGCAGCCCTTCCTGCGACTCCTGCTCGCCTTGCAGCGCCTCCTGCCCTCCCCCCATTGCCCTCAACGCCTTCTCCTCTTCCTCCTGCTGCTCCTCCTGCTGCTGCCGCTCCCGCTGCTCCTGCCTCTGCTGCTGGTATTCCGTGCTATCCTCGTCCATGCGGGACCCTGGTCGCTCCATGTGGCCGCCGCCGCTGGACATTGAAGCGCTCTCCGCCTCCACCCCGCCGCGTGCCGCTCCTGCTGCCATGCCGAATCTCGACCGCTTCTGAGTCGACTCACACGCCGCAAACTGCTGCTGCTGCTGCTGCTGGAAGGTAGCAGCATCGAAGAGTGACGCTTGGTTAGCCTGCTGGTTTAGTGAGAAAAGGGCCGCGGCCCCCCCGTCCATTCCAGTGAAACCACCACCAGGAACAGCAGCAGCAGCAGCAGCGCCAGACGAGCCAGCAGAGCCAGACGAGCCAGCAGAGGTATCACCAGCAGTGGCAACTCCAGCGCCGGGAGCAGCAGCAACCACGGGCCGAGCGCCCTGGGGCGTGACATTAGCTGACGACGGCTGCTGCTGCTCCAGCACCGACAAATCAATGGTCAGATTCCGCCGCCCGAGAATCGACGGCCCTTTCTGCCTGCTGCTGCTGCCGCCGCCACCACCAGCCCCACCATCCACACTCATTGCTCCCATTCCCCCCATGCCTCCCACTGCTCCCCCTCCTCCCCCCAACACTGATAGCCCCAGGCTTGAGCCGCCTAGGCTTGAGTTCCCCAGGACGGAGGGGAAGAGGCCGGTAAGGGGCGCGCGTTCTACGGGGGAGGAGGAGGAGCGGAGCAGCGAGCGGTGGTGGAAGGCTGAGAAGGGAGGTGTTTTCGCAGTTCCGCCACTGCCGCCCAGCCCGCCGGCCATTCCGCCACCTAGACCTGCGCGGAACATGTTGTTTGGGGAGCCGAGCGGGGAAGACCCCATGCCCGCGCCCATTCCCCCAAACCCGTTCACGCCTACCGCGCCCCCCATGCCCAATCCCGCAGCTCCCCCCGCGGCTGTCAGCGCCGCCAGCCCGTTATCCCCCCCGAAAACTGCTCCGCTCCCACCTGCGCCGGCAGCGGCGGAGGTGGAAAGGAAGCGCGGGAAGAGCGGGGAAACCATGGGCGGAGAGAGCACGGAGGGCTCCCCCAGGCTCGCGCTTTTGGGGAACGCGAGCACCTCCTGCGGGGAGGGGAGTTCGGAAAACGGAATCCCGGAATACGCGGCGGCAGCTAGGCGCAGGCGCTTGGCGGTTTGCTGGCGCAAATCGAACAGGTCGTCCCCTCCGCTTCCGCTTCCGCCGGCCCCCCCCATGGCGAGACCGAAGCCTCCGCCTCCGCCGGCTCCGGCGGAAAAGGGGAACGGCTGCGCGGAACCGGGGGAAGGCGCGCCGCTGCTGGAGGAGAGGCCGTGCGGGGAGAAGGGTTGCGAGAGGGGGTGGGGGGACGGGACGCCGGAGTGCAGGCCGCTGGGGGACGAGCACGTGGAGGCGGCGGCGGAGGTGGTGGCGAGGCGGCGGAGCACGTCGGTGAGCGCACGGATCTGCACAACGGGCGGAGCGGGGGAGGGGGGCCGTGGCAGGAAAACAGCGGAGGGGAGGGAAGGGGAAGCATGAGGAAAGCGAAACGGACGAGTGTTCGGACGCGAAACCACGTGGAAAGAGCCTTCGCAGGGAAGGAGGCCAAAGCGAAGTAGGAAGGGACAGTCGCAGGAAGCCGCGACGAGCATGCGCGGATCGCGTACTAAGGTTCCCTCAATTAGCGAGCGCTCCGCGCTAGGGGGGGTAACTCACGTGTTCCACCCTGCTGGAGTCATATCGCCCGCCCCCAGGTGTGCCTGCGCCGCTGCCCGGCGAGAATGCGGGGCTGTCGGGGAACGCGGAGCGGTACATGGCGGCGTATGCGGGGGAGGCCGGACCCGCGCTGCTGTTTCCGCTGATACTGTCGCGCGGAGAGTCCAGCAGGCGGGAGGTCTGCGCGCGGAAGGTGGGGGAAGGGACGGGGAGGTGGAAGGGGGGTAGGGAGGCAGGGAGGTTAACAGGTGGTAGGGAGAGAAAGACGAAACGTGTCGGGCGGGTGGGGAGGAGGGGGTCTTGTGAAGGGGGACGAGGAGGGGGGTGGGGGGGGTAGGGGGAGGGAGCAACAAAAGTAACTTTCGGCGGAGCAGCGCGTGGCTGAAAGGAGTTTCGGACGCACCCGTCGGCTGATGATGTCGGCGAGAATGGTGGGGTACTTGCGCTTCAGCGTCGAGTTCCAGTGGTTCTGCCACGGCAGAATCCATGGAAACGGTGGGAAAAAGGAAAGAAAGAAAGAAAAGAAAAAAAAGGAAACTCCAATCAGTAAAAAAATCCACGGAACACACGAAGCGACGTCGCTGCAGACCAGGGTGGCGTGGCGCGCGTAGCAGCTGCCACCAACATAGCCCGTACCTTGATGGCGTTATCGGTGCGGCCGGGGAGGCTTTTGGCGATGATGGACCACTTGCTGCCGTGCTCCGCGTGGCCCATCACGATGATGCGATCCTCGTCGTCCGTGAACGGGTCCTTGTTCACCTGCCACGTGGCACGCACCCGAGGGCCAGCGAAGATCGACAAAGAGCGATGAGCAACGTTACCCTACGACCCGGTAAGGGCACCCGATAAAGCAGAGTCGATAATATCGCCAAGCCGGCGCGTCGCGAACGAGGCGCCGATGCCTGCTATGCACTTGAATACCCCTGACGGAACGACATGCCCGATTCCGCCGGCGCACGGCGATCGTCTGAACGCGTTGCGCGCTTTCAAGAGCCCTGCTGCACTTTCCTTTCTCGCCACCTTCCCATTCTCCTCTCTCTTCTCTCCCTACCCCCGGCTACAATCCCCCTGCGGTGGAGCTAGGCTGTGCTATGTTTTCTAGAATGCTCAAAAACATCCCCCCTGCGGTGGAGCTTGATGAAACCCCTTCTCCATACCACACTCGACTGGGCCGTGACTTGCGCGATATCTAGCAAGGCATTATCTAGCAAAGCATTATCTAGCAACGAACCCAGCCGACCAGCCGCGGCCAGCGACGAGAGGCCCCGGGGTGTGAAAAGGTAACACCCGGTTGCTCCCTAAACCGCATCGGCTGAGTAAGTACTTCGTGTACGGCCCGCAGACGCTAAAGAATAAGCAAACGAGCTCGTGCAGGAGAGGCGGACACTACCCGCGTGCTTAGGCTACTAGCCGCTGACACTATCCAGTAGTAATCAAGTTCGACGCGGATTTGCGGCCTAGAAGCAGCTGAGACTTGGGAGCCTCCGACGCGGGTTTCCTCCTGGGACTTACTTCGGGATTCAGTTGGTTGCACCATCGTAAGCGACAGCTCTTGCCAGACCGCCCCTTGAGTCCTTGGGCTATGAGTGACCAATTACGCGGTCCGTACTTCGAGATTAACTCTCTGAGCTTCTCGTCTTCTTCGGGGCTCCACGGCCCCTTCACCACATCTTGCTCGGTTTCCGCCATTTGCGGCTCGCAATGCTAGTGCTCCTAAGTGCTCCTAGCTGGGTACTTGAAGGCTACTTCGAGGTGATTAGTAGGAGGCGAAGTGTGGTCCGCGCGCCTATAGGTAACGAAATCCTCTAGAGTTTAGTTAATTTTTTTCTGGCAGGAACTAACCAACAAAGTGCAAATTGAACACGTCTGCGAGCTCTGTTAGCTTTGGTAGTTATAGCGATGATGGATCAGGTCCAGTGGAGAACACCGAAACGCGGTTTCTCCTCAAAAGAGACGTAGCGAGCACACCCAGTGACATGATCGTCATAAGCTTGAAAGGACGCCAGAGGTGAATCGAAACCGTCGGCTATCAACCAACTCTCCCAGCCGCCAGCTTGCACCTCTTGCTGCTGCTGCGCCACCAACCAACCGACCAAACCCGCGCCCTGGCCGAACCACAGTTGATGGACCTGCGGTTCACACAGCACTCCAAGAACGCGTGACTATGCAGTGTGGTGTGGTGGGCAGCGCACTCAAGGCGAACAGCTGAGCAGAGGAAGGGAAACGAGTCACTGAGAGGAGGAAGTGGGTCGATTCCTAGGTGGCCACCTTGGTGGTTCGACGGCTTAGATGCTCCATTGGGATTGCTCGTATTTCATCTGACGGGAATGCGTACCCCTGGGCACACACTGAAATTCCCTCTCCAATCACCTCGACTTTGGAGACTGTAGCACCAAGAGCGGGTGTGGCCTGACACTATGCCTCGGCACGAGGTGTCGCTAGTGACGAAGGGGATGTGTGGATCGTTCTTTTGAGGGCAGCTCGTCACTGATTTTCACTCCTTAAGTGCACATATCTTAGTTTACCAGTATTTTACGGGGAATTCTTCTGTCTGCGTTACAGACCAATCATTTCCCCCATTCGCCACTTCCCACCACAACATAATCAGATACTGTATCTTACTGTACCATTGATCACGGAACCAGCTTTCTTTTCGAAGAAAAACGGGCTGAGCGAAAAAAACTCTTCTAACGGGCTGCACCGAACCTCAAACCAAATGACTGAAGAAACTGGGACTCCCTCCCACAGCCACGATTTCTTTGATACAGGAGGTGTAATAATCTCCTTCGGCAGCGCGCATGCTCAATCAGGATACAGAACCTGTGCTGTACTGTAATCGGACAACCCCGCACATCATGAGTGGGGCGGAATAGAGATGAGTGGTACAGTACAACTGGATGCGAATTCGTCGGTAAATATGGATTGCCGACCGGCGGATGCTATTCAGCTAAACATGCATTATTTTGCTCAACATCTCTCCCAGGGCTGTGAACTTCGAAGGAATTAAAATGAGAAACACGGAAGACACAACTGTACAGCATGACGGCACGGGGTTGCAATAGTGCACACCACCGTGTGATTGCGCCCAGGGCTTATTTTTCAAGAATTGTTGCCCTGAATCTGAGTCAAATAAAAAGTAGTTTTTCATATGGCCCCACAAATTAAGGACTGGGTGTTTATGAACCCGGAGGATTAAGAGTTTACGCAAACGTAGCCCTAGATATTAAGGGTATATGATTTTCCTTCACTGAGTGTACTACTATTGCTGGTAAGGCTAAAGGGGGGATCTCATTCAGAGGAACAAATCCCTTAGAAGATTTTCGTTGTTCTCCCCTCATTGCACGTACTCACACCAACTGACTAACAGAAGCGAGATAACTCCATTACAAGATTTTCGTCCTCCCCTCTTAGCACGTTGTTCACACCTCGTAGTCACCAACAGAGGGGAGACAACTCCCTTAGTGGATTTTCGTCATTCTCCCCTCACAGCCCCGTGCACGTTACTCATGCCCTTTCGTATTGTCCATACATCACCTAGAAGATTCTAACCATGGCAGTGAAAATGGTACTGTGCAAACGAGCTCAATTGATTAAGAGTTGCTTTCGCTGGACCCTAAAACAATAAGGGTAAACATTCAAGGAGCCTCATTTTTTGAGGGTGACTAAAAACCAAAAGTAAGCCCTGATTGCACCCCTACAACCTTGCTGTCGCCTTCCAGCAAGGCCTCCACCCTCCGCAAGTGGAATCTCACTTCAAGAGGGCCTGTTCCTACGTGAGACGATGGCAGGATGCATCGTGTCATCCAGGCATTTGGCCGTCAAATAGTGAAAGTCACGGAACATTGTATCTCTTAGAAACACGCCCTTAAACACGACCGCCCAAATTGTTTTTCTTCAGGCGTGCGATCATCGATAAAATAGATAAACGAGCAGAGTGTAAGAGCCAAAACCATATGCAGATAAGAATTTTGGGGGTTTACGCGACAGAGAAAAAAACTAGCATGAAGCCCTCTTGTGTCGCTTTGTCGATAGTGTCACGTGGGAGAGTAACGACTACTGTAGAAGGGCAAAAACAACGCACTAACATCCAAAACCCTAAGGATTCTGTGCCACTGTGAGGATCCCTCACCTGACAAAGTGGTCAGTGCCTCGCCTGTAACTAACGACGGCTTCGTCGGCCAACGAATCGCAGCCAGGCGGGCAGCAGTAACGTTTGATAACCGTCAGGTTTGCGGAGCAAGTCAACGGCGCAGCGAAGGCTCCACGTCAACCTGCCATACCCTTCAAATGGAACTTCAATGCGTGTGGTTTCCTTGTTGTCTATCATTCATGTACTTCATTTTAAGCCTATGCAGAATCCATAATAATTGTAGGCAAATGGAGGGAGTCGGGTGGGGAATGGGGTTGAGGTTGGTGTTGCTGTTAACAACTTAATTTAATGCTCTTGTTGTATTCTACAGTCCTTGAAGATGGTAAATAGGCAAAAACAGCACAAACAGCAAAAAAAAAAAAAACAAATATTCATGAATATAAAACCCACATGTCGGTGTGCCAGTTGTTGTCAAAAGGAGAAGGACGTGGGGTGGAGGTGGTGGAAGTTAAAGGGACTTGAGGCATCAAGAGGCAGGGAGGAAGGGGGTATAAGATTGAGTCATGCGTATCCCTCAACGCAGGGTCTTATATTGTGCCGCTTCCGTTCAACTTGTGTGAGCGACGCTTACCTTTTTTTTCCCACATCTCTCAAGTACCGTGATCATTCTTATTGCACCTCAATCATCTCACATCTCTCCCCGACCTGGATGCCACATTCTCCCTTGGCCCCATTGCGTACTAAGTGCAAGTGTCTTGTGCATGCGATTTCCATGGTTCCATAGAAACGTTGTTTGGCTCAGCCACCAAACGATGAGGGCGTATTCCTACGATGCTGCATTAACACGGATTTCGATTCTGATGCGACCCCACGTAATAGAACACCCCTCACTTGACAGGTCTCAACACACGAGATTTGCACCCAACTGTGCTTGATTGGACATCGCTGTAAGCATTGTCGCGAAAGTGACGCGCGCGCATCGCATGCTTGATGCGCGGCGAGTGCGATTCGTGTATCTGGCTTTTGTTACAGAGGGTGTATTCTTGAGGATGGGTCTCAGTATCAGAGTATACATGAACGAGTGTGATACTGATATCGGGCTGATAACGCCGGTATCAAACTCCGAAAATGGCCACGTCGTTGTCGCACATGCCCTGCATGATTGGCGCATGGAACAGCACACTGGCTAAAACCACTATTCGTATTTCCCTGATCAATACGTGGAGTCAATGAGACACCCAACGACGAGCCGTAACACATGTTAAGTACAAACAAAATCAGCACATTGTATCGAGCGACGGGCGCTAAAACGCAAAGAAAAAACCAATCAGATGCACATAGTAACACCTTTCCCATCACGTCTCTCCCACCCCCTCCATCGTCACGGCCAACAATCGCATACACACTAGAGGTACAAAGCTACGACGTGTGACAAACCGAAGCTATCTGCTAGCTGACAAAGAGGTAGAACACCTTGGACCTAGGCAGATAGGAACGCCACGCCACCATGCCTCTGAAGAAGCATCGTAATGCCCAGAGGGATGATTGCCCTCTGGATACCAATGAGTTCCCATATGTGAAGATGGTCAAAGCAAAGATGGTGGAAGGCAATGACACTGGCCGCCACCTAGGATGGGCTCCGACCTCCGGCTCCGCTGCCACCGAAAAGGAGCTGCCGAAGTATTATCCAATAGGAGGTTTAGTGTCCGGCGAGGCCGAAAACGGGGACGACGTGGAGATGGAAGAAGCAACGTGGAATAAAGAGTACAAGGATAAAGAGGACAAGAATGAGGGTAATTAAGAGGATGACATGGTGGAGCTCGTGTCGCTGCTCTCGAAGATGCCGCCACCCAGGCCATGTGCTGGAGCAAGCAAGGTGCCCCCCAAGATTGACACATGTGCGAAGGGTAAGCGACCTATGGAAGACCCGGCCGTGGATCGCCAGCGCTCACCTTGGACCCACAAGGAGTTGACGATCTTGGCGGCGTCTTGTTGGTGTTCGCGAGAGGACCTCAAGAAGAGCCAGGGGAAGAACGGGCCCTAGTACTGGGACCGTCTCGCGGCACACCTGCTATAGGAGCACGATTGGTGGACACGCAACGCCACTGCATGCAAGTGTGAGTGGACAAGATTGTCCAGCGTATAGCACGATATTAGAAAGGGGGGACGGGTGTATCTGCGGCGGAGCGGTTGTGAAGCATTGAGTTCGTCAACATGCTCCTTTAGGATTCCGCATGTGTGAATCCTCACCTCATCAATGTGGGTGGCGCAAACAATGTGACAGTCAACCCAGGCGCGTGTGTCCCTGGGATGAGCGCGTCGACCCCAAGCGTGGCAATCGCATCTCAAAGTGGATTTGTTTGTTAATAAGGTGGTTGATATTGCTTCCAAGTTATTCCATACATCATGATGCAATCGCACCATCCCGACTAGCTACTACACATCCCCCCTCTACCCCCTCTTCCCCCCCCCCCCCCCCCCCCCCCCCACCCATCTCCCCCTTCTCGCCCTATGTCTACCCTTTCCCAACCCCACATGGCCCATAGTGGCGGGCGTCAACACCCCCCCCTGGTGCACCACAGCCACATCAGTGCTAAGCTGGAAGCCCAACCCTAACTAGCGCGAACCTCCTCGCCAACACCATGTTGGAGTGCCATGCCGAGATGGTGATGCTAGCGAGGAGGTTGAGGGTTGCATCGTAACAGTGTCATTTAAGGTAAGACCCTTGCAGCACCATGCCTAGCCTCTTGCACCGCATTCGGAGATTCGCCCAGGTATTGTTGGGGCATAACTCCCACTCCATATCCACGACGTCGTTCCAGGTTCAGCACGGATCAGGAGTGCGCAAATGGGGATCCCACCTCCAGATAAAAGCTTCCTGCCATCCTCAATACCATATTGTGCAGTATCAAGTTGCACGAGGCACCAACAAGCATCCGCTAGAGCCTACACTCGGTCTTGCCGACAACCTGTCGCCAACGGCCTTTGAACATACCAGTGGCATGCTCTACGCACATTCTGGTGGCGAATTGTGCACGCTTGTAGGTCCTCTGCCAATCTAGGAATAGGACTCGTTGGGCAGGGAGTGGGGTCAGGCAGAAATTCCATAAGGGACATGCTGCGTCTCCTACAACTTGATTGAGGGCTATTTTGTGGTCGTCTGTGCTTCCTAGGAATCCAGTCAAGTAATTTCGAATGACTCCCTTGAGCATAATACCCGCACCGACCGCCATGTCCATCCGATTCGTGTTATACCCCCCAAAGAATACAACTAGTAGTCGCACAATAAAGGGAAAATCATCAGGAGGTTCCATGGTTGCGCTAGCTAGCTATACGAATTCTGTAAATTCGGAATGCGGGAATGGCGTGAATGTCGGCTTGCCTATCGGTTTTGGACAAACATCATCGCTGCGTGTTGTGTTTTGTGTGCTAGCAACCGCGAGGAAAGGCGTCAACGGGTGTAGCTTTCTTTCTCGCTTGTGATAGGTTCTCATGGTTTGGTTGCATGCATACAAGCATGTTGGGCTTGCAATTTTTGCCTTTCCACTCTATGTGAAGGGGATATTGTTCACTGGTGATGTCGCACTACACCTCGCCAACCCAACTTTCTTGTGCCGAGCCATCACGCTCGTGCGATTGCTTTCCTGCTCGGCTGATATGTAGGCTGCAAAACATTAGGTATCAGGCAGAGTATTGGACGTGTTTGAGACTGACATCTATCCTCAAGAATAAGCCCTGACACATTGCGGTTTGGGTATGCAGCATGCACAACTGTCTCATTACAGCTACAGTCAGAATCAATATATGCAACTTGTAGGGATATGCCTTGAATGCTATTGATATAGAGTACCTTTCAACAAATGTCCCGAAAAGTGACCCAAACCCATGTAATTCCAGGGACGGTCGGAAAACTGTCCGCAAAAAGTCACTGCACTGTCCCTTTGGCTTAACGAGTGTGGCCTATAAGAATCTCAATTTGGTTGTAGCCAGAGCTCGGCACGATCCACTTGGAGACAAGGACATATATCGCCCCATTGCCCAACTGCAAATTGTATTTCTGCATGTATTTCTGCATTCCCTTCATTGGGCAGCTGACATATGCGGTGCTATTAGTCATGATGCCTCAAGAGTGCAGCACCGACCTGCTGGGAGAATCCATCAAGTCATCGCTCGCCTGCAGGCAGAGTGTCCACCAGTACAGTTCCCATCCGCCTGGCAGCTGATGTAGCGGCACTTCCTTTTACAACTGTTTGTATTATGTATGCCATTTGACAATTCAATTCAAGGGCTTTCGCCATGCCATTGCTTTTTAACGTGTGTTGTTCCCATGGTTTTGGTAGGCAGCTCGCCGGCGCGTAGCACGAAACGACAACGGAGATGATGCAACAGTTTCGCGAGGCTGCGAAGCCAAGCCCATCTGAGTCATTCGATCCGAGCAATCGAAATTCTGATGTCCGCATATGGATCGCCAGCACGGAGATCCACTTCACAGCCGCTGGATGGAGCTCGCCGGTCTGGGACGGTTAGCGCGTGAGACTCGCGATGACCCCCATGCGAGGACCGGCAGTCGAGTGGATCGGCAGGAACAGTACTTTCATCCACGGCCAAGCCACGGGGCAGCAGTTCCGCACTGACATGCTGAAACGTTTCGAGCCGATAAATTCCTGTTTCCTTGCCCGGGAAAAAAAAAAAATCGCCATCGACAGTTCGGGAGCGTAGCGCACTACACAGAGCAGATGGAGGAATTTAATAATCACATTCTTGACCTGACCGAAGGGGAAAAAATGTAGTCGTACCTCGCCGAGCTGAAGACAGAAGTCAAAAGACAGGTAGTAGCGACGAATTACGCGAGATACAGTGACTTCATTTTGGCAGCGGAGCGTTTTGCCATGGTCAACGCCGGAACACGACGAGCGCACGTTACCATTACGCGACAAGGCGGCCGCTCGGCACACCCCACGTGCGCCAACCCGATGGAAATCGACAGGTTTAACAAACGGCCACGTATGAAAAACGCCAACTTCACGTGCGATTTTCGCGAATTGCCGGGCCATCGAATCTTTGACCGTAACAAAATGAAAGTCGCACGTGCAGAGTATCGGGCGCGCAACAGTGGCGGAAATTATTCGACCAATCAGAAAAAAAAAAAAAAAAAAACGGGAATCGCCAATGATTGCGGACCTAGCTGGCGAAAAAGAAAATATCTACAAGCAGCAGTGGGATTCCAGAAAAAATCAACTTTGATGAAGCCGATTCGACGCGAGCAAGAGGAAATGATGGGGGGGAATCTCCACCCCACGACCAGTCTTTGCCACATAAAATCACTTAGAAAAAATATGACTCTGCGAAAGAAGACTCTGCCGAAATGAGGAAACAACTTGAAGACCCAAGAATTAAAGTTATCAAAAGATGCTTCAATAAAAACTTATGATTGTCAAAGGGCTAGAGCCTTGGAGAAATTTCGGGAGGGACTCCAGAAGAAGCAGGAAATTGTAAAGAGTGTACCAGTACTGGAGAACTTGGGGAAAAAGTTGAGTGTGGAAAGAAGCCGACCTTTCCACGGAGTCAACGTCCTCTCCCAATACCAGCCGACAACGACTACCCGTTCCCCTGGGAAGACATCGTTGGAGCTGAAGCAGTTCAAGAGGAAGCTGGGGGGGTACAAGAAGTTGCAAAAGCCTTGAACTCCTTCTTCAGAACCATCCAATTCAGCAACTTCGGTATCGACGACACACACAGTCGTCAAGAAAATTATGGATTCTGGAGAGCAGCCTTTCTCCAAGCAGCCTCGGCCAACTGCCGGCTCAGGAGTAGGAAGCAATGACAAGGTGCGTACATAATATTGGGATGTGCCTTATGATCCTATTAATGAAACTATCTTTGGGTACTCCGAGCAACGCTTGCCCTTCGTGCACGAGGTCATGTGCAAAGGGCGACGCCTCCAAGCACTTGTGGGCTGCAAAGCGTCACACACCGTATGCGACAAGGCAGCAATCGACCGACTTCGGGAAGTGTACAAGCCTTCAGCATTCTCTGCAACGATGGTGGACAGCAGCAAGTTACTAGTCTACGGCTAAGCTGTGTTACACCTACAGATCGGACCACTGCGCTGCAGACCTGCCCTCCCCATCACCAACATAAAGGGGCTTGATCTGATCTTTAGTTGAGACTTCAAAAAAAAAATCAACCCCGAGATCAATTGGGTCAACCGCACTGCAAGCATCTACACCATCGGAAGGAGAGTCCAACTACAAAACTAGGACGACACAGGAGAGATCCCAGTAGAGACACTTGCCAGATTCGAGAGGAACGTGAGACAAACCGACACCGGGTTCCTAGCGATAGCAACGGATGTGGAAGACGACGAAGAGAAAGCCTCTGAACCTTCCGAAAAGATCAAGGAATTCTTGAAAGAGTTCCAAGACATTCTTCCCGACGACCTTCCGAACGAGCTGCCGCCATACCGAGCGCACCAACACGAAATCGTGGAGGAACCAGGTTCGAAGCCGACCTTCGGAGCACCATATCGGCTCAGCCCTATAGAGCTAGCCGATATGAAGAACAGATAAAGTATCTCCTCGAAAAAGGACTCATCTGTCCATCCACTTCACCATACCGTACCCCAATACTCTTCACACCAAAATCCAACGGAAGCATGCGCATGTGCATCGATTACCGAGCTCTCAAGAAGCAGACCATCAAGAATAAATACCCGATTCCACGAATCGATGACCTGCTTGACCAACTTCAGGGAGCCACGGTGTTTTCCAAACTAGATCTGCGGTCCAAATATTGGCAGATAAGAATGGCAGGAAATTCCATCCACAAAACTGCCTTCCGAACTCGGTATGGGTCGTACGAGTATCTGGTCATGCCGTTCGGACTCACCAACGCACCGGCAACCTTCCAAGCCGAGATGAACCACATTATACGACCATTATTGGACGAGTGAGTGGTGGTGTACCTGGATGACATCCTCATCTACCCGCGCGACATGAAGCAGCATGTCGAACACCTGCAACGCGTCTTCGATATTCTTCTACGATTTTCCGTCAAATTATCCAAGAGAAAATTTGCCCTAAAAAATGTCCAATTTCTATGACACATGGTGAGCGCTCAAGGAGTTCACGTCGACCCCAAGAAGATCGAAGTCATACGCACGTGGAAGACACCCGAGAACGTGAAGGAGCTGCAGCAGTTCCTAAGCTTCGCCAACTATTACAACAGGTTCGGGCCACAGTACACGAAAATCGCCGCAGAATCTGCTGAAGAAGAACACGCCCTACCCATGGGAGTCAAAACATCAGAAAGCCGAGGAGCAGCTAAAAAAGGCACTCACATCCACACCCGTACTCATCTTGCAATACCTCGAACGCGACTACGTCATCGAAGCTAACGCCAGTGACCAGGTAGTGGGAGCAGTCTTAATGCAAGACCAGGGGAATGGACTGCAACCAATTGCCTACCTCAGCACGAAACTGCACGGGGCATAACCAAATTACCCAATACATGACAAAGAGGCCCTTGCTATTGTCATCGCCTTCAAAACGTGGAGATGTTATCTCTAAGGATGGAAAACGATTGTCTACATTGACCACTGCAGCCTAAAATATTTGAAGACACAGCCGAACCGTTCCAGGCGGCAAGTTCGATGGATTGACTTCCTCGAGACACACTTCGTCGAAGGCTGTAGAGAAGTCGAGTGAGTGAAGCTCTTAGTCATGCTGCGCAGCTAGGTGAATGGGCCCTCAGCCTCCATGGCTTGTATCAACTGGGCTGCCGAGGGCCCCGACACTGTCTCAGCGTAAGAGCGCGGGATAGGGATGTCGAGGGCGTCTGGGTCGCCCTGTGGGGATACTAGCATGGAGCAGAGATGGGGTACAACGGCAGCAAGCTATGCCAGCTCGTACGGCCTGTCCTCTAGGCACGTCACTGCCAAGGGCAGGTGCACCTTCTACGAACGGAGAACAGTCAGTACTAGAGACGGTGGCTAGTAGCGAAGTCAGCGACAGCTTAGACAAATACAAAGACAATCTCAGGAGGAGCAGTAGGGTCAGTGACAAGCGATGCAAGCAAGCGAGAGGTGGTAGAATGAACAGACTGCTGGTGCTGCTGCTGCTCCTGCTCCTTGTCCTTTCTAGCACCCTAAGAGCCAACACCCCTAGAACTAGCACCCCCAGAACCAGCACCCCCTAAGCCAGCACCCCCAGATCCCACTTCCCCCTGCTGCTACTGCTGTTGCGGTCGCTGAGTCTGCTGCGGCTGCTGCCGAGGCAAGGGGGTAGGCGGCTGAGGTGCCTTGGGTACCAAGGCTGGGGGAGGTGCCATAAGGATAGCAGGCGCGCCCCCACAAGCTAGGCCCCCAGAGTAAGCAGACTCCCCCACAGGCCCGGACGAGGGCGACGGAGTGGTGTGAGAGACACCAGACGCGGTCGGGCGAGGTGGGAGGGGTGCAGCAGGTGGGGCAGGGACAAGGAAGAGAGGAGGAGGAGGAACAAGAGCACTGCGGTGCGGGAAGCGCCGGTAGTAGGGGAGGGTCTCATCAAAGGTCACGTCACGAGAGTGGTAGAAATGGTGGTGTACTAGGCGGTAGAACAACCAGTCTTAGGCATCAAGCAGAAACCCCAGGAAGACACAAGGAAGGGCGAGGGCTGAGATTTTGTCCTCGTGGGTATCGCAGACATGAGCAAGGCTACCCTAGACGTGAAACACAGAAGCGTCATCCTCAGACCCGGTCCACAGAACGGTCGGCGAAACGTGTGGCCGCTGGGAGCACGGCCACAGGTTAAGCTGGTGAGCATCGTAGCGCACAACAAACGGTCGCAGGAACTGGGGTGCACCGTCATGGACCATGGAGGTGCGACCTACTTCCATTACCAAGCCAATGCATTGCTCAGCGACCCCGTTATGCTGTGGGGAGTCCGGCAATGTGTACGTCTGGCGGATGTGCTCCGCACGACAGAACTGTCCTAGGGTGCGCGAGGCGAACTCTCCGCTACAGTCAGAGTGCAACCGAACTACGGGCAGGCGGTGTTGGGTGCAAACAGTGAGCAACCACGGTAAGAGGACGGTAGGCACGTCGGCCTTCCGCTACAACGAGAAAACCGTCATGAAACGTGAGAAGTCGTCAACGACGACAAAGAGGTAGCGCTCCCGAACTAAGACCATGGATGAGGGCAGGGCGCCAGACGTCCATGTGCAGTGTCTGTAGCGGCATTGTGGTAGGAGGAAACAAGGAGAAGTGAGGGGTGGCGCTCTGCCGTCCCTCAACATAGGAGGTGCAGAAGGGCGCTACGGATACAAGTAGGGCTGGGAGCGACGACGGAAGACCAGTAACTAGACCGTACTGGGACATGCACCTAAGACGCGGGAGTGTAGGATGACCTAAGCACTGGTGCCACATGAGGATCGGATGGGCGAGGGAGCGACAAGAGTAGGACAAGGCTACCTCAGTAGATGCAGCAACCGGTAGGGACTCAGTGTGCAGGGTGAAAAGACCCGATGCTGGGTCACGCTCAAAAGTGGCTAAGTGGTGACTAGTGGCGGTGCCTGTGCAAGCTGCGTGTCTCTCGCGACCAGGGAACGTGGTGGTGACTCCTTGGTCCTGGAGGTGACCGACACCCACAAGGTTCCTGGCTAATGAAGGGATGTGCAGACTGCTGAGGGAGCCAGAGGGGAGAGATGGACAGGGGAGAGTGGTGGTGCTGCGTGCGACAACTGTGGTGGATGAGTCTGTTAGTGCGACGTGGACATGCGCAGGAAGTGGGGTGGGAGCAGTACTGTCTCTAAATAAGCAACGAGATGCACCTGAGTCGAGGATAAAGGAGAAGGCCGACGTGATGGTGTCCACTAAAGTATCTCTTACAGAGCCTACGCCTAACGCAGCAAGGGATTCTACGCCTTATACAGCAAGGGAACCTAGACTACACACAGGAGTGGCTCCTAGACTACAAACAGTAGCACTAGAGTCATCAGTATACAAATAATACAATGCATGATTTGTCTGAATCATATCCATATCAAATTTAGGATCCCCACAACCAAGCAGGGTGGGCAAGTGAGGTACTTGCAGTAGCGGGCCGAACTGACGGCGGTAGAGGCCCTTGAGGTGGTGGTAGCAGCGGCCGGCAGTGTGGCCCGCGCTTGCGCAGACCTGGCCTGCCTGAGGTCCGGTCAGCAGCTAGTACGTGCACGTCCTCGTGCCTCCACAACCATGGCTCACAAACGAGCCGCGCGGACCCCAGGGCACCGACTACACTGGGGCCCAACCTCCACGGCCTCCACCACGACCACCATCCCCAGGGCCCGCCAGCCCCCACGGCAGCTGCTCTTGCTGCGACCTCCGCTGCTGCTGCTGCTGCTGCGCAATCCCCGACTCCGACTAACCACCCTCTCCGTCCGCACCCGCACCCCCACCACACGATGCTGCCGATCCCCCACGCCCCTTGCCCCCCTTACCCTTGCCCTTGCCCCGCTGGCCCGGGGAGGCTGCCGCCGCAGTCTCAGTGGCCCGTCACAACCGAGGCAGAGGCCCCAGAGATAGGGAGCTGGGGGGCAGAGCAGCCTGGAAAGACGGGGACTGCCACCGTGCCAGTGGTGTCAACGATGGCACGGAGGTGCGACTCAACCATCGTTAGGGAGGAGGAAAACTCAGCGATAGTGAGGGAGGTGGGGGGCACAACGAGGAGAGGGTCTTGCGCAAGGGCGAGACGGTCAGGGAGGCGTGTGGCAAGGAAGTACAGGGTGATGTAGGTGGGTGGGAAGTAGGTGGTGTGGTGCTCCTTAGGGCAAGCTGCACGCCAGCGAGCCTCAAGGGACTGGAGGTGCACGACCCGCTACAATGGAGAAGGAGGCTAGGTTGGGGAAGAGAAACGGCAGGACCAGACGACCTAGAGTGGCTGAGGATTGGGTGGAGTAGCGAGCGACAACTGCTTTCCAGATACCCTTACCAGTCTCGAGCATCTCAAAGTGAGCTTGCTCATTAGGGGGGAGGGCCCTAGTGACTATATGCTACCCAGCGACGTCGCGGGACTGCCAGACAGAGAGGGTGGCTAGGGCAGTCTCAAACTCAGTCTGTTGTGCGGACTTCGGGTCAGCAGGAAAAGCATCAGGCTCTGGGAGGGCTGCTAATGTACCTGAATTGTGGGCCACAAGGACCTGGCCATCCTGGCGGATGGACACGACCTGGCGACGCAGAGCGACCAGCCAGGTCGAGAAGCCAATCGTGCGACCCTCAGCGTCCAGGCGGAGGACAGTGGCAGGCGGGGTCGCCATAGCGGCGGGTGGCGATGATGACGACCGCAGCAGGGACAGCAGCGGCTACTACAGCGGCAAGCTACTGGAGAGCGTAGTAGAAGGCTGCTAGTGGCAGCAAAAAGAGGCCGCAAGTAGCTGCGGCGGCGGGCTAGGGACGAGGAGGCTGGTGGCGGTGGCACTGTGAGCTGGCTAGCAGCGGTAGTGGCGGCTACAGCGGCAGGGGCTGCGGTAATGGCGGCGGCAGCGGCAGCGGTAGGAGCGGCGGCAATGGCGGCTGCAGCAGCAGCAGTGGTAGGAGTAGCGACAGGGGCTGCGGTAGTGGCAGCGGCAGCAGCAGTAGGAGCAGCGGCTGCAGCGGCAGCGATGGTGGCGGGAGGAGCAGCGGCAGTGGCAGGAGCAACGGCAGGGGCGGCTGCAACGGCAACGGCGGCAGCGGGAGGAGTGACGGCAGTAGTGGCTGTAGCGGCAGGAGCGCTGGCAGTGGCAGGAGAGGCGGCAGCGGCAGGAGAGGCGGCAATGGCAGGAGCGGAGGCTGCTGGATGGCGAGCCAGCGGTGAGCTGGCTAGCGGCTGCTGGCGGCTGCGGGCTAGCGAGCCAGCGGCGAGCTGGCTGGCGATTACTGGGGGCTGCTGGCTGGCGAGCTAGAGGCGAGCTGGCTGGCGGCTAGTTGTGACTACTGGATGGCAAGCCAGCGGCGAGCTGGCTGGCGGCTGCTGGTGGCTGCTGGCGGTTGCTGGCTGGCGAGCTAGTGGCGAGCTAGCAGGTGATTGCTAGCGGCTGGCTGGCGGCTTGCTGGGTGGCAAGCCAACAACGAGCTTGCTGGTGAGCACTGGCCGTTGCTAGCTATTGCTGGCTGGTGAGCTAGCGGCTAGCTAGCTGGCGACTGCTGGCGGCTGGCTGACATTGCGCTTGCTAGCTGGCTGGCGTGCTGGCCGGTGCTCTGGCTGGCGTGCTAGCTAGCTGGCAGGCAAAATGGTGGCTAGTGGGCTGGCTAGCGAGTCGGCTTGCTAGTGCGCTGGCTGGCGAATGAAACGGAACAGACGCTAGGAGGGGGAGAGGAGGGGGGGGGGGAGCTACGAAGCGCAAAATTTGAGAGCGTGAGGTGCGCGAAAAGAAAATAAAAGAAAAAAAACTACAGTGACGGCGAAAGCATGGCGCTAGGAAAATGTGACTGTAGCTTTATACCATGACAAAGTTGCTTATGAAAAAAATGACTAAGGAGAAATGTGGAGAGAGTACAAGAGTGGGTGTTGTACCCT